CCAACCAGAGTTTATAGAAGCAGCAGTGTCCCACTGAAATTTAAAATGCTTTGTAATACAAGTTTCATTAAAATCGAATAATGGTATCTTTATTTTTTGAAATAAATGGCTTCACATCTAGGGGGGATGATTTTCTGTTTCAGAAAATGGCAAATTTTGTTTTGAGTATTTTGAATTCCGTTATTTTCCGTTTCAGAGTTGACCATATTCTGTTTTTTTTCCAGATAAAATGCTATTTTATGAATAAATCATAATGAATAAAACATCGTAAAATGCCTTTTATTACAAAACTGATTATATTAAACCAATGATAAAAAATATTAAATTGTGAATGACTTTTAATGTTCAATGACTAGTTATTCTCCAAACCGGTTTCCAGAATTAAATAACTGAAAATTACGCTTTGTGAGCTTGTTTCATCGTTATGGATAAATACAAAATTGTTTTGAATTGTTGTTTAATATCAGCAAATATCAGCTTTTCCGTCTTTTTCCGTATGAGATTTCAAATTCCGTTTCACATTTCACATCAAATCACAAAAATTCAATGTTGAAGTGGTTGTAAAATTATATTGCTTGTGACTATAATGTTTATAGGTTAATCCTCATAATAAAATCTATACATGGACATCAACTTAAAAACTAAGTGCTCCTTATCTGAAGAGGCAATATTCAGTTTGTATGTACATGTATTAACTTCCCTTTTTATATAGTAAAAAATGCTGACACAAACACCACCAGGCATAAATTTTGAAAGTCAGCAAACAAACTTCGTAATAACATGGCATGGTTTGAATAAAAACAAAAACAACTTAAGAATTATATTTCAATCAATGAAAAGTTTTTCCGTTAATTTTAAAATATTTGAATTAAATGTAAATTAAAAGCCTAGGGGTTATAGATTTCCAGGTGATTACTGTGTGAAAAAGTAGGAGTGAAATCGTTATGTTGAGTGACAGCTGGCCTTGATGTATGTTACAAATAGTCATTATATTGAAATACCTGTATAAATACCACATATTTCAAATTCACAGTAGTTTGCTGCATTTCCCTGTAATATGATACATTGATTTGGGTTGTTGGGTGGTCAAATGAGTAGAGTTGCCTGTGACAAGGAATAGGGTCGCCTGTCCAACCTCGTGGGTTTTTGGTCCGGTTTCCTTCCACCCACTATTAAAAAACCCTAAGCTCTAGCGAATTATTGAAATAAAATTAAACCATATGTTAGTCACGACATGACCTAATTTGTTTTGAGTGAATGGGAAACCCCATTTCTCTCTCTCCCTCTTTTTTTTAAGGATGCAGTCTTTTTATTGCTCAAGGGTTAAAATCTTAGTACATATTTTGGCTGTAAGCCAATGAAAAGGCTGCATTCTTAAAATATTTTGTTTAAAATTTTCCTGAATAACAGTACTTAAGTTTACAGTACTTCCGCAGACTCAAAACCATTTCCTCTTGTTTCTTTTCCTAAAAAGTATTACCGATATTACTTTTTACAGTTTCATCTTGATAAACAGAAACAAAAAATTGCAGAACGTAGTAAATTAAATCACACAACATTTCTTACATAATTATGTTTGTGTAAAGATGCATTATGTATGGTTAAGATATATAAACAGCTGTCTGTTCTTGCTATGATAGTTCAAAAATAGACGATGTGTACATGTGTAGCACCATGGGTCGTGGAGAGCGGGCCATTCCAAACCGGTCAGTCGGTCACCATATCCTATGTATGACCCATGCATCTTTTCTGACTACATATCTTAGTAGCCTTTTGATTGTCTAGTATTTTCACTTCTTGTCTTTTCTTCCACTTCCCATTGTGTATTTACTTCTTCTTATCTATCTCAATTAGTTAAGACGTTTGTCTTACCAGGAATAACAATGCAACAATTTGTTTTTACATTTTATATATCATTATGGTATAATGCATAATAGAATAAAGCCATTCTCTCTAACCTCATTCATGGGCGAGTCTGCTGATAGAAACTGCTACATCATATGGTCTAGGAACTCAGATGGTAATCTCTCCGGAATCTAAAGAAATCTTTTTTGTTTTGATGAACTGATTGCACCAGTAACACGGCCATCTTTTCGAAAAAGGCATACGGATTGTAAAATGAAAGGCATAAACAGGCCCAAACCCGTCACATTCCCGGCATATCCGAAACTGAGATTAATAGGTTGACGTTAACCCCGGCATTCTGGACGTATAGTCTATAACCACTACCGGCTGTGGAAATCGTCTACAAAATAAAACAACTGTTTTTTAACACTCTGAACTAAAATCGCCTCAATTAATTAGTCATTAACGTAAGAAAATCAAATACTATAGTAAACTGCCAATAAGTTTTAACAACTGCATCGTCTTTTTGTTAGGTGATTTTTCAGGTTTTGACTTACAGTCACTCTTTATATTGCACTCAAGGACATCCACATCCATGTTGCGTTCATCATCAGAGGTATCACTTCTACTTCATGGTAAACTATTTGTGTCCTTTACATTTGCAGTATCCGTGATCATCACGAGCTTTCAGATGCTTAGATAATTCCATTAACGGAACATCTTCCTTGTCCAACGCGCTATCCGATCTTTCCTGCCTCAATCGTGTAGCCAGTTGTGCAAACGGTACATCCCCATCGGACTCACTGGTTTCGTTTTCTGAGCTAGAATTGGAGCTCGATGGATTTTCTACATATTGCGCTTTTCGCAGTAACTTTTCCACATCGGATTGTTTTTCCAGAATTTGCCAATTATCAAGTTTTGTTAAACGCAGATCTTGTACATTCGACCTTGTAGTTTAGCCTGTTGGTTGATTATGTATTATAAAGGAGACCGGCAACGTTTGTTCAATTATATTTGCTACCGAATTTGTGGAAGTAGAGGAAGACAAGCCTATCAACTGGGCACCTATATTTCTAAAAAAAAAGCCATTATTACAGATAGAAATGAGTGAAAAATCGAAAAAGAGATACTCACAATAAAATTGGCTAATTCTATCTGCTCCTGGATTCACAGCTCCAAATTAATCCAGTAGTACTATCAGACTTCTTTCCTTGTGTCTGTTTTCTTCGTAATGGTTCCTACAACTTGATTGTTTAGCTGGAAAGACTTTGAAGGTTCCTCGTTCTCAATAAATAATAGCTGCTTGGAATACCTGGGTGAGCTCTGACCAGTCTCGCTCAACACCCTCTTTTATAACCCCCTAATTTCTGCACATCTTAGATTATCCTTGACGTTAATTTCCATCCCAAATATGGAATAAACCTTCCCATTTTTCAAGACCAGGGGTGAGAACATTACCTTATTTGGTCTACCAACCATTGGTCAATAAACAGACAGAATTTGATTAATATTTTGACAATGGTTAGGATTTTACCAAAATATCACTGTTTTTTATATATAAATATATCATTCTTGTTCATCAAGTACATGTACATGTGATTTGACACTATAGAAAGAGTGAAGCAACAATTTTTCAAAGACCCAATATTGTCTGAAGGACCAATGTGTTACACATGTATATTGAAAATTTCAAATTACTTTATTCTGAAAATAAAACACACTTATATGGATATACTACTTCTGAATTTATTAACATGCTACGTTTCGATACACATACAGATATCGTTTTCAAGCAAATAATGATAATCAACAATAAATGTGGTACAATATATAGGTAACAAGTGGAAACGATATCTGTATGTGTATCGAAACGTAGCATGTTAATAAATTCAGAAGTAGTATATCCATATAAGTGTGTTTTATTTTTAGTGAAATCTATTTCTATATGTCTTATAAGGATTATACTTTATTCTGAGCGAAGTTGTGAGTATTTCAAGTTTTGATGCGATATTCTTGATTCTCAATAAACCTGATATATATTCATTGTCAAACATGTACACTTGTACACCCTTTACAACTTATACTTCAATTTATTATGCAGTATGTAACTCTGGGTCTATGTCAACACTATATTGAATATACATAAAAATATCAGATTTATTTGACAATGATTCAAATAAAGATGTACATTAGCTTAGTAGGGTAGCAGACAACAGCACATTGTATGTTTAATTCATTACAAATTCTCAGGTATATCGTCATTTTTTTTCGCTGTTTTTCACCCTTATTTTTACATGCCAGCTTCGATGTGCATAAATCAATAATGATGTATAGTGCAGTATATTATTTGGTGAAGTTTTCAATTTGCCAGATGGCTGGTCGAGTTGTGTTAATATTATACACTAGTTAATGGTTCATGTCATAATTAAACCTTCATGTTTTTCATCAAAAATTCTTTATGAAGATCTGCATAGCCTGAAATGAAAAACCGAAAATATTTTGTGATCAGTGGGCTGTTAAGAAATTACGTTTATATAAATAAAATTTTTTGCTGTTTATAGGAATGAAAAGCAGTGATTTTTATCGTGAATTAAAGTTTCACCTGTTTTTAAAAATGAAAAGCAATGATTTACATCGTACAATGGAATAAAAATTTATATTAAAATTGGAAGAACACTGAGGAAATACTTATGAAAATGAATTTACAAATACATCCAGTTATATTCTAGACAACTTCCTTATCTACTAGGGCAAAAATTTCATCCCAGTTTGACATTTTGTGATTATGTTTTTAACAAACTTTTTAACTAATTATCAATTTAAAAGAATGAAATGATGTTTAAGGTCTTACATTTCTGCACCAATTAGACAAGATCCAAGAGGCATTTGACCTAACAGTGACATTTTTGCCTCCTCTTCATCAAGGGTTCTTTCATGTGCATGTGTTGTCTGTGGTTTTTCGTCCCATTCTTTATGTACCACTTGAAAGGTGAAACCAGGCTTGAAAATCCAGAGACAGTTTCTTGGTCAAGACTTAATCCCAGTACATGTAACATCATACTCAATTGGCTACCTTAGCTCCCACTTTTAAAAAGCTGTTTTTGTTGATCTGATTGCAAGTTTTATTTATTTTAATGCTTATATTATATTTTCAGATGTGTTGTGGTATTATTTAATCCCAAGAGAAAGAAGCAGACTCACATCTTTAATTCCAGTAAAAAGACTATAACAGCTGTAGCATTTTCTAAAGATGGCAAACATTTGGTTACAGGGGAGGTAGAAGAATCTCATTTATTTTACCTGCGAGTAGTGAAGGCTTATTTATTGAATTACCTATCTCTTTCAACAACCGTCTCAAATATTTTCTGCTGAAATGATGTATAAGTAAAAGTCTAATGCTGGCTGACTGCATAAATATCCTGAAAATGCTTACCTGCAAATTTCCTAGATTTATAAGATAAACAGACAAAAATGGCACTTGAGTACCAAAATTTAGGAGCATGCTCTTACAATGCTTCTTTAAATTCAAGTCTTGTTTAACTTATTTTAAAAAATAGTACTTAAGACCTATGCACATTATGGATGATTTTCTGCCCACAAACCTGATTTATGACCAGTGGCAACCTTTGGAGAAAACACTCAGTGCATACCATAATTTCAATCATGCATAGGTCACAGTTCTATGTAATACAATTATTGTTAATTACTGAGTGACCTTTCAACATGACTTCTCCCATCTTTATCAAGCAATAGAATAGTGACCTGTGTATTTGCATTTAAACATGCAGTATGTAAGAACTAAATCTGCCTATTGCAGGTTTTTATTTGGCTTCAAATGTTATATAAATTATTATTTAGACATTTATTCACATGACGAGCCCTATACTAAACTCTCTAGACTATTGGAAGGCGCAGTAGATGGATTGAAATATGATTGCCAATTAATGATTTAATTTAAAAATGGGGAAGCAAGGCTGAGTCTCGTTTCACAAGTAACGTTGCCACGATAATAAACAATCTATGTCAAAACGTCAAACAGTGATAACATCGCTCAGAATAAAATAATTTGAATGAAGTTTTCACTATATTAATTTGGAATCATTTGTTTTGGAACTATTATAGCAAGAGCGACCAGCTCTTTATTTAAATCTTACATAATGCATTAAGAAACTGTTGTGTCCACTTCTTCGTCAGACCAGTTGGTGTAGAACAGTAGGATGTTAAATCTCCATTTCATTATCTACCCAACATGTATTTCATTGTGGGGATCACGTGGCTAAGTGGGTAAGACGCTGGCTCGCTAGCCTGGAGGTCGGGTGTTCGATCCCTGCATTGGCAGAGAAAGTTCATCCAGATTTTCCGGCGTGGTTCCCCCTTGTCAGTGATGCAGGATGGAGGGCCTGACAAGGACAGCTGTCTAGTCGTTCGGATAGGACAAAAAACCTGAGGTCCCGTGTACACATTGGCGTGCACGTAAAAGATCCCTTGGCAGTTGGAATTCGATATAAGAGTAGGTCGTAGCACCGCTGCCCGGGCAAAATTTCCCTCATAGCACACTGTATGGCGTATGCCTGTCTTCATTAGCCCAGGTTAGGAGCAGAACAGTAGGACGTTAAACCCCATTTCATTTCATTTCATTTCATTTGTATTTCATTGTAGGCCGGTCATCTACCTGCAGTACGAGTCTGGGATGTCGAAGATAAATCACAAGTTGCTGAATTTCATGGACATAATTTTCGTGTTAATTGTGTTGTAAGTATTTATATTAATTAATTTATTAGATCATTATCTTATATGTATATTGATTTATGACAGGTATTACTTATGATATCACATGTACGTAGTCTAGACACATTCAATCATTATACCATTATAAATTTTGTGTCTTGTTTTGAATTAAATAGGAGTCTCTAGTAGTAACATTTTGATGGTAATTATACCTTCATGGGAATGGAGAATTCCGCATAATTGGCCGATCAATGTCTATTTATTGTGATGCATACCAGGAATGAAAAAATTTATAATGGTTCCGTTTTTTGATGGATTGCGCTTTAACAATTTATGATAATTACACGTTCCCAGACTTGAAAACAGCACATTGATGAAGTTTCAAGTCATCATATTTTGTGATGGATTGCTCTTTAACAACATTTTCTACATAAAGAGGAGTTAGCACTCTCACCATGAAAACATATAATGAATTTGAATATCATGTATTCAGGATAACCTTAGATTTATCTAATGTAATTATCAAAGCACTGACTTATTTAGGGCAAGGTGAATGTATTTTCTTCACGAGCATTCCGTAAACTTGTTGAATACCACCAAATAAAATTTGTATTCATTTTACATGCAATTTAATTTGAGCATCTGTGAAGTAGCTGAGGGGTAAAGACTAAAAGAGCTCACCCTCAGTGTCTGACCACATTGGCCTGTGTAGAATGTAGTGATACCGCTGGGGATATTGAGGATGAGACCTCATACAAACTGCTGGCTCGTTAAATTTTTAAGGGTTTAAAAATTTTCTGAAATCCTGACAAATTTCATATAATCCAATACAGATGGGTTGTCTAGATATGACATATTTGCACTATTTGATTGCTGAACCATTTGGTTATCTAAGTCATATTGAGTAATATTTCATTTAGAGATGATTTTATGAAAAAAATATGATTAGACGACAAGAATTTGTAAGATAATGTCACTAATGCTGATGTTGGTTTTATTTTTTCAGGCTTTTTTTCCTAACAGTAAATACATTGTATCCATTGGATCTCAACATGATAAAATGGTTAATGTATGGAACTGGAAAACAGGGAATAAAGTAGCCTCTAACAAGATATCTTCAAAGGTATGTTTAAACATTATATATAGCCTGTGAACTGTTTGATAGGAATCAACTTTATTGTTGTAATGGGGCTTGGGTGTTTGAGTGGTTTAACTTGTGCACTTTGGTTTAACTTGTGCACTTTAGTAGATGATCAGGTGTGTTATTGAGTCAGGGGAGCTACTGTGGCTTAGTGAATAAAACGTTGGCTCGCTAACCTGGAGGTCCCCTGTTCGATCCCTGCATTGGCTGAGAAAGGTTCATTGAGTTTTCCGGCGTGGTTCCCACTTGTCAGTATTGCAGGGCTTGGCAAGGGACAACATATAGTCGTTAGGATGGTAAAAAAAAAACCGAGGTGCTGTGTACATATCGGCATGCACGTACAAAATCCCTTGGCAGTTGGAATTTGATATAAGAGTAGGCCGTAGCACTGCTGTACGGGCAAAATTTCCCTCATATCAAACTGTATGGTGTATTCCCGTCTTCAAGTGGTGTGGTTTCGACCCCAACCTCATGGGTTTTCTCTAGGTCCTCTGGTTTCCTCCCACCGCTAAAGACTTCTACATGCAAGCGAATTGTTGAAATAAAATTGTACCATATGTTAATCGTGAGATGACCTACTTTGTGTAAGAGGGCATTAAACCCTATTTCTCTCTTCTCTCTCTCTCTTCTACATTATTAACACTTATCAAGAACATTTATACTCTGTCTATGTTAGGTTAGTGCTGTAGATTTTAATGAAGAAGGTGGCTGCTTTGTGACTGTTGGTCATCGACATGTTAAATTCTGGTACTTAGACTGCAGTAAATCAAAGGTAGGCCTAAGGAATGTTTCACATGGAAAATATTTATGTTCTTCTACTAGAATTTATTATTATATCTAAGATATTTTCAGGCTGTGAATGAAGAAATCCTGGAAGATATTAAGCTTTTAGTTTAGAAGGAAGACCCCCAGTCATTGGGTAGTTACCAAATGCAACAAAAAGACTTGATCAAATTTGTTCAAACACAAACTTTCTTAATCTGAGAGAGATTTCTAATTAGAAAGTGACACATAGAATATAATAGGTCAATGATTATGAAATTTCATAAACATTTCTTGCACCGTTTATTAGATATGCTCCAGAAACGATTAAGGACTGTCGAAGCCCATTTCAGTACCCCTCGCTTGACTTTGCTCGTTTTGGATAATAAACTTGTGAAAAATAGCTGCTAACAAGTAATGTCTACATGTACATTGTTCTTTATAAAATACCCAAAAGTAACTTTATTTATTTCAGATAAGTGCACCTCGTCCGTTATCTGGACGTAATGGTATATTAGGTGATCAGAAGAATAATTATTTCTGTGATGTAGCGTGTGGTCGAGGTAAACAAGCCAGTAGTACATACTGTATTACACAAGCTGGTTTACTCTGTGAATTTAATGAGAAAAGATTAATAGATAAATGGGCAGAATTAAGAGTAAGTATATACTAATTTCACTGTACCGTGCAGTGGATGCTTACGACTTGATATTTATTGTTTATTTCTTGCAATAGCTGTGTAGTTTGTCTTGTCTGCAGGTTTGTTTTATCGGTTTTGTTTTGTATGTAGTGCAGTCCTCCTGTACTTACTATTATATCTGAGCAAATTGTTTAATAAATTAATGTTTTAGTGAAGATAAAATGTTTGTGGTTAGTGTGAGCAAGGCTTGATTGTCACAAATTCAAATCTAGAGTCTGTTTATACACACAAGTCGTAATCAATTTTTAAAAAAAAAAAGATTTGTTTTAGCAGAAGAAATCCACCACAGTATTAAGGTTTATAAACCTGTAATAGATAAACCTTGTTTATTCAGAATATAGAAAGAATCTCTGTTCAGATTGGCTGAAATCAAGTGTAGACCTACCGTCAGTGTATACAAATGCCTATCAAAACTACTGATACAATTTTGTGTAGAATAGAAAATAGTTTTATACAGTTAAGTTATTATTTTGTTATTTCTATTTTTCAGACAAAAAGTGCTAATTGTATAAATGTATCAGAAGAATATATATTTGTTGGTTGTGCCGAAGGAACAGTGAGAATTTTTAGTTCACAAACTCTATATTTTTTATCCACAATTCCATACCCACATTATCTGGGTGTGGATGTTGCGTCAGCCATCACACCCAGTCATGTTGTATGTAATAAAGAAACTGCCAAATATCCCGATGCCATGGCCATTGCCTTTGATGATCTTAACAGACAGGTAAGTTATTTAAATTTGGATTAAAATAATTATACCATCAAGCATTGCAATATTGTATAAAATAATTATACTGTCACTCATTGTAAAATTGTATAAAATAAACAATATACAGATGTTTAAAAATCTGGTCATGGGTGAAACAAGAAGTGTATAATAACAGAATCTTTTTTCAGCAAAATAATGTTTGAATATAACATATTTATCATCATACATTGTTGAAAAGAGAATGAATCTGTGACCCCAACCTCAGCATTTTCTCTGAAAAAAAATGTTTTTGGCTGGGGAATAAAGCTATGTTAAAAAAAATTAATCTAATAATTGCTCAAATCTTTTGATTTAAGAATAAAATACTATTTTCATTGAAGAATGGTAATCTGATATCTTCGTCCAATAAATTGTCCTAATAATGTTTCTCTTTTCTTCGTAGTTAACTTGTGTATATAGTGATCATAGTTTATACGTGTGGGATGTTAATGACATTAAAAAAGTTGGAAAAGTCAGATCTTTCTTATATCACAGTGCTTGTATATGGGGATTAGATGTAAGTATACACTTTCACAGATATTGAATTATATTTATTATGTATATTGAACTGGCTGTAAGAATTAGTTTTAAGTGAATATGGAAACGGATTCTAGGAGGAATTCTGTGGTCTAAGGGGAGATAATATTGTGTCAATGACTAGATGTCAGAGTTACCTCCCTTTAATGTGCTTTCATGCTATTATCATCTGATTTACTATGTTTCAGGTGTATCCTGTATTAGATAATAATAATTCTACACTACCTCCAGGGTCATTTTTAACTTCATCAGGTGATGATACAGTTAGAGTATGGAACATCGAACCACAATTACCTGATAATACATTGTATAAACGAAATATATATAGCAATGTAAGTATTTATACACTTACTGTCTATGGTTCTGAAATATTTTAAATTCTGGAAGATTTTATCATTCTCAATTGGAGATGAAATTATCTTATATATCAGAATTTTTTTTACAGAAAGGAAAAATTAAAGGGAATTATTTGGGATTGCAGATTTAAAATAATCAATACTATATATTTGTTTACAGGAATTATTAAAGATTGTGTATGCGGATCCTTCCTACGCGTTTTTATGTGATGGAGAATATAATCAAGGTACGGATCTTTATAATAAAATATACAAATATAAATATTTTGTGTTAACTGATTTCCGATTTCACATGAGTTGACATTTATATTATAATAATAATGAGGAATAAAATTTGTACTATTATTTTGAAAGTGGACACTCTAGAGAGTCTAATTTTATACACAGTGTTTATTTTATGAGACGAAGAAGGCTATTGATTTTTAATGATTTTTTTATAATTATTGACAGAGCTATGCCCCTTGATTACTTAGGAAAATCTTTGGGATGCTCTAGAGGCCAAAGTTGTCATCCGATTGACGTGAAATTTATACACAGCGTTTCTGTTCCTTATTGTCAGCGATTTCAGTTGATTAGAACTATTGTCTTATAAGTGTATGGTTACTTTATGCACCCAATTGTTTATTAGATGAATGAATTATTAATAAACCAATGATTTTATATGTATTTCAGCCGGTTCAACAGATAAAACTGATACTACATATGATAGTAAAAATGGTATAAGATCTATACGTGTTAGTCCCGATGGTAAACAGTTAGCTACTGGTGATAGGGAGGGAAACATAAAGTAAGTTACCATCTTTTACAGAAGAAGAAGGAGGGTTGAAAAATCCTGTTTTTTATGGTGAATTAATTTGAATTGAAAGTAATTTACAGCAGTCCAACTTTGTCTGTCTGGTTAGATTATTAAAGCTTTTAAATTTGTTGAAATTCATATTTTATTTTTTTGTGTTTGTAGAATCTATGATATGCATTTTATGGATGATGTACGATCTATAGAAGCTCATGATGGCGACGTTTTGTGTCTGGAATATCATTATGTACCAGGAGGTAAGATTAGACGATACCAATTCATTTCATATAAAAATTTCTAAATCAAGATTTTGGATGTAAATCCTTCATATACATTCTAATTGATTTCAAGTTATTGAGGTTTGAAGTTTAACCTCTTAAAAGGAGGTATATTTTGACAGTAATGTTTACATTAAACTTTTTTTCTTAAAAACTTTCTCGGTAGGTGCAGCAAAGTAGGACATTAAACCCCATTCCATTCATTCATTCTAAAAACATTTGTAAAAAGTCCTCATGCAGGGTATATGACTTCAGTTTTTTCAATTAAATTAAAATGGATTTCAGACTATGAATGTAAAGAGTCTAATTTAGATCCATAAATTATAATGGATTTCAGACTATCAATGTAAAGGAGTCTAAGTAAAATGCACAAAGTATTTATTGAATTTTGAACCGCTTTGTTTTCAGGACCTAAGTTACTAGCTACAGCAAGTCGAGATAGATTAATACATGTATTTGATGCTGAACAGAATTATGGTTTAATACAAACATTAGATGATCATTCATCATCTATAACAGCTGTGAAATTTGCTTCAAGTGATGATAAGCTTAAAATGTTAAGTTGTGGTGCTGATAAATCTATTTTATTCAGAAATGCTACCATGGTAAGAAACTATGAAGTGATCTTTGTATTAATCTTATTATAATTATATGTTTTTTTCTGTATGAGATTCATCAAGGCATTTTACACAATGGAGGTCTTCACTGTTCAGTTAAACTCACCAAGCACAGTTGGATGAAACTTATCAGTTTTATTTCTGTCTGTAAGGTGCAGAGATTTTAGTATTGAACTAAATATTATATTATATAACGATTTGTAAATTCAATACCAGTACATATTTTGTTTTACATTGCAGAGTCCAGAATTACAGTTTAATGTTGATCAACATTTAGCTAGTAAGGCTACATTATATGATATGATTATAGATCCTTCACATAAATTTGTAGCTACAGCATGTCAAGATAGAAATGTCAGGTAAGATTAGAATAAATGGTATGATTGATGCATGATTTGAACTATTATTGATTATTTCATCATAGGTTGTCACCCTTGATTAGTGTCTTGTGTCTCGTAAATACTCCTACAGCCTACACAAGAAAAAAAATGCTGTTTCCTTTATGGATTGTTCTGACAAATTAGCTGCTAGGGCATAAATTTGGTTGCCTGGCAACTGTTTTTTACATTAAAAATCAGAATTTTGTTTGTGAGAAGAACGTCAAAACCTCATTTAAAAAATTAAATTTATTACATAATCCATGAAATTGTAAGATATTAATTTCCTTTCTTGGTTTTAACAGAATCTACAGCATAGCGAAAGCTAAACAGAAGAAGAATTATAAAGGAACGCAGGCTGATGATGGTGTTTTATTACGATTACAGCTTGATCCGTCTGGTTCGTACGTGGCTACGAGTTGTACAGATAAATCTATTTGTATTGTTGATTTCTACACAGGAGAAGTGGTAGCTACTATGTATGGACATTCAGAGATAGTCACTGGTATCCAGTTTACTAATGATCTCAAACATATCATATCTGTCTCGTCAGATGGGTGAGTGTAATTTAATGATAAATTTGTCTATGCACTTCTTGTTCAAGATTAAGATTTTAGTTTTCAATGAAGATATTAAACAAATATTATGCAAGAGCTAAATCTGCCTATTGCAGGTCTTTCTTTAGGCCTGAAATGTTATCTAAAGTATTAATTAGACATTAATTAACTTATCCAGACCATAATCAACTCTCGATGGCATCGCTAGCCTGCAATGTTTATTTGATTAGGTTCTGATTTGCCGTTCAACTTCCATTTAGAATTAAATCAAAAAATGGATAATCGAGACTGTTTTTTTTCCTACCGACTTTAGTAATGATGATCGAGGCTATCCCCAATATTCAATCGCTAAAATCTTGGTTCAGAGTGGATCAATTTGACTGAAATTTTCAGCAAATTCCCTTTACATTATCTAGTTTTTAACTATTATAGTGAGAACTGTTAGCTCTTTATCCAATCTTTCATAATGTATCTTTAAATAAGTTATTTATTATAAAAATTTAGAATTTAAAGCAATTTGATTAATTATGATTGCTAAGATGTCTGGTACAGAACTATTTTTCCCAAGGTGTCGAGGACAAAGCTGTTTTTCTATATGTATGCTCTTTCTTTTCACTCCCGCTTTAAATGATGGTGATTCCTTATTTACTTTTACTTTATCATTTAAAAATTCAAGACATGTCTGCCCTGGATTTAAAAATGTATTTTTTATCACAGATGTATATTTATATGGAAATTATCAGCTGATATGACAAAACATATGCGATCACGGATGGATGTGGTGGGAAAGATTCCTAGAGAAACCAAATCTTATGATGATCTCAGGTATATTAATAGTAAAATGTGTAAAACATGTGATTCATTTATAGAAATAATCAATAATCATCTACTAGTTGAGTGGTGATTCATTACAACAGTATGATATAACACTATCATTGTATTATTATTGTGCTCTTTTATCAGCTGTGTCCAGTTTAGATTTATACTCTGTGGGACTCGGGAGGAATTTATTTTGTGTGATATAGCTAGACTGAAATTACCAAAGTATTGAAATGTGAATGTTGCATATCAGACAAGATTCTAAAGATTATGTTGTGGGATATAGATGGATAATGTCAAAATTATGTTTAATTATAATGAAAACATAATTTATGATACTTATATTTGATACTTATATACAAGAATTGTTTTGTGACTTTTGTCAGAGATGAACATTATTCTGGTCATGATTAACTTGGGGAAAGGACTACTTTGCTTTCTCGATGCATATCTTTTTGCACGCCCACATGTTCTCTGTCCATCTCTTGCAAAATGTGGGCATATCTTCCATAGCAACCGCTTGTTGGTAGTGTATGTGGGAATGGGGAGAGAGACTGTTTCCAGATCTGTTGCTTTGATTTACCTTAATGGAAAATCTGAAAGACGGGTGTATTCTGAGAATAATTCTTTTGATATCTGCTGTATTAAGGATTTATCATTTCAGGAGAGGAACTAATATACTACCTGATGCTCTAAGTTTAAATATAGATGATCATATACCTGTATTAGATAATCAGTTTAAATCACCGGGCAGAGTATTAGATATAATACAAGGTACAGATACTGTAGACAGTGGTGCAGATAAAATTAATCCTAATCTGGATTATAGATTTAGTGTGGGAGAACTTCCTAACTGGGCTAAAATTAAGGTAGGACTCAACATATTTATTTCTCTTTCCAATGACACCGAAATCCATTAAAGAGTAGTGTGGATTGGTGGCCGAGTGGTTTTATCTTGACTTCAAGGTCTACTATGAAGTCAGGTGGCTTAGTTTTGATTTCTTGCGAGTGAGTTGCAATGAGTAGGGTCGTCTGCCCAACCTTGTGGGTTATTTCTCTTCCTCCAGCTTCCTCCCACTTCTAAAGACCCCATACACGCAAGCAAATTATTGAAATAAATTGAACTGTATGATAGTCTCTCAACTGTAAATCAGGGTTCAAGTTTATAAAATCTTGCCAATGCAATACAGGACTTTTTGAATCATACTATTCATACATTGCAGTGAGTTATCATTTCATTCACCTTTTGACTTTTACAGCTTGTAGAATTTTAGAGCTAACTTAGCAACTGGTCAGAGGCCTGACAATCAATCCCCAGGCATTTTTGCTCATGCCATGTTGTTTTAAATTTAGTAAAGGAATACATTTTTTTGTGTAATATCAGTTTTATCGATGATAAATTAATGTTTGATTATTTGTAATTTCTGTTAACAGATGGGTGATACTATGTCTGAAACGTCTGATTCTAGTAGTGAAGGTAACCAACCTCGAGGACGCTGGGCACAACGAGCTGATACTAATACATCTGTATACTCACAATTAGACAAATCTATAGATAACAGTAGTAGTGCTGAGGGTAAGTTATAGTTATGTTAAATAACCATAAAATATGTTTTGAATTATGCTGAGTTTCAATCTCAATTTTCATTTTTAGAAAAGTATTATAATGCTCTGTGGGGGTAGTTCTCTGGTTCACCATGGATGGGATGGATTAATATGTATTGAATCTAAAAACCACATAGTCAAACTGAATATTTAAGAAAAATGTCACTCATTGTCAGTTTTCACTGTGGTAGATCTTGGTGTATTTTTGGGGAATTCTCCATATTTTCAACAAATATTAGCTTATATTTTGGATAGATCTCTGGTTTGGCATCTCCACCATGCACTGTGAGGGTAGTTCTCTGGTTCACCATGGATGGCATGGATTAAACTGTATTGAATCTAAAAACCACATGTGACATAGGCCATTTTTATTCAACCTCCCTAAGTAAAAAAGATTCCACATATGGAAGATAACTCCCAAAGACTCCAATAAAGAACAAAAGGGGAGGGAACTCTTCCATGAAAGGTGGCATTACTATATGACAATAATTTCATATATTTCCCAGAGTTTGAATAAGACAAATTTCAGGTTTTTAATGCTTTAAAACCTGGTATTATGTAAATATTGACTACCCTTGTTCCCTAAAAAAAATTATAGAGAAAAATAATCCTTTTTAAATTAAGTTTTGCGGTTCATTTCCAAAATCTCCCAAAACAACTTCTCCTCTCTTGAGGTGCAAGAGAGAGCGAGAGAGCAGTAGTTTTGGAATGTACAGGTTTGGATGTTTTGTAAATTGTGTATCATATTTATTGAATGTTTTGTAGAACGAAGACGGTTCACGTCTGAAGCGAATGCCTTACAGCAACAAATAGCTGATTTAAGAAGAGAGACAATGGTTCTTAACCAGCAAACTAATTTACAGGTAAAATACACAATATGTGTACATTTAAATAATATCTGTGTTTACAAACCTGTACAAAGATAGATTGATAAAAACAATTTATTTTATTATAGAACATTACTATAATTATTGATTATTTTATTATAGAACATTATAGTACTATAATTGATTATTTTGGTATAGAACATTACTATAATGGATGATTATTTTATTATAGAACATGATGGTACTATAATAGATGATTATTTTATTATAGAACACTAGCAGAATGCCCGGCTTCGCTCGGGGGTCATAACCCCGAAACCGGAAGTGGTAGACTAACGCCACCTGGCCTATGTTACTCCCCGGTCCGAGCTACCCCTATACCCCAAATTTCAGACTCGGGGCAGACCTAGTGTAGCCGCCAACCCCGAACAGACAGACAAACAAATATTAGTATAGATGATGGTACTATAATAGATAATTATTTTATTATACAACATGATTGTACTATGATAGATGATTTCTTTATTATAGAACAGTACAGTACTATTTTTGATGATCATTTTATTATAGAAAATTACCATAATGATTTTACATTGTAGAACATTCCTATAATTGATGATGATGACGTGACTAATGTAGATGATGAGGAAGAGTTTTTCTCATCTTGTATCAATAACAGAGACAGTATAGATAGTGATCGACCTTCCTGGGATCCTGTAAGTACATTAGAATAATTGACATTAGAGTATTATAGAAAAGTCAGAGAGTATATAAAAAGGTATAGATTATAATAAAAAAAAGTATAGATAATAATAAAAAGGTAGAGTAAAAAATGGTGCTGTGAAAATGAGAATTATGCTTTTTATAGGATTTTTACGTCTGGATTTTTTTATCTAAGTGATCACTGTCAGGGCAATATTTTCCTCATAGCACACTGTGTGGCGTATGCCTGACTTCAATAGCCCAGGTGGTGCAAAAAAGAACAATGTTAAATCCCATTTCATTTGATTTGTTATTTTCCAGGGTGAATGTCGATCTCCACTGTATTCTACAAATTCATTGGGTAGAAGACTGGGTGGTGTTGGTAGAAAATGGGGAAGTCGTACGAGTTTAAACTTTGATAAACATTTTACGTTTGAGATGGAAGATAATGAAGATGAATCAAGATCTGATACACCAGAAGTCATTTATTATCCAGAAAATGATCTAGATAGTGTTAAATCATTTGGAAGGTAAATTAGTTATTCTGTTCTGCCAAGACTCCATTGTTATTCTGCTTTGTGGTGCCTATTATTAATTTATAAATAATGGTTGTTTTGAACTTCACCTTGTGTTCAAGGCCTAATTTGAGAGCTATACTTGCCTGTTCTCAGGCCTGTTTCTTACTTTAAATGTTATATGAATTTTAAACATTTATTCACATGACATACCCACAATCAACTCTCTAGAGCATCAGTTTAGACAACATCAGCTTAGATATGGAGTGGATTAAACGTTCAGGTTTTGTGACACATTGAAATATATTTTGTTTTATGGAATATTTTCAGTTCTTACTCGGTGTTTAACAAGGCAAATAAACCAGCAAGAAAATCTGGCATACTAGATGATGGTAAATATTTATTTCTGATTTTAAAAACTATGAAATAATTGGTTGATTTCTGCAGTCTTTTGTTGTCTGTTGTGGTCAAGTGGTCTAATGCATACACTTTAGATCATAGGGTCTGTTATAGAGTAGAGTTGTATGGGTTTGATTCCAAGCATATACAGGACAAGGAGCAGGGTCTTGTGATTTTTCTCCAGGTCGTCTGGTCTCCTCTCACTGCTAAAGACCCCTACACACAGGCGAATTATTGAAATAAAATTGAACCATATGTTAGTCACAAAATGACTTAGTTTTATGTTCAGTGGATGTTTAACCCCATCTCTCTTTTTCTCTACAGATTCTGAGAGTACAGATCCAGTATCATTAGAAGATATGGAAGAAGAGGAGGATACTGGTGGTTTATCTAATCCTAGTACCCCTTCAGAACCTGATAAATATTTCCTTGCAACAACTCCTGACAAGGTAAAAAAAACAAAAAAAAACAAACATGAAATACTTAACAATAAAACTTGATCATAGAACATAAAGAAAAGTTTAAATAGATAATTGGAAACAACACACAAGCTTAATACTTCTTTAAAGCATCTACTTTCAATTTATCAAAGAATTGGGGGATATAATGATGGTATAACGTTTAAACCTTTTGATATAATGATAATATAAATGAATGAAATGTCCCACTTATCTTCACCTACCGGGCTAATGAATATCTGAATACGCCATACACTGTGCTATACAGGAAATTTTGCCCAGACAGCAATTGAATTCCAACTGACAAAGGTTCTTTTACGTCGACACTAAGGTATACACAGGGCGTTTTTTTTGTTCCATCCTAAAAACTACATGCTGTTCCTTCCCAGGTCCCTTGGAACCTCCTGGTTAATGAGCCAGTGAGTTCTCACTAAGTTGACTAAGCCAACATGTCTCCTGATATTATAATTAAACTTTTTTATTTTCATTTTTTCACAGGAAAAGTTTGTGAAAGAAAATTTTGAGAATGTAGCTTTCACACCAGTCGCCCCAGAAAAATTCCACAAAGCCTTGGATCATTTGGAAGAAGAAATGGATAGTAATATTCCTCGTCCATTTAGTCCAAGGCTTAGCATATCTGCCAGATTTCTTTCTCGTGCTCAGCAAGCTGGTCTCAGGTTAGTATTCTTATAATAGAATTAATAATGTAGAGTTTGTTATAGAGATAGGGTTTCATATCCACTGGACACAAACTATGTCATTTCGGGACTAACATATATTACAGTTTGATTTCAATAATGTGTTTGCATGTATGGACCTTTAGTAGTGGGAGGAAAAAGGAGGACCCAGAGAAAATCCACAATGCTGGGCACATGACCTGACGCCTTGTCATGTACAAGTTTGGGACCGAAACCATGTCATTTGGCTTAATGACAGACCCTATGATCTTAAGCGCAAGCATTAGACTTATCAACCAACCAACCATAAGGAAATATTGATACTGCTTCATAAACGTACTTTAACAATACAATAGTATTATATGGCCCAGGTACCGAGCCTGACACATCTCCGCCATCTTCGACTTGTAACGTCATATCGTCCGAATGGACAATTATCCAAGGAATAAGCATGTCAATTATACTTGAATTGACAAAGTCGTAGGCTTTTTTTTCAAAGAGCATTGCCACATGATTACAACCATTAAATGCATGTATGTGATTAAGCACATCTGAGTATCAAAGGGTCTCCATTTAAAATGGGTTGGCATGTACAAAAATATAGCACAATTATTATTACTATTTTATCTAAGAGATATAAAGATTGGTGTCTGAAACCAATATAAACCTAAAATCAATTTAAGTTAGAATTGATCTAATCAAATAATTTTGGACCAATATGTTTCAAAATCAATTTAAGTTAGAATTGATCTAATCAAATAATTTTGGACCAATATGTTTCAAATATAATTGTTGGTATTTTATCTTTCAGGAGTACATTTGCTGGGATACAAAAGCAAGAAAACTGGTATGATGTAAGTACTATTTATTTACTAATTTATATAATATATTAATATGTTAATTTTTGCACTGGTTCATTTGGGAATGTTTTTCTTCCATACTAATATATTCAAATATTCTAACCTTGTTTTAATATTAATATTTTGTCGTTATATTTGTCAATTATTGTGGGGCTGGGGTTTTTTTGTCTTCAAAAACTTTAAAAAGGGAGATGGGTTTTAAATAATGCTAAACCTGTACTCCATCCCATTCAGATATCCTGAATAAAGTATTGTTTATGAAAAGTTGTTCATAAAAATTCAAATTCTTGAATCTAAGATCATGTATAAATTTAACAAAAAATTAAATCACAAGAAAGCCATTGATATCCATCTTATTTTATAGTTAATACAGAATACGTTGAATGAAGATAGCAATTTTTCTTCTATTTGTCCATGTGATATTATAATGTATCTAAAAGATTTAATAGATGTATGTATAACAAAGTTATCGTAGATCATCATTTGGCAATTACCGACAGCAGGGTTGCATTTAACCCCAAGTGTATAGAGATATGTCTGATTTGTCCTAGCTATAAGAAAAACAATTTCTATAGAGATAATGAATTTAAATTTTGGTTTTATATCAGACATTATGGACCATTTTTCGATCTTAAATGCAACCCTGAAAAGCACCCCTGTTTCTTTCGTCTGTGTGAAAGTTGTGGAGCTTCAATTATGTTTATTTCTTTTCTGATTTTTGTTTTTATTTTATGTTAAGAGGAGATCAGTTTCTTTTTTTTGGGTTTCATAAGCATGATTTTCATAATTCTATGGGCACTTCTGATTCTATTATGGTACTAAAGACAATTAATGAATGATGAAAAAATACCTACAATTTTTTTCTCAAAACAATGACAATGAAATTTTTTACCAGCTTAAAAAACCATTGCATTTTGTTTTTGAAGTGACTTTTTTCTCTGTTATGTATCATGCTGAACCATTTTAAGATTTTGACCTCCAAACTTCTTTGTTTTGGTTTTTAATTCCTCCTTCTAATTTGCACCACCCTTTTTTTATTTTCTTTACCCGCATGTAGCCATTACAGAAAAGTAAGAGTAATATGGCGCGTGCTGTTGATGAAACACGAAAAAGACTTGCCGCTGTAAGTAACCAATCACTTGATATCAATCACACACCAAAAAGCACTTCAATAATCCAGCAAAATTGCACATTCTGTCTTACTTATTTAAATTATCTTATTTATTTAAATTATCTTATTTATTTAAATTATCTTATCTTTTTAAAATTATTTCAAGTAGAAGATTTATTAAAATGCATATATTCAAAAATCAAATTTGAGCTTAATCAATGTTAAAAGGTTATTAAAAATAACTGATTCCAAATCACGATCAGTGAGTTTAAATGTTTTTAAAGTATATATTTTTACATACTAAGGGTATAATGATTTCTCATATATAGATTAAATTAGATTTTATATATTTTATTTTTGCTTTGGTTTTATTTTCTGTCAGTGGGTTGTTTATTTTATAATGGACATTTACAACCATTGGGTTATTATTCATGATCATGTTTTGGTTTTGATGATAATTTTTATCTGCCCACATTGAATTGTGGTCGTATATTGTCGTCGCCCCCCCCTTATCTGTCTGTCCGTACGACATCCGCGCAATTGCTTGTGGATGCTCTAGAGGCTAAAGTTAATATCCAATTGACTTTACATTTATACACAGTGTTTAAGATCATGACTCTAAGAACCCTATTGATTTTCAAAGATTTCCAATAATTACTGACAGTCACTTTGAGACGAAGATGCCTATTGATTTTTAACAATATCCTATAATGACCCATGATCACTTTGAAGTATCTTGTGGAGGGTCTAGCGGCTAAAGTTAATATCCTATTGATTTTTATATGCACACATTTTCATGTGGACGTATATTGTCGTTGCCCCTGTCCGTCCGTCCGTCCACAATTGTTTGTGGACACTCTACAGGTCAGAATTTTTATCCGATTTCAACGAAACTTGAAATATAGCTTTATCTCCCTAAGATCTTGGTTCCTTTCGATATTGGCATGTATCGGACCGTAACTTCATGGATTATGGTCCCTGATTGTACAGAAAATCGCATTTTTAGCTTGTGGACCCTATAGAGGTCACAATTTTTTATACGCCCACATTGAAATGTGGTCGTATATTGTCGTCGCCCCCATCCGTCTGTCCGGCGGTCCGGCGTCCACAATTGCTTGTGGACACTCTAGAGGCTAAAGTTAATATCTGATTGACTTTAAATTTATACACAGTGTTTAAGGTCTTGAGACGAAGAAGCCTATTGATTTTCAGCGATTTTCGATAATTACTGCCAGAGTTATGGCCCTTGATCACTTTGAAAAATCTTGTGGACGCTCTAGAGGCCAAAGTTAATATCCAATTGACCTTAAATTTATACACAGTGTTTGCGGTCATGAGACAAAGAAGCCTATTGATTTTCAACGATTTCCGATAATTACTGCCAGAGTTATGGCCCTTGATCACTTCAAAAAATCTTGTGGACGCTCTAAAGGCCAAAGTTAATATCCGATTGACTTTAAATTTATACACAGTGTTTAAGGTCATGAGACGAAGAAGCCTATTGATTTTCAGCGATTTCCGATAATTACTGCCAGAGTTATGGCCCTTGATCACTTCAAAAAATCTTGTGGATGCTCTAAAGGCCAAATTTAATATCCGATTGACTTTAAATTTATACACAATGTTTAAGGTCATGAGACGAAGAAACCTATTGATTTTCAACGATTTCCGATAATTACTGCCAGAGTTATGGCCCTTGATCACTTAAAAAAATCTTGTGGATGCTCTAGAGGCTAAAGTTAACATCCGATTGACATTAAATTTATACACAGTGTTTAAGGTCATAAGATGATGAAGCCTATTGGTTTTCAGCGATTTCTGATAATTACTGCCAGAGTTATGGCCCTTGATCACTTCAAAAAATCTTGTGGATGCTCTAGAAGCGAAAGTTAATATTCGATTGACTTTAAATTTATACACAGTGTTTGAGGTCATGAGACGAAGAAGCCTATTGATTTTCAGCGATTTCTAATATTTGCTGCCAGAGTTATGGCCCTTGATCACTTTGAAAAATCTTGTGGACGCTCTAGAGGCCAAAGTTAATATCTGATTGACTTTCAATTTATACACAGTGTTTAAGGTCATGAGACGAAGAAGCATATTGATTTTCAGCGATTTCCGATAATTACTGCCAGAGTTATGGCCCTTGATCACTTCAAAGAATCTTGTGAATATTCATGCATATCGGATCGTAACTTCCTGAATTATGGCCCTAATTGATTGTACGAAAAATCACTTCTTTTTTTGAGCTTGTTCTCTTTCCATCTCTTGCAAAATGTGGGCGTATCTTGCATGGCAACCGCTTGTCATCTATTTCCAACAATTACTGCCACTGCCAGAGTTGTGGCCCTTGACTTCTTTGAAAAATCTTAAAGAAGTTTTGGAGGCTAAAGTTAATATCTGGTTGACTTAGAATTTATACACAGTGTTTAAGGTCATGAGACAACGAATCTTAATCATTTTCAACAATTTCCAATAATTGCCACCAGAGTTATGGCCCTTGATTACTTTGAAAAATCTTGTGGATGCCCTATAGGCTAAAGTTAATAAAAATTGTTTAAGGTCATGAGACAAACAACTAAAAAGAATTCTAATGATTTCTGATGATTACATAATGGGTTATTAGTTTACTCAAAATCAGATTTCATGTGTTGTAAATGTTTTCATTACTGACAAAAGAAAAAATATGCAATAACCCTTGTTCACTGCCCAGACGATTTAGCTGCTGTGGGTGTGTGTTTCATTGCCTTTCAAACTATCTTTATTAAGATTAATAACTCATGTAGTATAAATCACAAATTAAAACATTTGTTACATAGTATAAAGATTTTGATTAAAATATTTAAAATGAAAGTAGCCAGTAGATTGTAATTGAAATAAGATTAAAATTACATTATGATTTATTTTTACCGTATGCTGCTATATAATAACATACTTTCTATGACAACCATCTGTGCTAGTGAAACGGTCAGAGCACTGGGTTTTAATCTCTGCTGGTTGAGCGGTCCCAGGTTCTAATCCCGACATAGACCGAAAAGAACCATCAAGGTTTTGCAATCCTGGTCTTCACTTGTCACGGTGGGGCACACCTTTGAGGTTAATAAACCTGGGCAATTAGAATTCATAGAATAGTAGGCAGAAATGTCGCTATTATCCCATTTACGATGCACACATAGAAATGTTATCACAGTTCTCAAATGACCAATATATTGTGTTAATGTGATATTAAACCCCATTATATTTTGTTCAGTTCTATGTATATAAACCAGTCAAACATGCTTTGGTTTTTAATTTCTAATAAATCCACATGATCAAAACACTTTTAAAGTTCAAAGAAAATATGTCAGTTTTCATTGTGGTACAACATAATATGATGCCTGATTTTGACCAGATTGACGATTCTTCTCTCTTGAATTAAACTCTGGTTAACCCTAGTTAAATGCTTGGTTTTAAAATTTCAATACATTCATGTGATCTGAATAACATCTTCAGATGTTAATGTAGTACAAGATAAGATATTATACAAATGATTATTATGAATAGAGAAATATATTATTACCATTATTTTATAAATTATTGTTTTATTTATATTGAAGATGGGTTGGGATGGAGACAATGATTTAGATGATGAAAATAAACCACCTTCACCACCAACTAAACTAGAGGCTAATGTAAGTTGAAATTCAGGCTTTGAAACTGGACATTTATCAAAGCTATAGTTATAATGATCATGTCTGAAATGCAAGTTGTCTTACTGGTAGATTTATGAACGTTGCTGTTTCAATGTTAGTCTGACATTGACATGCTAAATAACTATCTAAATGAAAAACCAGATTCAGAAAAATATATTTTGAGTTTTCTCTTATTGGATTGAAATTCTTCTGTCAATTAAATTTTTAACTGAATTCTTGTCAGATATTTTTTTAATAAAATCTTGAAATAAAGTGAATATTATGAAATCACAATAATTTTAAGTGGACATTTTTGGTACAATATCTTGATTTATAAAATGGAAAAATATATCGAAATCATTGATTTTATGTTTCATTTACGTACCGGTATGAAAGCTCAGTGGGGCTGTCTAGTGGTGTAAGGTCTGTCATTGAGTCATCAAGTGGCGTAGTTTCAAATCCCCGCTTGTACGTCATAAGGAGTAGGGTCACCTGTTCAAACACATTGGTTTTCTCTAGGTCCTGCATTTTTCTTCCACTGCTAAAGACCCCTACACACAAGTGAATTATTGAGATAGAATTGAACCATATGTTAGTCCCCAAATGACCTAGTTTGTGTCGATTGGACGTTAAACCCCATTTCTTTCTATCTATTAAAGCTCAATTAATAATTCATGTGTCAACATTTTAAAGATTAAGATTTGATAAATACCTAGTTACATCTGATTAAGTGTTATAGCCTTGGGGTGAGATAACATTTGCTAGTAGAAGAGCAAATGTACTTGGGGCATTGTAATCATTGATTTATTTCTGGTATTGACAAAAACTTGAAGGTTTATACTAGTTTCTAACGTAAATACAAGTCTTGTGTCTGTTGAATGTCAGGTGGGTTAAAAACTATAAAAGGTCAGTATTAGTATAGGGTAATTAAACATCGAGCTGTGTAGTAGTTTGTATGGGTGTTTATTTGTTTTAGTAGGACTGTGTCATACCCTGTAGAGTTTGTTGGTGATATAGTGAGTAAAGACTACCTGTAACAAGTACTTATACAGTCCACAGATTTGACATCACTGTTTTATTATTTTGTTTTGTATGTGTAGCCTGAGGGTGTTTTTCGATTTGTGTCTATATTTGGAATTAGGACAATTTTGTAGTTACTTAGAAGGTGATAGTTATGTTTTTATGAGTGTTTTTGCTCTTGTTAAGCAGTTTGAAGTTATATAATTGACAAGATAACTGCTAGCTTCGTGCTGTGCTAGCTGTGGATGATACTTCCTAAGCTTTACCTGGGCAAGTTAGTGCTGTTATCTCTAATTAGAAGATTTATAATGACGAACAATTGAAAGATTATAGAAAAATTAACCATCATCTCAAAATGGTAATATTATACAAGAATATTGTTAAATATTTTTAATATTTTTGATTTAAATTGTTTTACAGATTCATAACTTCTCTAAATTTGATGAGAAGAAAACATCTCCTAAATCTGTTTTATCCACAGGTAACTTAATACTTTTTAGTTTAACTCATTTACTTCTATATATATACCCACATATATCATATATCTTTAAGGTAGACATTATATTAAATATTAGATAGAATTCGAGCATTTGTATTAAAGCTATATTCCCTTGATATTAGTTTTTGTCATGATCACACCGTCTACAGCTGAAGTAGTTTGGGGGGGGGGGGGCACAGATTTTGGAATGACATAATGCTGGGTATAGTGTCGAAGAAAGGCTGCTGGGGTTCATGTGTGTGCTGTAATTCCTCTGCGTCTCCAGGGTAGACCTGAATACATGGAAATTTGTTTTAGAATGATTTTAGGTTGAGTGTGCTACATCAGTAATTGAACAGATCCGATCAACCCAATTAATACCTTATTTTAACCTAAATCAGAGAGATTTAACTCTTTTAAACATATGGTACTCCAAACAAACAATAGTGAAATAATCCTCTGTATAATGATAACCTTTCTGGTTATGAACAGGGAATATAGCTTTAACTAGAAATTAGATCTTCCATGCAAATTAATTATAAAGACAAATCTAAGATCCTTGAATTAGTTAGGACTGCATCATGAAATACTCTCAATAGTTGTGATGAAAATAACGACCCCTTCATCATAATATCATTTAGTATCCATTTTTCATTTCCAAAAAATAACTTGTCTCTCCTATAATAAAGTAATCCTCCATATTTCTTTCAAAATTTTCGACTAATTATTTCATTCTGTGGTCAAACCCCTGTGCATTTGAAATTCATTTGAAAGATTTATAAATATTTATTGTTTTCATGTCATTCTTCACGATGTTTCTGTTTTATTGTTTTGATTTTTTTATTTGTTGTCATATTTTTGTGATATTTTCTTCCGTTTAGGCCAAGCAACTAGCCCCACCCCAAAGAGTCCACGTCGTTTTTGGCTGACGACTAATCACTCAAAACTGCTACGTGATGAGGGGCTCTCACTGCCCAAAATTCCCATCAGTAAATACATGCGAACACAAATTGGTAAACCTCCTCTTCCAACTAATTATAATAGTAGGCTTCCATCCATTAAATCACCCCTTCCCAGGAAAATGGTGGCCCCACATTCACCACGGCCTCCAAGGTCACCACGGTCTCCACGACCTTCACGGAGTGGTATATACTCAAATTATTATTAAGCATGGTGTACAATTATCAATATTGTCACTAAGTTTCTTCAATTATGGTGCATTTTAGCTTCTTTAACCTTAAATTTTGGCTCTTAATATATTTCATTTGAAATATAACAAAACAACTCGGTTCTAAGAATAATTCTAAATATTGGTTTTAAATTTGGTTTATTATTATGCATTAGACTAAGAAATTTATGCAAATTTAATTTATGAAATTTAATGTAATGCAAATATCGATACCAAATTAACTTATTTATTAACAATTCCTAAATTGATGTGGATCAATTTCATAAATGATGAAAATAGAGTTTAGAATGCACCATATTATTTGAAGTGTTGTGATGGGTATGCCGCTATAATTTATGTCAGTCCTAACCAGTTTATTGCGTACATGTATAATATTTAATGTACGATTTATTTGTGAATATTTATGTTCTTATATAGAGTTTTCAAGATTTCAATTTGATTCATGTTTTCATTTTTGTGTTACCTCAATTTTTTCTCCACGTACATCCAAAATTTATGGAATGATTCATGCCATTAGAATGTCGCATGGTGTTTCTTATAGATCTAACCTTTTATTTGGAAATTTTTACGTATAGATTAGCAACTTAAATGTGAATGTTATCCTTCCAAAATTTTAAATTGTTTGCAAAGAATTCCACTCTGTATTTTTATCTCTGTGAACTTGTATAAGCTTATTAATGCTACATTCTTGATGTGTACGTTAAACAAATATTAAGAAAACTGTATGATCTAACTCTGTGATATATCTTTTTATTAAGGAATCTGTATAAAATCTAATATATCTAACAAGCATGATATAATATACATATGATCACCTGAAACATTTTAACCCCGTGTCAAAAATATATCAAATTCCCCAATTATTTCTAATTTTAATGGATGGATTTATATCTTTGGTTTCTTACATGTGTTTTGATTTTTGTATTATCTTAACCTTATTATTTCTTTAACAATTGGATGTTTTTAAAATATATTTAACATTTTGGTATATCGTACCTGGTGCCCTATTCCTGAAAATTTTAACCGAAAATATTTTTAAGAAATACTGATTGTTTATTGGGTGATCACTAAAATGTTAGCACAATATTTAGCTATTGACGAATGAAAAGGCTGCAGAATTAAGAAATATTTTTGTTAATGTTTTCTGGTATAAGGCCCTCGAACACAATATTTATTTGTAACTGTTGTATGATCACGAGGTTGAATTTACATGAATTAAGATGATACTATTAAGAGTTTAATTGCGTAGATATTTTGTTCATTTTCAGTATGTACAAACAGAAATATAAATATAGGTTTACTCTTTTCTAGAACATCTGATACCACTTCTCATTTGAGGACTTGACAGAACTAGAATTTTTTCTTTTTACTTGTTATATGTAAAATAGAGAATCTTGCTTTATTGCTTTACATAACATAATTTTGAGAGAGATAATTATTGTTTTCTTTTTTTTTTCTTTTTTTAGCAGTAAAAACTTTTGATGAGGAAGACGAAGATGCCCTGTCAACATCTTCCTCTTCATCCAGTATCCGTCTGCGTGGTAGTCAACCTAACCTACGCAGTGTAAGACATGATGATAAGAGACGCAGTACGCCAAATCTCCGTTCATCTCCAGTTGAAGTGTGTAAATCTCCAGACGGTGTAAAACGTGGTTCTGGTGGTGTGTCTTATCTCCGCCCAACAAAAAGTTCTAAAGCCAAAAACTTAAGATCAAGTTCTACGTCATTACTGCCTGGATTAGGTGCCAGCACTGAAGTTAGCCAAACAAACGGACTCTCCAAATCAACTTCTTTGTCGAATCTGATTACACCCAAGGAAGAACCGCAGAATAATCACCAAAAACGTAATTTACGCAAAGGAAAACTATCTTCCTCGAAGTTAGCTCAATATGCTTCAACGCCAAATTTAGCTAGTGTCGAGGAAGATGATGAAGAAGAACCTCCCACTAATCTTGTTAACTTGGGTCATTTGACCAAAAGTGTGCCGGATGTTAATGATTTGGATTCTAATAGTACCGCATCCTCGAACGAAAACCACACAAATACTCTACCCACACGTAGACCTAATTTACGGTCACGATTATCTGGTCTCAGAAAAGATCGTGATTCTGGTGGGGCCAGTATAGATAAACGTGTTAATAAACGTTCATTAAGTATCGGTGATAGATTATCAACAGACGGTCAAGGACAAGTCAGACGTTCTTTATCACCATCTCTCAATCAAAATGGCAAACCAAACAACAGCAATGGAATAATGCCCCCACCTTTATCGTCAAATGTTAGCAGAAAGAAACAACCTGATTCCATTTTGAAACATTCGATCAAACGTCGATCTCAAACAGAACTTACTTTAGACGAGGCAAAAGATATTTTAATGGGACGATCAAAATCGGGTCGCGAATATTTTACCAAAGATATAAATACAAAAAAATTGAATGATAGTGTCAATAAACCCGCAGAGAAACCGAACGACACAAACCCTAAAGTAAATATGAATAATAATAATAATAAAAATAAAGACGATTCAGAGGAAGAACCTCTACCAAGTGTGAAAGACAGAATAGCGAAATATTATTCACATTTAACTCCTGATAGTAAAACTAAACCAGAAGTTGTTAATCATGTTTCCAACCATACTTCCCATAATGTGACATCTGTAACCATGTTAAATTTAAACACTAGTTCCCATAGTCAGTCTGATACAGGTGTGGAATCGGATACAGAGTGTGAAATAAAACGACCTGATAAAACAACTCATCATCCTCGATTATCTCTCGTCACTGTTAATCAAGATATAGATAACAGGTAAGGGTTTATCTTCTATTTTGGGAGCCACGGTGGTTCAGTGAGTAAGATGTTGGATCTCTAACCTGGAGGTCTGGTGTTCAATCCCGGTGTTGACCGAGAAAGTTAATCAAGAATTTCCGGCATGGTGCCCCTTTTCAGCAGTGCAAGACTGGAGGCTGATGAAGATGAAAAACCAAGGTCGCATATGCATATTGGCGTGAACATACAAGATCCCTTAGCAATTGGCAGAACAGTAGGACGTTAAACCCCATTTCATTTCATTTCATTTCCTTAGCAATTGGAATTTGATATGAGTAGGACGAAGTTCATCTGTCTGAGCGAAATTTTCATCATAGCAGACTGTGTATGCCCGTCTTCATAGTAGCCCAGTAGAGTTACTGATCCTGTTATTTAAACATTCTGAATGCTAGTGTTTGAGATTTAACTGGCTGGAGTAGTTATTGCCCCTGACCCGAAAAATCTTCTATGCATCCTTGTGAAATCAGCAGGAAAATGTAAATTAAATCCTCTATCCCTAAAAAAACTTTATTTGAAGTTTTCATAAATCTTGACACACCGAATGTGTTAATGGTAGTAGTAAGTATTTGATTTCTGTCTCAAAGATCCGCCCAAAATTGCTTTGTCTCCTGGTAAGGGTTAATTTAAACTAGTTTCATTATATTATATGTTTGCATTTTGAATTAAGTATTGAATGTTGTTTTCAAAAGAAAATAGAGCAAGACCAATGTAATATCTTTGTGTTCACTTACTAGGAAATCTGTGTATATATTATATAATATTTCATTGTTCTTAATGATGTTTGATGTATTTCAGTGTATCATTAACAACCCCTGTAGTTTCACCATGTTTAGACAGTACGTTATCATCTGTTAGAATCAACAGAAATAAATTATCTTTACCTGTAACACCAGATTATAATTCACAAGGTAAACATTATATTTATATTATCTTCATTCATAAAAATAATGTTTTAAAAAAAATACCCCGAAAATAGATAAATCTGTGACTAACAAATTGCCATTCACTAGAGAAAAAGTATGTCCTGACAAAGTCAGAATTTGTGCCCGACAATGTCTATATTGTCATATAACAACGTCTTGCCAAAGACGAATTTTTATATGAGCATGCAGCTTTAAACTGTCTTTAAACATGTCACGTGATCAGCCACCACGTGACTCCCTTCTTGGAAAAACTTCGAAGCGTGTGAGCGGTTTGTTTTTTCTCGGCATCTAGTTTACCTATAGTTTATTCTATTATTAAGCTTAATTAATCGTCTGTTTGTTTTAGTGGCCCCTGGGGGTTTAGTGGCGCGATTAACGAGAATATTGACCATATCCTGGTAGTTGGGGGAACTGTCAAAATTGTCATTTCTCTTTTTTCCTTCACGGCGTCTGCCCACGGGAAAAAATGGCTACCTTCTCCGCCATGAACAGGTCCTTTAGACCGGCGGGGCGTCACTTCCAAGTTTTTGTTTTGAGTCATTCTTTTATCACAAGACTGTCCCAATATTTAGAAGAAAACAACCTAAAAAAATTTTAATTTTTCCACAGTCAATGTTCATATTGTTGGACAACCAAGGGCTACTTTGGACAAATTGACTAAATCCCTCCCTCGGTTATTGGGAGAGTTTTCACCGCCCTATCATTGCATTATATTGCAAATAGCAGGAAATGATTTGAGCCTGCCTCACATTACACCTCTTGATGTATATCAAAAGCTGTTGTCGCTCATTTCTGAGTTGCAAAATCGAATATCATTATGCTTGCTGAAACCTATTTTAAGTAGATATAAGTTATCTCCCTTGTGTTGTAGTTCTCCTGCCATTTTCTTGTTTTGCTGCACAGTGGCAGATTCCCCCTCTAAAGAACCATTTCCAGGAAACATGTAGATTTGAACTTTTTGTTGGTTGGGGTGATGTAGCTGATGAAATTGAATGTTAATTTCAGGCCCAGATATGCACCGCAAGTTCTCATTGATAAACTGGTTTTTCTAAATTTCTCAGAGAAGCCCCCCCTCGCCACAGATTAACCAATTATTCTACACTACAGCTACATCTGCATGTACATTTGTTAAACGATATTCTATCTTATTTTGATATATTAAATACTCAGATAACTATGGGAAAAATCATGCTGCTTTTTAGAATTTTTGCTAGAAATGATTGGGGATTATTATTGCCATTGAACATACAGATGTGATGTTATCCTTTGATTCTGGCAATGTGCCAATCTTACATTATTTATACTAGTTAAAATATTGGACCTGCGTGACGTATCCATTGAAATGCACACATGCTGGATAGTGTTTGTATTTTAACTTGTTTAAGGTCATGTGCAAACGCACTCGTGCAATATCAATATATTACTTAATGTCTCGCACTCGACCAATAAACTACACTTAACATCAGATTTCCATTATTATTTCAGATTTCCTTTCTAATTGTTCTGAAGCTGTAGCTGATCTGGAGAAAGCTATACAAAAATTAAAACAGATACATGTACAGGTCTGTATAAAACTTAACAGTATAACACTTGGCAAACACACGAATGATTAATGCATGGGTGTTGGATCATAACGTTTGTCATTGAGTCAAGTGACATGGTTTCGAATCCCTGCTGTATGTGACAAGGATTAGGGTCGCCAGTCCAACCTTGTGGGTTTTTTCTGGGTCCTCCGTTTTCCTCCCACTGCTAAATAGCCCTATGCACAAGTGAATTGTTGAAATAAAATTGAACCATATGTTAGTCCTGAAATGACCTTGTTTTTGTCGAGTGGAGGTTAAATCCCATTTCTCTCTCACTTTAAGTCTGTTTCTAACTTATATAGGTAAGGTTCTCAGGGGGGGACATTATATAATTACTTTGTCAGGCCTCTTTCTTGGACAGCCAAACAATTAGGTGAATAATAAATTCAGAATTGTCTGTCAAAGACAACTCTATTTTAAATATGCATTATGTAAGATTTAGAAAAACAGCTGGTTTCTCTCACTATAATAGTGTCAAAATAGATAATCAACAATGAATATATTGAAAATTTCATTCAGATTACTTTATCTTGAGCCAAGTTATGAATGTTTGAAGTTTTAATAGCGTAGTTTAGATTGACATAACTGTGGTGATAAACGAAGTCTCGATTTTCTATTGTTTCATTAACTGATTAAATGGCACAGATGGTCTAATCAAATTAATATCCAAGCCATTTGATGTCTAGACAGTAGATTATAGGCTTGTAATATTAATGTCTAAATAATAATTTATATAAGATTTGAAGTCAGAAAAAAGACCTGCAATAGGCAGATTTAGCTTTTACATCTTTAATGATTTTTAATCTGCAACAAAAAAAAAATGCTGATATCAGATTTCTGTTCTTTTTCAGTCATGTAATATTAAAGATGAGAAGTCCAATGAAATAAGAGCTTTATTAGGTCAAACATTCCACAAAGCTCATCATACATTCGCTGATTTATCAGCAAAAACACCAACAGGAGAAGATAATCCTCCAATACCTCAAATTAATGTCCAATCAGAATCAAATGTAACAAAATGTACAGCGGAGAAAGAATTAAGTGAAGAGGATCGTGTAATAGACAAAGCGAGTTCTTTAATAGAACCGATACTTCAGCAGTTAGAATCTCGTATCTCAACTCGAATCTCAGATCAAATAGTTGAAATGGTTAAAAATAAATTACATGCCGATCATACGATAGTTTGAAATAAATTATATAATGATTCTAATAATTACTGGTAGTACAAGATATGAAATTATTGTCATTATAATATTAAATACGTTTGTGTGATAATGGCACATTTTTGTCCTTGATAAAAGAAAAACATATTAATTGCACAGAAATTTCATATTTTTCAATACTGCTATATAGTTTTATGAGATATATTAAAGATGTATGTACAATATAATGATTTATTAATAGAATATTTATTGGGAAGCTTTATAACAGTTTATTATATATTGTAAATGGATTCATTTTATAAATGTACTCAAAATGTATGATAGTCTTGTTATAACTTTCCAATTGATTGATTTAACTAAAAGTGCTAAAATATAATATTTGTTAAAAATTATTGTTAATTTGAATTAATGAATGTTGCAGTATCACATGATGGTTCCCCCACTGTTATATTAAAGCCATTGGGAATAATATATGGTCCTGCCCCATAATGCTAATGTAGTAAGTGGACTCTGACATTCAGGGTAAATGTATTGTCAAAAGAAAGTATATAAAGTTATAAAATACATAGCTCGGTTACCTACTTTTCTTCATTCAGTGCTATATTTTTTCAGATTTTTGAAGCACTAATAAGAGCTATTATCTTTTTTATCAATTTCATTATAAATGATAAAAGGTAACTGTTTAAGATATTAATATAGGGCATTTATCCATATGGTATTTCAATTCTATTTTCATACATAAAAATAAAATATATGTATATTATAATATATAAAATATTTATACAGACAGGGTTTACTAATTAGCTTCCATATACATATATTATAGTCTTTAGTAACATTATCAGTTTGGCTTTGTGTGTAGTGCAGTCCTCCTGCACTTCCTATAATAGCTCCCTTACTGGCTGGCAAGCAAATAGTTCTGACTAATGCAAATCAGTCAAAGGGTTCTTTATTCCTAGAGAGATAAGACACTGTTCAGTCATAATCAGAATTCAGGAATATGGGTGTATATAAATATGTATTATCACTCAAATCAAAATCCAATACTTAATATATATTGCTTCCTATCACTTATCAACGAACATTTGTATATCAATATTAAATAATTCATTATTTGTATATTTGGCAAGGTTGTATGTAAACTATGTACATTTTAACAAGTGTCCATCATCAACAAAAATAATTATAATACATAGTTGAGTTGTGTATCATGACTTTAGAAGCTAGATTTTATATATACCAATATACAGTTGTGTTTGTTTGTGATATACTACAGTTTTGTTTGTGATTTTGTCTGATCCATGATTTTTAGGAATCAAAATTCTATATGTGCTTCTAACCTATACATCAAGGTGCTTTTTCATATTCGGCATTTATAGAGAAAAAAGTTACCTCTTGAGAAAACGGCCACAAAATAAATGGAAAGATCAAACGAAGAAATTGTATATACGCCACATGATTTCAAAGAGGTTTACTATTATAATTTAGAAGCACATTTCAAATTTGTATTCTATAGAAGCATTGCTCAGACAGTAATATTGTTTATAAATAAGAAGTATTTAATTAATATATATATTCTACCACAGTGTTCAGATACGGAATGAAAGAGTGCGACGATTAATGCCTGTATAAATTATATATTTACTAGTTGTATATATATATTCAGTTTTTATTTATCTAGGCAATTATTATTAAATTTATGGTAGTTAGTGATTCATATCCCTGTATAAAACATTAATTTGTGAAAATCTGATCTTAGTAAATTATCTCCCTTGTGAGCAACTGTTGTGACTTTCCTATTATTATTAATATATTCCAAAAAGGACCCAGAAGCATGTATGACTTTCCATTCAAAATAGTGAATTGTTCTTACATATTTGATATATCAATATCCTAATGAACTTAGTGAATTATCTCCCCTGTGAGCAACTGTTGTGAGCTTACTATTTATATATTCAAAAAAGAAGCCACAAGCATGTTTGGGTTTCCACTCTAAATAGTGAATTGTTCTTACTTATTTGATATTTAATAAATATATTGGAAATATTTTGTTATATCTTGAAAACTGTAATCTAAAGATATTAATACAGTCAGCTGATCTCGGACTTCATTTTTCGTTAGTATACTTTTCGGTGAAGTTGGAATCAGTGATCTTGTAGATATTCTTAAATCAAGTTGAAACTCTTGTTGAGAAAAGTGATCTAGATGAGAAGGTGATATAGAAATTCATATTAATTAATGATCAAATATTTACTGGGCTTTGATAAGAAACCATTTTGTGACAATTGTTCTGCAGTTGTATATCTCTCGGTATCCTTGACGACATTTAACCCAGTTTATTTTTTTGTATAAAAACATGAAAAAATAAGTGTGAAACACGGATATTCTATATCATTACCAGTTCAAGAAATATAAGAAGACCAGCTGTGTATGTTATCAAATCGAGTTTCATACTTGTAATATTAATATCTATGGGGACTAAAAAATATCTTTAGAATTACGTCTTCAAATATTATATAACAAATCGTGTAGATTAATACCATATACACCATGCTTGTTTAAAACCATATAATATGGCAGCCATATATCTTAATAGAATATATGACCACTTCTATAACATTCCTATAATCATTACTTATTTATCTTTTCTATCATTAATCAGTGCCGGAAGAATGTCCAGTATATGATAACAAATTTCCATCCCATATAAGTTACCAGTTTCAAAGCTGCTGATCGTTATTTGCTTATTTTACATGGCTTTTCCAAGCCAATATGTAGTCAAAATTGATTAATTAATATTAAGAAGATAAAACGAAAATATTAACAGTAGATAATGTCCCAGCTTGGATTTGGTCGGATTATAAAGAGACCAATCAATCAGTGACTTGTTTATGTTATCTGCACAGGCTGCTGAATATTGCAAAATATTCAATTCATCATGTTTTTGTAAATTTATTGAATGGACATAACCAATTTTGAACATTTTCCATTTTGCAATTCAACTTTAACAATATTGTAGTTTGCAAGTTATTCAAAATCCCTCGAATGATGATCAGCAGAGTTAAAAGAAATTTTACTCATTCGTTTACAAAAATTATGCTGCATGAATACATTGTTTCACTATCACTTATTCAAAAATTGAATTCATATTTTGGTACCCAATTTTCAATACCATTTTTCCCTCATTTTAATTCCGTTTATTTGTATATTTTGCTGCTTGTTTTCAATTACACTAATGATTCAAATACTGACATTTAATGTGCAATTGTTGTTTGAAATATCACCACCACCTGCAGGTAAATATGTGCAATTTTAATAAGTGTGTGTGGGCTTTCTTTTGCTACATATCAATATAATATTGTAATATGGGTTGAAAAACTTCCATTTCTACATTTCTGTATCAATTTTAATTTGTAACTTTGCAGACAAATTGTAATGAGTGGCCGACTTATGTGTGTTTTTTTTTATTATTGAAAAGACGAGTTAATAATTACTATTTTGAGAAGCTATACATAATAATCATGTAATTTATCTTTGTTGCTTTAGGCTTCACCAATTTGATTTACTGTTCTTCATGTTCTTGATAAATAAATAGCCACTTGAATCATGTGAAAGATGTTTTGTTTAAAATTACATAACTTAAAAATCTGGAACTAAAAACTTTTGAAAAGCATAACCAAGTCCTTTTCCCTAAGTAATAAAAAAGGAAATTTTTTTACAGGTGTTCATTAAGAACAGAAAATCAAATTTGTGTGGCCTCATGTTTAAATAGTTTAATACCAGAGCTGTGGTTTTGTATAGAGATTGTGTATGTAATATAAGGTTGTATTTATCTAGGGTATATAAAATCATAACCTGTATATCTATGTGCTTCCATAACATTGTGATACATATGTATATATAACATAATTGATGCAGTTCAGCCATGTTTTTTTATTTTGCTTTTTTTTGATAGCAAAGATATTGTTGGCAATGACAAATTGTCATTATTCCTAGTTGGAATAAAGATTATTTATACTTAATAGATTGTCTTTCTTTTTTATTTTTTTAAATATTATGTGAAGGAAAATTTTTAAACATTGTGTTTTCAAGAACCTAACATTTTGGAAAATGTCTAGACATCAAAGTGCATTCTGTTGTGAATATTCCCTGAATTCTACATTAAGTTTCAGTTGTCAGCTTCTTCATTATCACTAACTTGTGATCTGATGTTTTTTTGTATTAGGTTAAGTTTCCACATATAGATGCGTTTACTTTCAATCGTGAGCTGACAGATGTCCCCACCCAGCCCAAGCAGATTTCTATTTACTTTCTTAATAACTTAAACATGCATTATGCAAGAGCAAAATCTGCTTATTACAAGTCTTTCTTTAGGCCTGAAATGTTATCTAAATTATCAATTAGACATTAATTAACTTATCCAGACCATAATAAACTCTCAATGTCAAGGCTAGCCTTTGATGTTGGCTGGATTAGATTCCTATATGCCGCTAACGGCTATTGATAATTAAATCAATAAAAGTGGATAATCGAGACTATGCTGTTTATATTAATGATTTTAGTAATGATGACTGAGACTATGCAAAAATTTCACCCGCTTCTTTCCCGGCTCATAGTGGATCAATTTGACTGAAATTTTCAGCAAATTACCTTTACACTTTCTAGTTTTTAACTATTATAGCGAGAACTGCCATCTCTTTATCTTATCTCCCATAATGTATCTTAAAAGTTCATTATTGTAAATATGTTCAACTAATTTGCAGTCATATATCTTTGTTTCCATCTTCAATGAACAGACATACCAATATGTAACTCATATGTAACCAGTTTACATACAATGCTCAAATCCCTTCTGTCCTCGAATATAGTAAGTGAATGAGTTAGTTCGGGAATCTTGTCATCATATAGATTTATTTAAGTTACAGAAAACAATAAAATCTGAATATACAATTAATTTAATGCATACAACTCCCTCCAGACACCACATGCTCTAAATGTACAAGCTGTTAATGATTTGGAATATATATAATTTCAATCTAGTTGCCTGCAACTCCATTACTAACCATCAAAAGTTTGTGATAAAGATGTAAATATGAATCTCTAACAAAAATTTTTCTGTGACCTCGCATCACTGTATGGCAGTAGTTGTCACGCATATTTTATGGCACTAAATATCACATCAACCATTCTCTCATTTCTTTTTAATGAACACAGTGTTCTAATATACCTTGTCGTATTAAATGTTCACATTCTGATCTCAGTAGAAAATGCTGCAATAGAGAACATTTATTGGATTTAACTAAGTGCAAAAGGCGACAAACGAGTTAACTCCCCCTTGAGTTAGGTTAAGCTTTTGGGTTGTAAATGAAGATGGACATACGCCATATAGTGTGTTATACTAAAAGGAAAATTTTGCCTGGAGAGACTTACTCTTATATTAAATTCCATCTTGCACACTAATATGTACATGGGTCCTCCATCCTGCACCAATGACAACAGAAAAACAATCTGGAAAAGCCTGAGAAACTTTCTTGGCCATTATCGGCATGGAACCCCCGACATCCTGGTTAGTGAGCCAGTGCCTTACTCTCAACTTTTGATGTCTTTTAATTGTAATAGGGAACTTCTTTGAAAACCAAATTTGTTTTTCCTGCTAGTATAAACCAGTCATTGTAAAATATACAGAGGTTGCTTTTCTTTTTTGTTGTGTATTTATTTAATTAAAATACCTGACTATTTTTCTTAAGAACTAAAATATTTCCATCTTGAGTTTCAAATTCTCCATGATCAACCAAGCATCTCACCTGAAATAATATCAATGAATATAAGACAAATATTTACCTGTATTTTGTGAGCCAAACTGCTTTAAATTTCTCACAACCACAGGTTTAAACAATCTCTGTTATTAAAGTGTGCATTCTAAAACAGTGATTATATGTTGGCTAATGGTGTGCACAACGGTCAATAACATGTTGGAGTGAGTATTATATTATTTTGTGGTCATGGAAAATCACTGGAAACAACCAATTGAGTGAGTTCACCTTTTGGATATGAATACAGTTGAATTACTCAGCATTTCGTTAAGCTTGGACTAACCTGCATTTTTTTTTCTATATTAAGTGAGGAGAATATTGTCTTAACAGAGACGCTTCAACAAACACTTCTTTATAGATATCATTTCATTCTCTTTCGAATGACTGGACATATTATCCTTGTTTAGCCCTACAGACACTACCCTGAACAAAGATTCTTCTCGGTCAAGCTTGACTACCTAATTCACTTGTTCTTTAGGAGAATGTTACAGTTTTTTTAAAACATCGTCTTTAATAATAATTGAATATTTTACCTCAACATAAAGAGTTTTAGGTGGTTTCATATCTTGTGTTAAATCTAATCCACCAGCATCACCTATTGATCTCATATAATTAGCTAACATTTTATTATATTTATTAAACCACTGAACCTGCAATCAAACGACTATAATTTTATTACTGTTATCACAGAGTAAAGAGGATGTCTGATGTTCAAGTGTGAGTTTGTTAAATATTATGCCACATACATATACTCTGTAGGGTGTACAATTTGAGAGCAAGACTGATACTGCACAAGGACGTTAGTCCGAGTGTTCCAAAATAATTACCCAATGTCTTGCTCTCGAGACCGTTAATTACAGACACTATCGCGAATTGTGCATTTCAATTAAATCATCATGCGAGTTCAATATATTTATCTAGTATATAAAAATAATGTATGTTTAGTACAGTTGTCTGTAAATTTTTTGAAATAGCAGTACACCAACATCAAAGGATGGTCCCACATCTATATTTTAATTAGATTTAATATTTCATGGACCCAGCTTCAATTGAATACTGGTCTGTTTAGATAAGTGTATATCAAACTACTAAATATCACATTCTAGCAATGGCATCGAAAGTTGATTATGGTCTGGATAAATCTAATGTCTAATAAATAATTCTGATAATATTTCAGGCCTAAAGAAAGGCCTGCAGTAGGCAGATTTAGCTCTTGCATAATGTATGTTTAATTTTTTGTTTTACACAGTACCTATATAAAACACTCACCTCTTGTTCACATAGATTATATTTAATATCAGCTGGTAAAACACTACCAAACTCCCATCTCATCTTCTTTATATTCTCTAATCTATTATACCTATTATAAATATAATATAAATCTTCTTTATATTGTTTCATCTATTATACCTATTATAAATATAATATAAATCTTCTTTATATTGTTTCATCTATTATACCTATTATAAATATAAATTTTCTTTATATTCTCTAATCTATTATACCTACATGTATTATAAATATAATATAAATAAAATGAAATCTGTGATATCAGCTATGGTAACTTTTTATCTCCACTACTCATGTCGTGAGAAAATGAATTTCGGGAAGAGGAAGTCTTGGAATTATTTATAGTTATTATACCTATTGAATGTCTGATATTTCACACTGCTCCCTTAAAGCAGTTAAAAATATTGTGATTATTACTTTCTTATTATTATTTGTCCTCTTTTAAAACATAACAATAATTCACTATTCATCATTCCTTTAAACAATTACAGAAATAGGTCTTTTTTATAATCTAAGTACATGTATTGAAACTGACTTACAAATAAGCAAGAAGACATCTTTTATTTCTTTCTAAACCAGCATGTCGAAGATGAACGCTAGAATACAATTCACTCTCACCAGCCACAGCAGCACTCCTATTAAAAGACAAGATATTTTTTAGAAGGATTAATTGTATTACCAGTAATAAATAATGTGAACTGCAAACATACAACAATTCTAATTTGTTAGCTATTTTAAAAAAAAAAAGGTGGGCATGTCAAACACATTCTTCCACATGGTTCATAAACTTGACACTTGTACGGAACTTCCATTACCCAAATTAAGAGGGGTTGTCATCAGGGCTGGGGTAATGATAATGAAATGTATTCATTACATGTTTTGAAGTAATAGTCATGTAATGAGTAATGGAAGATTTCAGAAGTAATGAGTAATGTAAATAATTACATTTCAAAAATCATGTAATGCTCAATAATATTTCAATTATATATATAAATATGGCAAATATCAATAAAGCCTACTTCATAAACACAGGAGGCAACCAAAATTTAACAGAATGAACAGACCCTTTGCCAGTGCTCGTAAGTTGTATAACATTGTGTCTGAGTCAGTTAATGTTGTGCATATATGTACCTACTGGTAGCCAGTAGGACGTACATGACTACATGACTACATGACATGTATGCCTGCATTGCCTGTGGCTGTGTGTTGGCTTGTTTATTAAAGCCACAGTTAAAATTTATCTTCCACTTACACATCTCTTTGATTGTGTTCAAACAATGCCTTCATTTCATCTAAAACTTGTCTAACAGCATCTTCCTGAAAACAATTGAAAGTTAAAATGGCTATCTAAGGGTACCCGGACCACTTGGACCAAAGACCACTCGGACCAAGACCACTCGGACCAAAAAAAAGACCACTTGGACCAAAACGGAGACCACTCGGACCAACCTAAAAGACCGCCCGGACAAACCCAAAAGACCACTCGGACCAATCAATTTATGTTGGAAGACCACTCGGACCAATATTTATGTTGACTTTCGGGCCAACCCAAAGGATCGCTTCTCGATCCAATTATTCACTTAAGAAATAAAATACAGATTTTAAATTAAATAAATATTATTTAATAAAACAACAAGTCATATTAAAACAAACACAATTTATTAAAACAACAATTTATTAACGATCCGAGTAGTCATATTAAAACAAACAATTTATTAAAACAAAACTTTATTATTGGTCCGAGTGGTCTTTTTCTTTGGTCCAAGTAGTCTTTTTGTATGGTCTGAGTAGTCTTTTTGTTTGGTTCGAGTGGTCTATCAATTGGTCCGAGTGGTCATGCATTCCATCTAAGAATCTAAGTATGGTATTAAGTACAGGACCTCTCGCACTATATAGACCGGGAGCCCAGGGGGTCATGGCATTTAGGGCGTGGAATACCACACCCACCACCAGAAACCCGGCAGACTTACATTCTGATGATACCAGATATACATACATTGATACCATATAGGAGAAAATTGGTACACTTTTCAGCTAGGTTAACCCCCTGGGCTCCTGCTCTATATACCCTAAGGCACAGGCTACGTTTCCTGTCCTGAACCCATATCTTATGTAATACTGGCAATATGAGTCGTACTGTTAGATGGCTTGTGTATTATAGTAATATTTCTATTCATATCGATTATCGAATATAATATCTTTTGGTACTTTTATCCAAAAAAGTCTTAATTTCATTTGACCACCCATGGCAGTAAATGTAGTTATCTCCCTTTAACCTAAACTGTCAAACTTTACATGAACAATGAAAATATAAATTTACGTTATAAGGGGACATTGTCCCATCTACACATCTCTTCAGCTCTCTGATCAACTCCAATGCCTTTTCAGCAAACATGATATGATGCGTTCAGCAAGGCAGGTAATTTCTTAACTTGATGAAGATTTGATTCCTACAACACAAATGTTTTGTTTACACTTATCCTTGCTAGATTTTCCCGCTAAAAATTCACGAAACTTTGACAAATGCAATTTGATTGGATAACCCTTTCCGTTGAACCGTTATCAAGACTGAAACTATGTATTGTTATGTTTTGAAGAGGGACTGGATAATTGGGACTTTATTTATGTCTATAAATAGAAATCAGTGTGTTTTGATGGTCGGAGAAGGTTGTTTGTCAGTAGGCCTATTTTAGTATTTTTCGCTTTTATTTCATGATGGAAAAACTCAGCCCAGCTAAAACTTTTAAGAACAAGTCGAAGATGGAAGAACAAACGACAAGTTCTTCACTAAGGTAGGTTTGTTATCTTCGCGGTAAGCGATAAAGCAAGGTAACAAAGTTCACGTTTGAATGTAGATTTCAGTGTGAACGACATTTAGGTTGGACTTTGGACTCTCCGTTTATCCTGCTGATGGCGGTTTCTAGGTTATATTATTGAAATAAACAATCATTCATTTGATATTGCTAGAACGACAGATAAAAAAAAAATATATAGGTAATATTTTATAGCAGATAGGATGGATGAATTTTTGTCACCAGGAATTAGGTTCTATTTTAATTTTATTTATTTGGTTGATTTAATTAATGTCTTGATTTAGGCTAATATCTTATTATTAATATTAATTAAATCAAGAATCATTCAGTTCAATTTTAATTATACTTCCTTTATTTATTGTATGTCTAATCTATATATGCAGATACCGATATTTAAAATGCCATTACATAATACATGTAGGCTATGTACATGTACATGGGCCTTTGTACATTAGAAATAAATTGTAGTGTAGATGATATTGAATTTAAGATTGCATTGGACAAAAATTCCCCAAATCATCTAGTCTGCTGTTTGCATTCTTGTAGGAATGTAAATAATTTGGCTAGACTTTACAATCTGTCAAACACTGGGATTAGCAGTATTGCACCTGCAGTGTGAACATCTAGGTTATCAGGTAAGCTTGGTATAACCAGTGTAAGTGGGCAGGTGGGGGAGGGGGTAGGCAGACAAACATGTATCTAACTCTGTTAAATGTTACAATGATTTTATAATCTGTATACCTAAAATATCAGTGACACAGTTTGACATGACATTGATAACATGACTAATATACATGCTTTATATATTGATCTACATTTATAATCTATAAAAATTATGAATGGAGAGGTCATTAAAGGCAATGAACCGTGAAATATATGCATGTTAATCCTGTCAAGTAATCATTAGAGGTAATGAACCATGAAATGTGTGGTGCTATGATGATGATCCCATTAACTTAAATTTCATTCTATAACAATTAATCAGGTTTCATCTTGATTTGTCTAGAGTTCTTGTATGTAGTCTGCAAATCAAAAGTTTGGAAACAGGCTTTTAAACCCTAGTCAGTAAATGGATTTTTTCTTGTTATGAAGTTGATCTGTAATGAATTCATGAAGTTGCTCTGTAATGAATTCAAAATGTTTAGATTTATATTTAGAGCTCCCACATTGAACATTTTGTTTATACATGTAAAAAGATCAAAATTGAATATTAAAGCTCACTTTATATTCAAATACCAACGCTTGGCCCTTCAGTCAAATGGCAGAGACAAATTGAGCAGGTAGGGGTTTCATTAATTAGGTGTAGAAGCAACAGGATACAAATCTGAATTACATGTATATTATATTATGTTATTTCCAAAAGAATGATTTCCCACAGCTATTCAAACTGACTTTTTGTTATTTGTTATTAACTGTTAATTAAAGTTAATAGAATTTTATCATTTTTATCTTTTGGAAATATTGAATCAACTAATTAATATTTAAAAATCAATAAACAGATCAGAAAAATATATGGATTTGAAGTAGAAATCTGAAATGCACTAAAAGATACAAAAACTTGAAAATAAATAGAATAGAATATGTGTATTTTAATAGTATTGGAATAACAGCTTTAAAATTAGAATAATAAAATCAGTATTCAATGTGAGCATGACATATTATGACCATTAGCCTAACTGGGTAACTAAGTGTTCTTTGAGTTTGTAGACCAAGTACTGTGAATTAAATATATTTTCTAAATATGAATAATATTTATAATAACATACCTTTTTTTAAAGCTCTGAATGATGAGCTTCAGTAAAATGTATAAATCCAATGTCTTCTGTATATATAGACAAAAACCAAATTGCTGTTTTCATGACTTCGGTACTGTATGTTGAGGTACAGACACGAACATTAATGAAGGTTAAGATAAAAACTATATTAGCGTAAAGGCTGTTTTATATTTTGTTAATATGTTAATTCTATTTCTTGGCAGCAACTCTTTTTATAATAACGTAAGCTGTAGTTATGAATAGCCAGATATTTGAATTCTTTTGTTATGAAGGGACATAGGTATGAATTGGCATAGCTTAACCGAAAGGCTTAGGTAAAATAATAAGTATTTAAGCCAGTTTATGTAACAGTATTATATAAATAATATATAAACTAACTTACCATTTATAATAATCTGGGGTCATTTTATTTGTGATTTGCTGAGCTGAAGAAATACATAGTTGAAGCTGTATGTTTATTGGAAAAGTTTGTGTATCACACCTGTTGTAGTATACAGTTTGAACCCCTAAAATAGGCTTAGTGTTCTGTTTGTTCAATCTTGCTAATATGATGCTTAATTTTGTCCACGGACCAATCACAAAATTAACTGTTTTAAAACGGTTAGATGAAAATTTTTATTTTTTTAGAAAATCAATTCTGTTTTGTGGATTATTACATTGATAATAATGATGATGACCACCATATTTTTGAAAATTGGGAATATATTGTGCTGTTATAGGCTACATATTATGGAGAACTGTTAGCCATTTTTCCGACCACATTGAAATGTTTTGATATAGTGGGTTTGTGTCCTAGTACTGTTTGCTTCTAACATACGTAATATACACGAAGCCCGTATTATATGTGGATGACGCAGAGATATAGAAGGATCAGCAGTTGAAAAGGATCTGTGTGACTATTAGAACATAAAACAATGCAGGCGGAGTGAAAATACATAGATAGGGAAAGAAAGGTCTTGTTAATCAGGAGTACATGTATACAAACTCCTGTTTTAATTCAAAGTCTTGTGAAATTTTGTTTATTGACAACTTTATTCTTCTCCAATGAATATGATGTATTGATTTTATGATATATTAGAAGAAATGTTCTTATGATCTATTTGTTTATTTGTATTTTAGTGAAACTATAGCTACAGGATGGTATGTTGCCAAGGTAACCAGTCTGGTACTGTTCCTGTTATATATTGCTATACCTATATTTGTACAATATAATCCTTGGATTCTACCTAAAGTGGTTTTCTCTAATGTCAGTAAGTAATTTTTGTCCCCCGCCTTTCGAAGAAAGCAGGGGACTATTAATTTTTTTACATTCTATATGTTGGGTATAATAAGGGGTGGATGGGGTGGATAGCCAAATGGTTAGCACGTGCGCTTTATCATAAGGCCTGTCATTGAGTCAACTGGCATGGTTTCGAATCCCCGGTTGTACGTGACAAGGAGTAGGGTTGCCTGTCCCAACCTCGTGGGTTTTCTCCGGGTCCTACGGTTTCCTCCCACGCGAATTATTGAAATAAGATTAAACCATATATTAGTCCCGAAATGACCTAGTTTGTGTCGAGTGGACATAAAACCCAATTTCTCTCTCTCTTTATGTTGGGTTAGGGTTCAGAAGATATGGTTGATATATTCTGAAATTGCACTTGATTATCTTTAAAACATTTGGATTAATGTTGATTTTATTTCAGTACGGTGGCCACCATTTGTTGATTTTAAGAAGCCAGCTGATTTCGGATTGAATACAACTCGTAACTTTTACCTGACTGTAGAAGATGATGTCAAGATTGGTGCATGGTATGTCCAAGTTATAATTGATAAATCAAAATAAAATATTTAAAATCTTAAACCAAACTTTTATTCAGACAGGGGTACCATAGTGGTTATGTGTTAGAACCAACAGGATTTTTAAAGCTCCATGTATCTACCGTAGTCATTTAGATTGTTTAAGAATCTGAGGTCTTGAGAATAGACAGAGTCAATTCTACCTGTGCAATATTTTCCTTCTCGCATTGCACACATAACCAAACAAGTGTCAAATGTCTGATATCTTATCTCTATTGGATAAACAAATATAAATAAATTATGATTTGATTACATGTACATTTATCAGTATGAATTATATAATCTCATCTGTCCTAATTTTCTTATTAAATTTCAGGCATACGTTACCAAGCAGTGTATTGGAAAGCCATCCAAATGAAGATATTTCGCATGAAAAATTTGATCAACATTTAGCTCATGGCAAAAAGATTATTGTTTATTTACATGGAAACAGTGGAACAAGGTAAAAAAATAAACATATACAACTGGCGGTAGTTTTTACTTTGATGTCCATAGCAGTTATATCTCATAACAACCTGTCATGACATCATCATATAGGTTGTTATTCGTTCTTATCAATCGCTGATGACGTCATGACAGGTTGATATTTCATATCAACCGCTAATGACGTCATCTCAGGTCAATATATTCGGCTCATATCAACCGCTGATGACGTAGATGATCGAAATAATACAAAAAAACACAGAAATAAATTTTTATTCTTTTGACAATTAAAATTTGTTATGGTACAGTTTCTAACATTCAGGACCGAAATAGACGGCGTACTTATCGACATACATGTATTTAGATCGGTTATCCATGTCTAATAGTAAGTGCAGGGGGACTGCACCACACAAAATTTACACAAAGACAAATACACGGACAAGACATCATACTCAGGAAAACACAAACATACAAACAATTCAAAAAAAAGTGAAGACATCTTTCAGAATTTTCTTTTCGTCCACATTGTGATTATTTCTCCACACACTACAAGACTTGAAAGTATTTATCGCCCAAGAGTTCCTTTGTAAAGTATTTTTGGGTACAGTCCACTTAAAACAGTCTGTCAAATCCTTCTCTGAACATACTGAAAACCTTTAATCATGGTTCACTGTCAGAATTCTTGAAAAAGAATGCCTTTTAGTCAAAATTTTCTGCAGGCTTTGGATAGATCCTCGTCGATATTTGCATTCACATCTATTCCATCGTCAATATGTTGGCTAAAAAGGATTGATTATTCGTCTGACTATGTATTACTATCCATTTTGTTTTTGCTTTCAATTCAATAGTCCAAAATGGCGACGTATAAACAAAAACATGCATGTAATTGCACGTGATTGCTTCGGTAATTTTCGCTATTTGGCGAGGTTAGGTTAATATCCTATACTTATACTTAACATCGCTTACAGAAATGTTTTTCTTAAAAAACTTTCAAATTTTTTTTCTAAGATTTCTTAATAAATTGGTTTGCCCATCAAAAGCAAACATTGTCAACAAATCCCAATATGAACTCTGCCAAAAGCTTTGTCAAATACTGAATGGAAAGATAACTCTGTAAAGAATGTTCAAAATTTATGAAACAAAGATAGAGATCTTTCTTATACATTATCCCAATGAACAATCTCAATGAGTTTCGATAGATTCTATCAAGAATCCCGATTCTTGACATTCGCAAGATTTTATAAATTGAAACATTAACAGGGAAATAACTCTGTGATTTGAAAAATTCTGAAGTTTGATGGAGTTCTTTCCTTGGCCTAAATAAACAATCCCAGCAAGTTTTTCAAAAAATTCAATGGAGACTTTTATTCTTTATTCACAAGCTTTAAAAATCAAAATATGACTGGATAGATAATCCGCAAAACACTGTTTATAGAATGATTGAGTTCTATTGTATACCCAAAAGAACAGTCCCTATCAAAAACTCTGACCATTATCATGCTCCAAAAGATTTCATGAATTGAAACATAGTATAGACATTAGGATAACTCACTAATACGTGATTTATAAGGGCCCTTCCTTATGATCCACTGAGCAATCCCTGTGAATTTGAAAATATGTGTAAAGTGACCTGTATGGTGGTCATGAACAATTGTGGATGGATGCTGCACTGACTGACCACCAAATGTCAGATGATGGACGAAGGTAACAACAATATACATGAAATGTGGGCATAGATAAATACCCGTAAATCATGATAAGGACATGTACCCTTATATTTATAAGTGTCAGTTTGTAAATATCATAAATATAAAATATTTTATATATTACAGAGGTGGATGGCATAGAGTACAGTTATATAAACTATTAGCTAGCCATGATTTTCATATTGTTACTATTGACTACAGAGGTAAGCCACAAAATTGTATTATTCTGGTATCTAAAGAGGTTTGGTCTATAACTTTCCCTGTAGGTTCTCAGCTTGTTGCCAATATACAGAGCAAAATGGTCATTGTAGTGGTGTAAGTTGGTTCATTTGCTACACAAAATGCTTAAGCTGACCAAATTGTTGAAAACAGCAAAATTGTTTCGGAATGGTAGAAATAACTAAAACTTCTAATTAATCTGTCCAAAATTGCTTCTCATGGGCTGAGGGAGTCAAATGATAAGAGCACAGGGATCCTGACTAGAATGTCACAGATTTGAATCCCAGTGTTGTCCAAGAAGAATCTGGATTTTTCAAGCCCGGTTCTGTTCTCACTTGTCAGGAGTAGTGCCTGTGCTGATGACAAGTACAGTGTAATCTAATCGTACACATTGGCGTAAAAAACATTGACAGTTGAAATTTAATGAAGAGTATGTAGAATCGCTGCTCTCCGACCAGAATTATCCTCCCTTGCATTGGGCATGTGACCATAGGAACAAATTTGACCGTATGTTAGTATCAAATTAACATTTTATCGATAGAAATCTGCAATCAAGCCAAAATAAAGTCTGTTAATAACAAGTTAATGTGATCATGTTACTGCAGGTTTTGGTGATTCAACTGGTACACCAACAGAAGATGGTGTAGTATCAGATGCCTATCATCTCTATCACTGGGTTAAAGAAAGGAGTGGCGATTCCCCAGTCTTTCTGTGGGGACATTCATTAGGCACAGCGTATGTACTTTATCTTTTTGTGCATCAACTTCATATTTTCTTTTACATTTTAAAGTAAGAATTAAATGCTTGCACTTAATTAATGAGGAAACTGCTCTGAACACAAAGTTGTATTTACTAAGTAGATGTCACTGTTTACTTTCACAATACAGGTTCTCTGTATAGTTCTCACTGCATTTTAAATCAACATATGCCATTCTTCATACATACACTTCTTAGTTCACAGAGCTTCTTTTAGAAAGTTCCTGAAGCTTGAGTTGAATTTGTATGTGTAAAGATCCCAGTTTTCCACCATGTTATTTTCCATTGTATAGGAAAACTTGCTGTATTTTGGGGTTGTCTTTATTTTCAGAATTACAACAAAACTAGCCAAAAAATTATGTGATGAAGGAGAACATCCATTGGGTGTTGTATTAGAAGCTCCATTTAATAATATAAATGATGCAGCAGCTAATCACCCATTTTCGTTTGTAAGTTTTACTACAATAATTCAAATCAATTTAAGAATTGCCATTTCAGAAGATCATATCTATGTTTTTTATTAATCCTAATTCATTGTCAGGATTCATGTTTGTTTATGGGATTTATTTCGAAAAAGGGGCACAACTTTTTAACTAATGTTGACTACCGACCCAGACCCTCCGTACGTTGAAGACTAGGGGGTTCTGTGTGACCGAGACTATTTATTTACTGGATCTAAAGGCAATTAAAAGAGAAAGGTTGTTTTCAAAAAGAAAGGTTGTTTAAGTACTGAGTTCCATATGAAGCAAAAACACTATTTATAGGGGTTATGTAGCTCTTTTGGAGTGCTTGTCTCCAATTTTTCATTGATTGATCTTACAAGATAAATGTGACCATTGTATACAGTATGTAATTGTTTCTAAAAGTTGATTACCTGCAAAATTCTATCTAGCTTTTTTCTTATAAATGTATTATTGTTGTTTTTTCCAGCCTTACAGAATGCTTCCTTGGTTCAGTGACATTTTTATCAGCAGTATAGCAGATCATGGAATCTTTTTTACCAGTGATAAAAGGTAGGATACATGTAAATGATGAGGGTTGATATGTTTCAGGTAGAAGTTTTTCTAGATGTAAATGACAATGGGTTTAATGTTGACAATCTATATGACTGAGATATAAGTGGTTCAATCAGAGGTCTTTCTTGTCATAAGACTAATTTACTTCAGACTGTTACCACAAAAATGAGGATTAATTTCATAATTTTGATGCTTTTAAGAAATACAATTTGAATTTTTTGTCTTGTGTAGAAAAAACTGAAAGTTTTTGAAATATCTTCACAAAGTAGAAGTCACAGATCATCTTCTGATCCCCTTTTATTAAAACCTAATAAAGTAAAACTTGTTTCATATGGTAACAGGTCTTTTAGTACACAAGTTCCAAAAATATCGAATAGCCTTCCTTTTAATTTACACAATCTAAAGCTATTTTTATGACATACACATGTAATTAAAAACCCATTTATTTTGAGAAGGCTTTCAATTGATATTCGTTTTATATGTTTTGCAATTATCATTATTATTTGAAAAAATGTTTTTTTTAAAGATAATTTGGTTATTGAGATATTCTGTAAATAATGAATAATAATGTCTATTTCAGTGTTGAACATGTGACCTCACCTATAATGATCTTACATGCTGAAGATGATGCTGTTGTACCTTATCATCTTGGTCTAAAGGTTTGTTGGAATTTAATTACAGCTATTAAATATCACCTGAGAAAAATCATGTAGCATAGTAGCAACTTGATAAAACATCAGCTGACAAAATTATGACACCTCATTGAGGAACCGACAGAAGGGAGATAACTAAACCAAGAAGTTGAACTAATGCCATTTGTGACCAGCTCTAGCTAAATGAATTGGTATAGTGCATAAGCAGTTATCTTTACAAAAATGGCAGAGATATTTAGTATTGAAGTTGGTATACACCATAACATTCATTTTCAAAGAAAAGTGATTTACTGCAATAATACAAACAAGACTTAACAACCAATACCATCTAAATTGATACATTCTTGACATACGTCTCATTTAGCCATAATGGTAACATGTCACTACAATCTGTGTACCACAAAGAAAGTTACAATCAGTGGTAGCTGTAGAGAATGATGAATAATTAACCTAATGAACCGTCACAAAATTTCTACACTTGCCTCCAAACGAATAACCCGTGGATATATCCAGGGGTGCCGTAACGACGTGAGGGCCAGGGTACCAAATGAGGGGGGGAGCATATCTAGCCTTCCAAATTCCAACATAAAACCCTTTAAAATACATGATAATGAAAGAGACAAAAGCCTGATTATTCACAATTTTCGTATCATGAGCAATTCATCTCATTAAAAAAATTCTTTTTAATTTTACATTCAATACACAAATCTTCATCAAGAAAATACAATAAGCTTTTTGAACGAGACAGTGGATTTAGAGACACGATTCTTGCAAAAGCTCATATTCAGGAGCAAGTGTTGATGAGACACTATAATGAGACTATAATCGACCGAAATAATTGATGCGCTGATCAGATTTCACAATAAATTCAGATAATCTCATTAGGGCATGGGTATACATTTGTATACCCTGGGACCCGGGTTCTGGCGCCCCTGGATATATCTCAACCCACCTACCTGTCCATCTGTGCTGACATAGTAAGAAAATGTTGACATATTTCAATTCTTGATTCAGTATTGAATTACCGACATTAAGTTTATAATTCTGTCTATGGGAATGATTTTCGTGCGTCATCAAAAATGACTGACAGTGAAAATTTTGAAGTGGAAGCCCTGGTCTGCGGTGTTGCTCAACCCACCAACCTAGTTCCATGGGTTTTTTGATTGGACACAAGTACTGAAATTTTGATGTGACAGTGCCTTACCACGATCCAGATCTATATTAAAATGATTTGTTGAATTAAAAAATAGAACTTTTAAAAACATGATATTTTTTTCTTCAGTTATTTGAAGCAGCTAAAGAAATCCGACCAAATACCCACGGTGATGTTGATTTTGTTTCATTTCCTGGTCACCATGGATACGGACATAAACATATTTTTAAATCACCAGAACTTCCAAGTATTGTGAAGTAAGTATATTTATTCCTTGGATGTTATTAATGGTATTAAGGCATCATATTTTAAGAACCAAAAATAAAATTTTCTCCAAACTTTTCTTTTTATAGCTGGGGCATTGGATGGCTGAATGGTTAGCATGTGCGCGCTGTATTATAAGGTCTGTCATTGAGTCAACTGGCATGGTTTCGATTCCCCGGTTGTACATGACAAGGAGTAGGGTCGCCTGTCCAAACTCAGGGGTTTTCTCAGGGTCCTCCAGTTTCCTTCCACTGCTAAAGACCCCTACTGAAATAAAATTGAACCATGTGTTTGTCCCGAAATGACCTAGTTTGTGTGAGTGGACTTAAACCCCATCTCTCTCTCTCTCTCTCTGTCTGTCTGTCTCTCTCTCTCTCTCTCTCTCTCTCTCTCTCTCTCTCTCTCTCTCTCTCTTTATGAAATAGACTATATGTTTTGAGAAAAGTCTTATGACTAAAATGGCTAAACGCAAAATAAACAAAGCTATTTTTTACAATTGTTATGCTCACATGATTCTACTTCTGTTTCAGAAATTTCATGGAAAAGAGTATAGTCAAACGACAAGAGCAGAAAAAAGAGAAGTAAGATGATATTAATATGCCGCTAAAACTGTTTGTGTGAAATGGACCTCAGGGTGTTCCATTCCATTTAACACAAAACATGTTTTAATATTATATATAGCTGGTGAATAGTCTCTATATTTACAATTGTTGCTTCAAAGATTATTGCTATGTGTCAGTACTATTTATGTAAAATGAGTCAGAATTATGTTTTTTTAAGACTAACACAGCTCAGTTTGTACATCCATAATTATTGTTTAACAAAATATATTTTTTGTTCTATTTTTGTAAAATTGTTTATAATAATATTAAAAGGAAATCTTCTATTCAGACCCCCAAGTTCAAACTGTTGGACAGGAATTAGCCATTTAAAATTTTTCTAGCCTAGGAATTGTTTAATATAATGTGACTAACACTTATATGGATGGATATGGACTTTAGCAAAATATTTCAAAATAGAATAGCTTTTGAATACTTAACAATGAGACAAGGGTACAAAATCATTATTTTTAACTCCTATCCATCTTTATACAGTATTTTTATCTATGTGAATTATGATATTTTGTATATATTTTTATTATTTATATATTACCGGTATGTATATTTTTTTGTTGTCGATTATTGTTGTATTACTGAATCAATATTAGTTTAGTAAGGTTTTTAAATTTTATTTCTTAGCTAGTTGTGACTTAGTGAATAAAATGAAAACTTATTTGTTCACATGTATTAAGATAAGATTGAATGTCATTGTGTGGACAGACTAATGAATTTTTAAAGTTGTGTCAATGTTTGAATGTTAATTCATTGACTGCAAAGACCAGTTATGTTTCACTCACGGCTAATAGAATGGTTTCTTTGGACCAAGACCAGTGATGTCTGGACGTAACCAAATGAAGGTTGCAGCTGGAGAACCAACTACTGGTGGGCATCATAATGTTGCTGTCTAAGTTTATCTGTAATATTCCAAGAGTTGGTTGTTGTCTGGATACACATATGGGAAGGTGAAGGCTGGAGAACAGACTGTTTGTATTGTAGGAAATTTGGCTGCTCATGTTTAAAGGCTAAAGAAGGACTGGAAATGACAAATCTAAAAGTTAATAAATTGTTAGTCAACTAGTAATTAGGTAGAAAATGTAAGTTCTCAAATTTATTATCATTTTAGGAAGTGTACGTAAACTGAATAGAGTAGTAGGGACCTGGTCCCTGGGCTAAAAATTCAAGTGCCCTTTTCTGTTCCCATATGTTAAAAATTAAAGTACATGTAATCCAAAGCAATGAATAGCGATTTGTTATGTATTTATTTTTTACATGTTCTTCCTGAAAGGTGTCTAATGTCATGATAAAAGCCATAAATATATGATTATGTCAGAATCATCTGTCATATTAGGCTACTAGTAAGCAACCTTTCGGAATTTTATGTATTATTGCTAGTTTTTATTATATGTCTCTTTTATTACCCAGTGACAGTTATAGCTTAAGTTCGCTTCGGTTATTTTAGCCAGCAGCATGGTAATATTTTAGCACATGTCAGACCAGCTTTTGCTCTCTGAACAATTGGATTGAATTTTAAAAAAAATTAAATTGCTGCACTATCAGGAGCAGGCTCAATAAACCAATAAAGAACTTCTGATCAATTTAAATCATAAGGACAAGAATTAAGAGAGGATGTTTGTTGTTTATGTTAAGTTTGTGTTGTTTCTTTCGACATTTTTCATCATTACAATGCAGATTTTTGCATACACCCTTTTCCCCCCTTTTCTTGTTCACAGTTTTTAATGCTACTAACATACTTTTGACCTCGACATCTTAACTGTAGTGTTACTTGTTTTTTTGTTTTATGTGTATTATATAAGATCTGATGTGTTCATTTTTTTAGTTTTGTTTTTGGTAACATTTTAAAAAGGCATATCATAACAAGTTAATGAAATTTTTGTCATTTTCTCATTTAAAAAAATATGACTGTGCATCCTTGAGGTCATATGTATTTATTAAAGTGCTAAACTTACTAACATTGTTACTGACTAGTGTGTATGTACTGTAGGCCTACCTCCCCAAGATATGACATTTAAAGTCACCTGCAGGTCTTAGATGTAAATTTGATAACGTTCACATGTCAAGAATATTAAACATTTTGCTAACACAACCTGATCTAAATCAAGCTAATAATATCTTATCACTGTGCCCTATTTTGAGACCTGTTATGATTATCATTTGTGCCGGAATTTATGAATTAATATTGCCCATAGATGGCAGATTTCTGATTTACTAGTAGTTATTCTTTTATGGCTGAAAATGTCATTTTGTTGGAAAAAATCTTCTCTGAACAGCTGTTTGAGGTCTGCAGCCCCTTTCAATCCACTGCCTCATATTTCAAAAAGATTTCTGGTTTCTGCTTTAGTTATTTTTGTCTGCAAATGTCTTATTTTATTGGAAAAGGGGCTGAGGTCTGCAGTCCCTTTCAATGCACTGTCTAATATTTTAATGTACTTTGGGTCATCCAGACAAGCTGCTTAGAAAGATTTAGGAGTTGAAAAAAATTCAAAGAATGTAGATTTCATTTTGTAATAGAGTTTACTTATAGCATAAATATTTAATGAATTTTATAAAGTCTATTGTCTGAAAATGTGATTGCAAAAAAATATATAAAAACATAAAAATGTATTTAAAAAATATGTGAAGAAAATGTGATATTTTATTATAATGCTGAACTCCCTATATCGGCAACACTTTCTTAGATATTTTTTTTGTCTACAGTTTTTGGTGATAATGTTTTTCTTGCCCAACCAATGCAAATTACTGTATTAAATATTATTTGAGCAAATAAATATTTTAGGTAGTGTATTAGAATTAGTTGTGTTTATAGTTTGTTTTAAGAGGCGGTGGTTCCTTTATTTACATATTTCTAGACAAACAAGAACCCTCCAGCCATTAAATGCCATGTTGGCCAGATATTTAGTACATTTTACTAGAATGACATGCAGGATCTGATCTAATCTCCAAGAATTCTTCCTCCATTTTGATCAAGCCCCCCCCCACCTTTTTATTTACTTAACAAATTCGTCCCTTCATGCTTTCAGTTGTTTAAATCTGGATAACTTTACAAATGACCTTGGTACCAAATCAATGGATTTGGTCTCACAATGTTTTCATAAACCCGTCATAAATTTAAGCTAATAGCTGCACAACAGTCATACACCGCAAGCTCACGATAAAAACGTAGCATCCTCAAGTCAATACTTAGTCTTCATCGCGAGAGTCTGAAATAGGTAGCAACTCCACCACATATCTCTACGTAAACTTTCACATAAATACCGTAGTAGCAAGAACGGCCAAAACCTACCCTACCAAAAAACAGGAGCGTGTAGCCTACCATGAGAACAATTTATGGACCGGAAAGAAGGCGCTATAGAGGATGGATTAGTACAAATTAAGATAGTTCTGGACATACACCCTCAGTGGGCACCAATCAGGGAACGGGTCATGAGAGCACTTTTCCATTCGAAGTTTCAGAAAATTTCCACTGTGCATTGCTATTTGCCATCCCAGGGGATTTTGCTTAGATAGACAGTGGTTCATTTCGAATTATCAAGGGTTCCTTTTACAAGCTAGCCAATGGGAGAGAGAGAGAGAGAGTTAGGTCATTTTGGAACTAACATAGTTCAATTTTACGTCATTAAATCAGTTGTGCGCGGGGTTATTAAGCAGTGTGGGATGGGGGGGGGGGTAGGATATGAATCGATACAACACCGATTGACTCAATGCCAGATATTATGACGTGTATGTATTAGAACATACAGGGCCCTGTTTCCAAAATTTAGTAGATACTTCAATTTTGATTGCCTAAGCACTAAAATCAATCTAATATTATCCAATCAAATTACTAAAATTTGGATTTTATCTTAGTTAAAATATCGTGAAACAGGCCCCAGGTGGGTATCGTTTTGTTTCCTATTTTAACCTACCATGTCAACCACACAGACCCGTTTGGGTTAGTGTTATTATTAATATACCAAAAGATAATAAAAAATATTCCTGATGTCGCTAGTAACCTTAATGAAGGGATTCGTGTAGGTGGGGTGGACGGGGGTAATTCTGGGTCAGTTAATTAATGGGGTTTATGCAGTATTTGTATTTTATGTTTATTAAATATAAATTACTTTACAATTCCATAAAATTATATAATGTGTAATAACCATGACTTGGTCTCAAAATAAATTTTATAACTCTAAACTTAGGCTATTCACATTATCTTGAATAGGTTTCTATTTTTGAACATTATCTTTTTGCTGACAATGTCTAGACGAGGTCTTATAATGGGATTTTGTTTTAAATAATGTTGATATATATATGGAAGTCTACTAATTTGATCTAAAAATGGAAGAGGTTAGCCTTAGACCATGCGCTGATTAAGCCTACCTTTAAAAAATCGATTAAGACGGAGAACAAATTTCGTCATGCCTGCCTTCGGGTATAGGTCTATGTGATCAGTGACTATTACACTTAAAATATATTTAAATTAAGAAAAAAAATAATGGAAATACACATTGGTTATAATTTTAAGGTTTATTATACAATGAAATCACAAAAAAATGTGAACAAAACAGCATATCACATAAAAAATAAAATCGAAAAAATAAACAACCTGTATTTATCACAATATTGTAGGTAAAGTTATATACAAAAACAAAATCGTTTTAAAGATACAATATGTAAGAGTTAGACATGGAGCTGGTCGTTCTTGTTATAATAGTTCAAATATAGATCACGAGAAATGATAATAATGAAAAATTCTGTCAAATCACTTTATTCTGTGAGAAGTTATGACCATTTGAAGTTTTGACCAAGTTTAGCTTAGATTGTTTATTATCGTGACACTCTTAAATGGACGCGGTGTTCTAATACTTAAAACCGGAGCCATCAGATGGCCCGGGGCATTTATTATGGGCTTGTCGTGTTAATAAATGTTTAAATAATGATTTATAAGACATTTGAAGTCAGAAAGGACCTGTAATATTCAGATTTAGCTCTTACATAATGTATATTTGATATTTAAAAAAAGAATACTAAATCAGGGGTGGAAGTACCTTTTTACACTCAGTATTTATAAAAACTAATCTATTCGGTGAAATAGAAATAATAACATAACAGTACTAAGTGTGGTTTAATGGTCAAGTGCGAGAAATTAAGTAATATATTGATATTGCACGAGTGCGATAGCACGAGTGCTGTATCCATATATTACGCAATGTCTTTCAAGAGACCATTAAACAACTTAAAATACAGACACTGTCCAGCACATGCATTTCAATGAAATACATCACTCGGGTCCAATATTTAAAATAGTATAAATAATGTACGCTTGGCACATTGCCCGTACCATTATTTGAAATAACTGTACGCTAACATCAAAGGATGACGTCACATTTGTATTTTAATAATATTTATACTATGTAATATAATACCTATATACATGTATTTGGAATAAACAATTACAGCCACTCTTTAAAATTTAAATGTATTAAATATCTAGATTTGTCTTATCACAGGGTTATATAATGGCAGTGAAATCCCTGTTGTTGAATACCGTCATTCTAACAGGACACAACCTCTGGTATTGTAATTTAAATATCTGTTGTAAAGTCGATACTTTCATTCAGTACCCCCTCCCCCCCCGCAATGATATTACTGCTATATCTCCTCAAACACGCTTCCTTGCGGGTATTTTGATATCCATTACCCCCCCCCCCCGCAATGGTATTACGGCTGTGTCTCACAAACACGCTTCTTTGTGGGTATTTTTGATCTTTCACCCACAACTGTAATCACAATAACGTGTTAAATTATTAAAAGAAGAAATCTATATGGCAATGTCCTCTACACTTCGTAACGAAGTTGAATTTGGTACTCATCGAGTCACAATTGTCCCTTTAAAATGCAACTATTTAAAGACTAATATTTGATTTATGTGCAACCAAGTTGCATACGGATAAGAAATATTTTATATGACATGACCATATTTTTACATTGACAACTTCAAAATTCTGTTACCGTCTTTAAAAATACTAATGTCATCTAAATTAAATTTTCCTTTGATTTGTCGGTTAGATAGAAAATAATAGGCGACACAGATAAGATTGATATATAAGTAATATAAATGTACAATGTATATCTTTGAAGCTTTAGGCTATATAAATATATTATAGACAATAATAATTTGTCATGGATATTAAACTGACATTAGTAAAATACACCTTTTCCTCCCAAATTGCCCAAACTCACTTAATCATATTCATTAATGACCCCTTATGTCATTTAATGAGTCTAATGCCTGTTAAAGAGCAACACCTCTTATTTTGATTATCCACTAATGCTACAATTTAAACCTAAATTTGGAAAATACTGATAAACTTTTTCATAGTTCCCTCTTTTTAATGGTCAATTATGTCAAATAATGAGTCTTTAAGCACAATTAAAGAACAAGACCTCATATTTTCATTAACCGCTAATTGTTGTGAGCTACGATATAAACCTAAATTTGGAAAATACTGATACATACAATTGTCGAAATTGCCCTTCATCAACGATTAATAATGATAACCAATTTAAATGAAAGCTTACGAAACTAATTCTCATAAATTGTTAATTTAGCTATGCGTCGGCGCATTTTGGTGTAAAATGCCCCAAATGTGCATCTGTTGTCGAAGTCATTATGGGATTTCATGATCGTAACTCTAATCCAGAAACTTCATTGGTGGGCATTTTACCCCAATCCGTCCAAGGCCCCAGTGTATATCTTTCTAAAGAGAATGACACCGACCGCCTTAAAGATACAATAAAAGACTAGATTATGAGCTATTTGAACAAGACAGTTCATGTTAATTAGTCATGTTCCTAAACCTTTCAATGTGGACAACATCTCAAATCAAATAAGTCGATCTATTTTTTCAAAGATCCATGATTATTTACCGAGCAGGCAAAATGTCTTCGAGATCCAGGAATGCCGCAGTGAATCGGGCATTTCAAATCACTGATGACGTCACTGGTTTGACATCATGCCAATTCTCTTCATCGTGTTTGAGAGGGAAGTCAACAATGAGTACATTTGATGGCTGTTGACGCAAATGCCATAAGTCCAATCTTTTAAGGTCAAAATTCATCATCAATTTTCTTTTGATATGTGTTCTTTTGCGTTTAAACACGAGAAATGCACCTACAAGGACCGACACACCCACAATTGCTAATATGATACCAGTCAACACTGACATGTGTGACGGATAGTGAAAGTCATTTGATTTTTTAATATGACTTTCTTCATCATAGACTATATTTGTAATGTCAGATTCATATTGTTTTGTTGTTGAGAATAAATCTTTTAATTTGCCTCCTGGGCTCAGATTTGACGTCTGTTGTTTTGACCCGACGTCAGCAAATACCGGAACGTGTGGGGTGAAATCTGCACGAGGTTCTGCGTCAGTGGAGCTGGCAGCGATAACATCCCGCCCTGTTTCTTTAGAAGATGACGTGGTTGTCATAATAGTTGTCGTCTCTGTATCCTGACTTACAGTGACGTTTATTTCTTGTTTATTTACAAGGTCACTGTCGGAGGCATTTGTTAGTATTTGTTTCTCCACCACTAACCCAGATTCAAGAACCTGAGGCTCCCATGCATCTGGTGCTTGTATTGACACCACCTGCGAGGTTGTTTCTGCTGACGTTGACTCAGTTGTATCTGCTGGTATCGCTTGAGTTGATGTTTCTGAATTACCTCCATCAGTATCGATACCAAATAAATCAAATATCAGGCTCGCCTCTTCCTCTGTAAATACACCAATTGGTAGGGATTCGGGCGTTGCTATACTTGTTTCCAAAACTTCAGCCCCGCCAACTAAAGTTTCATTGACAGCAGTATCATTGGAATAGTCGGTAATTTGTGTTGTCGTATTATCAAGCATCATCGAAATTGTTGTTGTAGTGTCTTGGTATCGAACTATGTCTTCTGCTGTGTACGGATTATTCTGTGTCACTGTTTCTTCAGTAGTAATATGTTGATTCTCTACATTTTGTGCTGTATTAATGGTCGTAGTTAGTTCGCCATTGATGCGCCATAAAAGGCACTGAAATACATAAAACGACATTCTTATTAAACTACATGTATATATGTGTTGATTTATTTACAGTACTATTTGTAAATTTGTCCATTAACAGGAATCGCCAATCATTCTAGATTGTCTGTAGACACAGGTTATGCTTACTCTTTCTAGGTACCATTTCTACTTTGAAGACTTGGTCATTTCAGAACTAACATATGGTACAACTTTATTTCTGTAATTCGCTGATTTTAGGGGTCTTTAGCAGTGGAAGAAAACCAGAGGACCTGGAGAAAGCCCACGAGGTTTGGCAGATCACATTACTCATTGTCACGTACAAGATCGAGATCTAATACCCAAGCGTTAGACCATTCCACATCCCCACACTCACCTATCCAATTTGGGGGTTCGGGTTGGACAAAAGTCCAAGGTCCACCCGTGTACTCCTTTTCGTGCACGTAAGGAACCCTTGACATTCATAATTCGATGAAGGGTAGACCGAAAGGCCACTGTCTAAGCAAAATGTTCCTCAAGGTTGTTATACATGCCTGTCTACAGTGACCCGGTTGCTGTCGAAAACTAAAACGTTAAACCCTATTTCATTTCATTTCATCGCACATTCTTTTTATACATATGAAATTTATTCAAAACAATCAATTAAAGAATAATCAGTTAATTAAAGAATAATCCTTCAGAGGCACTTAGTAACTGGATAGAGCGTAAACTATAACACTTGGAAGAACTATTACTGATATATTTAGGTGACATTGATGCCCTTGTTGCCATGCATGGTTTATGATTTGTTGTTATTGCTGGTTATGTCTATATATAATTGTTCTACATATTTGTTACTGTAGTGCTTGAAAACGTTGAGGGAATACTTTTCGAAACGTCGCCTAAATAAATCAGTAATTGTTCTTCCATAAGTATGTGTCATAGTTTCTTTACAGAACTTGAGATATTCAAAAAAGATGTCCAAACGTCGATAAACATAAAATTATGTAAATATGTGATGTGAAATAGTTAAATAATTTTGTTTGATGTTTATTTAATTTTATTTTAAAATGTCAATTGTTTTAATATAACTTATAGAAACAATGTTATCTATTTTTTTAAAGCTACATCCGTATTTGAGTCGGGTTTTTTTTTTAGGTAATTTTTTTCGGAAAAACGTTGCATTGTAGTTTGTCACGGATTTGTATTGCAATAGGAACAAACATTAATTATAAATAGTTTTTAAGAGATAAAAATTACACACGAGGATGTGACTGGTAATTACTATTCAGGAACAAACAAATACTATATCTTAACTCAGAAATTTGTGGAAAATACTTTGCACGTGATTCAACAATTTAAACAATGGCCATTTTAAAAAAAAAATGATATATATAGGTGATATTTTCATCAGATGAAAGTAAACGATGATTTAATTCAATGAATGAAAGGGGGTTTAACGTCCTACTTTTATCCACCCACCGAGATAACCGAGTGGGCTATATTGCGCAATATCTTAGATTATGTACTAACAGCCCCAGTATGACAGAATTTATATTTCATGCGATTTTGAAAAACAGTTTCCTTGTTCTGAATTTGAGGATTTCTGAATTTCTAATATACTCTAACCTTTCCAGAAAAACGATACATTAAACTAAAATTAACTAATTAGTAAGAACAACTTGACGGTTTGTAATGGTAATCTTTATTAGCATCGGCGTGGGGGCGCGTTGGATCACAAGGTCTGTCATTGTGTCAAGTGGTGTGGTTTGGATTCCCCGCTTGTACGTGACAAGGAGTTGGGGCGCCTGTCAAACTGTAAACATTATTGAGGTTACTAGGGCTGTGATGAGTGTATATGCTCCCAGTCATTCTAAGACGTCTTTAAAACCAATTATTCATATTTATGGCAGGAAAAGTTGTTTGACCCTAGGGCTCTCTTTTAGTTTAATGTTCATACATTTACCCTTTCAGTCACGTAAATGTATCAAAAGTCAATTAAAGTCCATCGTCAGTATTTTTTTTATTGACAAGACAATAATGAAAACACTGTATAAAACAAACGAGTGTTGGTGTTTTTGTTAAAAAATTAAATACTGTTTTGTAGGAGAATGCACAACTAAGAGTCCTGCTTATAGAGCATTTAACGAAATTCTAAAATTATTAATGTTATATTATTTATAAAAATTGTTAAATAAACTTTACTGATCAATATTACGAATTTGTTACAAGCTTACAATATTGTGTTTAAATATCAAGGTTATTAAAAAAATATGTTAAAACACATGACCCTGAATACTCCCCTTGTCTTATACCAACATGTTATTCAGTTTTAATGAGTTTTATTTTCTGGCTAAATAATTCATAATCTAAATTATTAACATTAAATTATATATACATGTACTCACCATCGTATAAAGAAATCCAAGTAAAAACTGATAAGAATTCATTGTTTGGGTATAGCGTCGATTCTTTCCTAACTAGATTGTTCGCGAATGTGGTTCTGAACAGTATAGTTATTTTGTCTTTATAAACAGCGTCTGTACGGCTATGTCACATAATTAAAAATAAACGACGTGAAAACCGTGTACACAGGTAAAACCGAAAACATCCTTTACATTTACTGTGACGTAGGTATGTGTCATATCGCCTCAGCCAATCCCCGTGTCTGATTTACAAACTAGGTTACATGATTTGTGACATGTGTATATATTAACACCATAAAAAACACAATAACAGTTAACTATTGACAGTTTATTGTGATAGGAAAATATGGGTTATTATTACAGCTAATAAGAAAGCGAAATAAGTGAAAAACTACAACAAAAATTCTTTTTAGTTTTATAAAAACACTATTACAACATAATGTGATTTTGTTTAAAGCTTATATAAAGTAATTGGGATATTATGGCGAAAAATGCCGTAACACTCACATTAATATAATTGTTAAGCAAAATTTTATTATTTTATTTGTTGCGTTCATCCTTTTCCGTTATTTATCCTGTCCGAATATGATTAGCTTACTTTAGTTGTAAACGGATGAAAATTCTTTGCAATCTACTAATTTACTAATACTAATGTCACTTATTCGACATAACCTTACCATTGTTAAAGAAAACAATTTGTTTGCATTCTAAAATAATAATGTCACCTATTCGACATAACCCTAGTATTGTTACAGAATTTAATTTGACATTTGAAATTAAGAAGCGAAGTGGGTTGGTTTAGCTGCATTGGCAGCTCTAGGGTTTAAAAGAAGTGACATGGCTCCGATCCTTAGACTTGGAATACTGTCATATTTATTTACATATATAAGTCACGTTATTAATTATTAATCGACCTATTAACATCATTAAGAGGATTAATATTTCCATGTAACTCTATAATGACCTATTCAATTTAATGTAAAGTGTGTCTTCATGATCTGCGGGCATACATAAATAAAATTTGACGGGTAGACTGGACATGTTTTGAGGCTGTATATAAATATCCGCTGAAAAGGCCAGTGACTGGGTCAAACATTTCGTACTTCGGGGCTCATACCGCAATGGGGAGGCCAGTCATAAATAACTAACAATATCCAAAATAGAGAGGTATACAACAAGATTACATAAGACAATGAACTCATAGCATAGCCCGTATAGTTTACTACATCAGCAAGTACTTATAAACAAACGATGGGATAGTTTAAACAATATAAATTGTTGGCTATGTAATCTTTTATAACGGATATATGAAATATTTTTCGCTATTTTCATTATTCCCCGATAAGTTTCCTATATTTAGATCCGTTTTCTGGGTATCTTATAAAGCAAAATAATATTACATCCGGTATGTAAAATATCTATTTGCTGACCTTTGGTGATCCGGATTTAATTCTTATAAATCGCAAGCCCCTCTTATACAGTTTATGAACTTTTTTCTAAATGGCTTAACCGAACTTAGATAATGTTGATACCATTGGTAATCACGTAACAGAAATCACCCTCACTGACATTGTATTTATAATGCAAGAGAAATAAAATCAAATCTTCTATACTAATATTTGTGACTGTCGTTTGTCTGTCTGTCTGTCTGTTCGGGGTTGGCGGCTACACTAGGTCTGCCCCGAGTCTGAAATTTGGGGTATATGGGTAGCTCGGACCGGGGAGTAACATAGGCCAGGTGGCGTTAGTCTACCACTTCCGGTTTCGGAGTTATGACCCCCGAGCGAAGCCGGCCTGTTCGGGGTTGGCGGCTACACTAGGTCTGCCCCGAGTCTGAAATTTGGGGTATAGGGGTAGCTCGGACCGGGGAGTAACATAGGCCAGGTGGCGTTAGTCTACCACTTCCGGTTTCGGAGTTATGACCCCCGAGCGAAGCCGGGTATCTGTCTGTCTGTCGGGGTTGGCGGCTACACTAGGTCTGCCCCGAGTCTGAAATTTGGGGTATAGGGGTAGCTCGGACCGGGGAGTAATATAGGCCAGGTGGCGTTAGTCTACCCCTTCCGGTTTCGGAGTTATGACCCCCGAGCGAAGCCGGGTATCCTGCTAGTTAAGTTATAACTATGGGGCCCAATTCGCTCGGGGCCCAAATTCGATGGCCTAAAACATTCACGGGGTCATGCTGGTTAATTTCATACCGCATATTATTATGTGGGGTGGATCGCGGCGAAGAAGCACGATTTTCCCGGGGCTCAGGCCCAATTCGATGGTCCAAAACATTCATGGGGTCCTACTGGTTAATTTGTTACCACATTATGTGGGGGTGAATCGCGGCGACGAAGCGTGAGGGGCGAACGCACAAACAGAGATCTTTGATTTTATTTATATAGAATATTAAAATATAATGATATAGCTAACGTAAATTATGCGAATTTGGGGTTTACATTAGTTTCAACTTCCAAATCAACTTTTCCGTTTGTGTTAAAGGAGCTAAATCGTTAATATTTGGGACCTAGAAATTGACCATATAATAATGTAATCTGATTGTTTATAAACTTATTTACATTCAATTGTTTCCGTTTTGATCCTAATTTCAAATCAGTTATGTCCAGCGAAATACGACATAAGTCTCAACCGAATGTCAATTTCTAGCATCTGGTTATTCCAGTCTATTGCGCATGCTCTCCAGATAAGATATGGCGTCACCGTTTGACATGAGTTGTTGAATATGTCTAGCCTCGTTCTTTCTGGTCACTTGTTACAAATGACGCTGAAACGCACTATGGTACACGATTCGTGTTCCAATGGTAAAATGTTTATTTTGTCTTGAATATTGGATATCAGAAGCCTACCTTTTCCCGGTAAGATTACAACATCAGTGTTGATTTGAATTGACAAATAATTCGTGTTTTCAATGTGTAAGACTTTGGATGATATTGAGTTAGAGACTTCGCTACTTTAAGTAAACGGAGGGTGTTGCCCATTGGGATGTTGCCTAATGCTAGGGGCAGACGAGCGTATTTTTTCGCCTGATCGCGCTGATTAAAATTCGCCAGCGATTTTTTTACGGCCGACGTAGCGATCGTCGAGAGTGTATATGCCGGTCTGCGAGTAAATAACGTCGATCATGTGAGTTGTTCTAAATGGCGAATCGCGAAATCTTATGAATGCTGTTGTAGCTTGCTATTTATTTGCTAAAAATAAAACGCAGAATATACATAGAAGGGTTCGTTGGAGAAATCGAAACTTGTGGCACAGGAGTGATTCCATGCTTCGGAAGTGGAAGCAGACATTTTAAGATCATGTGAGATCAATTATGTCTCCGACTGGGTTATAAAAATGGTTAGCCCAACGCTGGAAACGGGCACACGACCGAATTTGATCGCCGGCGAAAAAACGAGCGATTGATCAGGCGAATGGTTCGTCGTCGCCATGAAGGGACACGGGCGATTTTAACTTTTCTCCCATGATTCGGCGTTTTCTTTCCGTTTCATTTTTGGACAATTTAAAAAAAATTGGGGTCGGAGACTGTCGCCCCTGGCGTTTCTCAAAAGAGATCGGTGTTTATAGTTTGTTCCTGCCATTGCTAAAATTGAAAGTGCTGTAAATATCCGTATTATGGAGCGTTTAAGCTCAAATAATTCAAGAAAAAGAAACTGCTTTGAATATTGTATGCTAAATAAATTTGATATTTCTAGCTATATAGACTTAACGGCTGCCTTGTGCGTTTGGTAAATATTTGGACCCCAGTCAAGTAAACCATTTTAACAAGAAATGCTAGTATCATCTCAGGAACAGCAGCAGCACCCGCCATATTTTAACCACGCAAATCACAGCCTCCCTTGTAATATCCTTACCATTGTCTGTTACAGTCTTCTTAGTGGCATTTCATCTGATTTATCACAGCCAGACTGGTTTCCAAATCACCCAAAATCTTCCATATATTCCTACAGTGAAAACGGTATATATTAAAAAAATTTAACAGTTGTATTTTTAAGTGCATTCAACGCATGTACCTTCATATTTAAATGAACATGTAAATCCTTATTATAAAATAAAAGTCTGGCTTTAACCAGATAACGTATAATACAGCTTGGGACACCGGTCTCTATTTCCAGATAAATATTGAGGAGTTTAAGTTTTTTATTTATTTGCTCGGCCCTAAGGTAGAAGATTTTCAGGGATTTTAACACAAAATTAAGCAGTTTTATTCTCCAAAATATAATCGAGATTGGCCCTTTAAATTTTTCTTAAACACCAAAACTAAATAACCATTCAATATCAACAAAGATACATTAGTTAAGATTTTGATAAAGAGTTGGCCATTCTTGATATAACAGTTCAAAAATAGATGATCAAAAAAAGAAAACGTTGAAAATTTCAGTCAAATTACTTTATTCTGAACAAAATTATCACTGTTGGACGTTCGGACTAGAGATAAGCATCAACTGTCTCCGCACCGTCTCCGAGAAATGTCGATCGTTTCATTGACAGACGATAACTCCGCCCACATATTATCGATTATCAAATAACATTTCTCAATACCTACGTACGGTACCCTCAATTGTCAGTCCTTTCATCAGTAGTCTCCGGTAGTGACGTCAGTGATTAACGGCAAATGTTATATTGGTCAGTCGTTTTATGTAAATAAAGGCCTAATTAATAATTTTTATAACATTTCAAGCCTACAGATAGATTTGCAGTAGGCATATTTAGCTCTTAACTACTGTATCTTTAAGTGTGCCATTGCTAGCAGAATAAGAAACATGTCGGTCAACTAGGCCAAGATTCGAGTCTTTTCTCAAGTAAATCTATGAAGTTGTCGTTGAGGTTGTTGCTTTATTTTTTTTGCACATTGGCCTATTGTTAACATATAAGCTAGAAATAGACGCATGACTAGGAATAAATTTATGACGTATATAAAACATGATAATATTTAATATAATTTAATAATTAAGTCATATGGCATAATATAGTATATCTGGTTTTATTTTTTGCTTAACCATGACGTCGGTCATTCGCTGAAGAAGTGGACCTATGTCTGATAAAATTGATGTGACCTAAAATATATAGACCAGCGAAGCTTTTAAAAGAGTGCAGATTTAGCGTTACTTATAGCGGTGACCTACTGTTTTCGTTAAATTTGTTATGTAACCAAAATTTTATACTTTTTTAAAATTTTGGTATTTCGAAATATGGTTGTCAATGTTCACATTTTTTTTACAAACCATTGTGTACATCAACGTTCTGGTGGAACTCGCAGTACGTCATCAAGAGAAGATGCCACACTGAGACTCACGTGACGTCATCCTTTTGAAACAAACAATATATTCCAGAAAAATGGTGTACTAGCTATAGCGTTGTGCATTGTCAATATACTAGTTAGTGAGGCGGCGAATAAGTCATCGCCTGCTTGGTCTATGTGCAAGTACGCCCGCGCATGGACCAAGCAGGCGATGTCACAGTCAGGCGTTCCTTGTCAAAAGTATTGTCATAGTTATATACAATGACATCGGTTAGTGTAAGTTTACCATTAGACCTACCTGCCATTTCCCAAATAGTATGTCATTTGCTCCATACCTCAAAAGTCAAGAAAGGCAACATTTAAGACTTTTCGGTTTCATACAAACTAAGCATGACGTTATTCTTATAAATGATTTAGATTACTTTATTCTCACCATCATTAATGATTTTATAATGTCAAAAACATACCACTTTACAAAGAAGAATTCAAAATGTGTTAATGTTCCAGTGCAATCGATAAAAAGTCCTGCAATATTAGATTACGATATTGTCTGAGCATGCTGTAATATACTGTTTTGCCAATATTATAAATCTGAAGCGTATCTGGCAGAATAGGGCGAATGGTATTCCTGTGATGCCATTGTCTTTCTATTTGGTGTGGTGCATCTTTATTATCCAGATCACCGTTGTCAGGAAAGCCGGTGATCAGGATTTATACTGCCCACGGGCGCAAGAAGGGGCATGGAGTGTCTACAGATCCAGCGCCTCGATTATGCTGAGTTAATCGGTTTCGAATATTTATAGTATGTCCTACATACGAGCGTTGTGACTGACGTGTACTCACAATTAAATAGACTAATCCAGTAACTTCACGACGAAGTAAAACCCAGAACAACAATCAAAAGGAGACGTTTGGTTTACCTTCAATGATGACAGCAAATTGTAGCGATTTCATTGGCTGAAAAGCCGTTCAGCAGTTATTTGCCAGTTGTCATCGCTGAATCCGCAATAAAATAAAAACCTAAATTAAGAAAATTATTCGGATATCTGGTTAGAGGATTTTTGCACGTATGAGCTCGTTTCGGCAATTAATTTTAGCCACAATACCGATGGGTGGAACAAAAAGTCATAAAAATTTGGCCCAATGGACAATAAATTCCATTTCATCCACCTTCCTTCATTTCAGAACTGACAGTTAGAGATCATCCAGTTACTTCATTCACCACTACAAAATTTAAAAGTGAAAGGTTATTTGTTGATATATTTTACCAGCAGAAAATATGATGCATAAATTACCTGTCTCATCTACTGATACAAACAATACCGACACATCAACTTTTTTAAAAGGAACTGAATCCAGTAAGAACGTTGTATAATTAATGCCATTTCGGTATGGATGGGGAATAAATTTTACTTTAGACTGTGATATTATAGTGACGGTGATGATATTTTGTTATAAACATTCCTCATTTTTGCATTATATGGTTTTAATTTGTGTTTTTATATTCACACCTTTGTGTACACTAAACGTATACTCTTTAAAATTGAAATGCAAAAACCTATGCGGATTGCGATATGATAAATAGTCATGGACATTTGACATGCTTTGTGAGTATGTTCACAGATGAAGAACTTATCTCCCCAACAGAACCACTGAGCTGCACATGCGACACGCAGTAGGGGTTCATTGTCAAATTTGACACTTCAAGGAAGGGTTGATGACAACTGCAGCGTGCTGGTTTATCACTGCAAGAATTGGCCGTGGCACTGCGAGAGGGGTGGGTCAGATTGCCCCAAATCGTGATTGAACGGTTGATTAGGTGCATGCCACGACGAATTGCTGAATATCCAAGGATTGGTGGAGCAATTACTCATTATTAAGACAAAAATCAAAAACGTCCATTTTCACTTTTGACGGTGTATCTCTTTGTGAGTGAAATGGGGCCGCCAGATAAGCCGCCCATATGAACTGTTTATGTCCATGTGTAGGCAATTGACCTGTTATTAACATACACTGGTTACCTCTAATAAAAACAGTAGTGCATTTCCGCAGTTTTGTATTGTTTCTGAATATCCCCTACTTTTATATATGTTTATATAAAATACTGTCTATTTTTTAAAACTGTTATGTTGTTAATAACCGCCCTCTCTTCACCGTCTTCATTAGCCCAGGTTAGGAGCAGAACAGTAGGACGTTAAACCCCATTTCATTTCGCCCTCTCTTCAGTCATGTGTAAAAATAGATTGGACTATTGAAGAGAAACAGGCTGGGCTTAACACTACTAAACAGACCTATGTTGGTTAGGCCCCCAAATAAGAAAGCGTTTAGCCTTTAGAATATTTTTATTAGTCAAAGCAAAGTTCTTTTAAAATTTCTGATGCTGGAGCAAAATGTTTCTTCTGGTAACATTATTTGGTATTAGCTACTGGTGTTCACTTCAACAAATATATACAATCAGACTTTGATGTATCATGCGTAGGGGTAGCTCCAGCAATGGGATCGATCGTGTAAAAAGCCGAATGACGTCATCTGTGCGCAGCGGAGAAACTCCAACTCTATTACGAAAATCGTGGACATAAATGTGCATGACATACCCGATTGATCCGCGTAATTCTGCTTTTTTAGTCAAACGTTGAACTAGCGTCTTTCATAACCAATAACTCACTGTCCTCAATATGGCTACTCGCAATGTTGGGGGGGGGGGTGGTGGTGTTGGTGTTGGATGGCTGAATGGTTAGCACGTGCGCGCTGTATCATAAAGCCTGTTATTGAGTCAACTGGCGTGGTTTCGAATCCCCGGTTGTACGTGACAAGGAGTAGGGTCGCCTGTCCATCCTCGTGGGTTTTCTCCGGGTCCCCCGGTTTCCTCCCACTGCTAAAGACCCCTACGCGCAAGCGAATTATTGAAATAAAATTAAACCATATGTTAGTCCCGAAATGACCTATTTTTTGTCTAGTGGACGTTAAACCCCATTTCTCTATCTCTTACTCGCCATCCGGGGCCAGGCGTCCAGTCCATCTACTGTAAATTGAGGGCAACCTAGAAAAATTAAACAAATAAACAGAAGCTTTCTTGGTACAGTTGCTTTCGTGGGATCATCCTCTACAACATGTCCAAAGTTCACTGGTTCGTTGCAGATAGAAACACGACACCTGTGAGTTAGAATATCTAGTCAGAATTTATTATAATCAACCCAATGATTATTGCTTCGCGGCAATGTAAGACCTAACAAGATTGAGTTGGCATGCTGTTTTCTCAATCTCTTTTTACGTATCTCAGCTCTCATTGCAATAAATTCACAATCTATTTGTTTTTTAAAGTTCAGCTCTATTTGCTGAAATATGAACTGGTTTACACAGGAGGCTAATTCATAAATATACCAAGGGGTCTCCTTTAAATATTTCTGGTATGCAATTAGATAAATTGCCGCCCCCAAGAAGTGTCCCCCCACCCGCATATGCCGCCCTCAGCCTCCCGCTATGTGAGGGCCCTGCCCACAGGAATTGGTTAGATTATTTGTGGTTAATTGGGTGGGACTCTTTTTAACAGTTATTTCGATGCCGAAAACTGTTGATTTTGCCACCGAATTCGATTTTTAATCTTGACAGTGTTCTTAAAATAGTTATGGCCTTATTCGCCCAATCGAAGGGCATGATCCTAGTGCAATTCATGTTACAATTTACCATAAACGGAAACGAGTTATCGAACCATGTTATGTTTTCCAGCGGCCCCATTTAGTTATACAAGAAAGAACCCAAGCAACTGTAACAATGCAACAAATTTTACGGAAGTCAATCTGCCACCCAAAGATTACACGGCCAGTTTCAGCAAACCAAGGTCGCCCCAGCAGGAGGGGGAAATCGCTACCTTGCGAATAAGAACAAAGCTTACGAATTAACAAGATAACGACCAGACAATTATATATAAACCCTCACATAGATAAAATTAACAGACCAATGATACTGCCCTGAATCCAAAGAATAGGCCGAATGACAGGACAATTTACCCATTACTACGCAATACCACCCAGTACTGCCAAATACTAGCACACAATACCTCATTATTGAGGAAAGCTGACAGAACAATTCAGTTATATAGAAAGAATGAGTTAATTCGCTGAAAACTTGCAAAAAGAGTCTGAAAGCTGTTTTTCCAAAACAAGAATGTCATACCATATTGTGTCTATCGACTTAGTTGCTTTATACCCCCGTCAGACCGGTGTGGCGCCCTTACTGCGCTGCTACGGCGACGGGAAATGATCTCAGCCCGCGTCAAGATCGCCGTAAGAGTTGTAAAAGCGTGGTGGTAATGCCAGATATCGTTCTGTGGTGTCCATCGACGCCAATGATCGCCAAGTCACGGCGTTTTCTTTTGAGCATGTCTAAAACAAACGCCAAGGTTCTGCGATCTGACCTGAAAAGCTGTGATAACTCGACCTTTTTCAAGTTTGTAATTGTTTGGGTCATTTTCTCGCGTTGTGTTCACGTTTGCCGGCGACCTTGTGCATTTTCTGGTCGCCGTACAGACGCAGCAGCGCAGTAAGGACGCCACCCCGGTCTGACGGGGGCATTAGGTTTGCTGCTTCGTTACCTGGCAAACTACTGATCGAGTATTTAAAATAGAAATTATGCATTATCACACCTAACTCTCGCTATATATTAGCAGTCTGAGAACGATAAGACCCATACAGACAATGGATACAAACGGTAATATTTCGCCCGAGGAGTCGGTGCCCCTTAAAATAGATGTAGAAAAAGACGTGGAAAAAGCGTCAGATGTAGTTATAGAAAATATACCACCTGTAAGATTGTATTATAAAGTTAGTGAGAATCCACCATTACATCTGAATATACTGTTTGCTATACAGGTGATTATTATAATTTATATATACATATTCAGCATTTACCATTTCACTCGAAACTATGAATATATAATGATTTTACAAAGCCTGGAATTAAAAACTGATATTGTGCTAGGTTCTTTTCCGTTATAACTTTACTTTCAGCTTACTAAAATCGACGTCTCTAAAACGTGAATATTGTATCAAAAATATAAACCGCAATACAAAAGACCCCAAAAGATTCCTCGCAGAAAAGAAACAATACAGTTTCTGTATGTATGATCACGCAGAAGTAAGTTAGACTATAGGATCCTTTTATATTTCTGGTTTCAAGGAGAGCAAACTTATTCCTTCTGATGTTCGACATACAATTTTAATTTCAAATATCGGTTTGTTTGGTAAAAACCATAACTCAACAAGTGATACAAGATTATGTTCAGACTCCAAAAGTGTATTGGTAGTTTAGAAAGAAAAGCTTCATTCTGTGGTGCTGGAAATTGTTTTAATTTTATTCTAATTCTTCAATGAATGTAACTGATTTGAAAGTGGATCTCCCTATGCCAAGGGAGGTTATGTACAGACATTTAGGAAAGGTAGGATAATATTTTTTACTGTGTGCGATTCGCTTAAAGATAGATTCCCATGAAGGTATCAATAGGGTATTTATTTCAAATAAACTAATGGCATATTTGGAATAATGGAAAGGAGCACGTAATCTTACTAGAAGGATACTTTATGCCATGAAATACATACATTGGGCGCCCAAAGGACAAAAAATGTAGTGGTGTTCCTAGCTGGCAGCCTGTCTCCCCAAGAGATGTATTGAGGGCTTTTTAGTGTTGATCTAATGGCTAATGGTTGTGAGAACATTTAAAAGACTTTACTTTTGAAGCACTAACTATAATACCGCAACGAAAAACCAGCGGGTAGTTTAGAAAGAAAAGCTTCATTCTGTGGTGCTGGAAATTGTCGTTCTCGTTTTAATGAAAATGGTGATTGTCAGTACGACAGAGAAAATATATTTTAATCTGAAGTCGTACTAATGAAGATTATTGTGGCGCTCAAAATATGCAGTCCACGATATTGGTACTGATATCTAAATTTGTTTCGATAACATGTAAATTTGATATTTGAGTTACTTTTGCACGTAAAAATTTAATTACTTTTACATGTAAATCTGATATAATTTGTGCATGTAAATTTGATATAATATAGATTTGATACTTTTACATGTAAATTTGATACTTTTGCATGTAAATTTGATACTTTTGCATGTAAATTTGATATTTTTGTGACTTTTGCATGTAAATCTGATATTTGTGCATGTAATCTGATACTTGTGCATGTAAAATTGACACTTGTGCATGTAACTTTTATACTTTTGTGTGTACATCTGATACTTGTTCACGTAAATTTGACACTTTTGTGTGGGCATCTGATACTTCTGCATGTACATGTCATACGTTTGCATGTAATAACTTTTAAGTTTTTAATGAAATGTTACTATCTTTGTATAAAAATAATGTTTATACATAGACAAATCAAAACAATTACTCAAAGTTGCAAGAGCCAATTCTGCCTTTTGCAGGTCTTTCTTTAGGCCTTAAATGTTATATATTATTATTAATTAGACATTAATTAATATGACAAGACCATAATCAACTCTCTGAACAGTCGGATGTTTTTGATTTTCAGCGGATTTAAACACGATTTTCATTTAAACAAATTTTTAGCGATGAATGTTTCAGAACTTTTCTTACATAACCATACGACCGGAAGCTCACCAGAACTGATATACTGTTTTAATGGCCAAAACATTGTTAGTTTCAAAACCGAGAAGATCTACCTTCCTGCGTGCAGTTGCAAGGTTTCCCACATAGCACACTGTAGGGCACACATCCGTCTGCATTTGCCCAGTCGGTGCAGAAATATAGGACAGTAAACCCCACTTTATTTCATTTAATTATTCTTTTTTTTCAGCAAGCATTATTACCAATAGCCAATGTCTTGTCAGTGTCTATAATAGTAGCAGATCTGGTTTGTGCATCAGATGATCAAGAAATTAAGGCACAACTACTAGGCACAACTTTTATGATGTCTGGAATTTCAACCATGTTGATGTGCACGCTGGGTGTTCGGTGAGTTAGTTATTTACCCTTTTAATAGATACAATCACCTGTATCAAAATAAGTATGCATTACTTCAATGACCTATTTTTTTGTAAACACTATTATGTTCAGCAGATATCTGAATTTGGATTCGGGAACAGACTATCAAAATTAGTATGCATTACCTAAATAACCTATTTTTTTTGTAAAGAATATTTATATTCAGCAGATATATCTGAATTTGGATTGGGGAACAGGCTATGCCTATGTGTAACCCAGTTCCATATTTCAGGACTGTCCAAAAGGATTTATACCAATTACATTTTTTTTCAGATTGCCAATCTTTCAAGGGCCGAGCGCTGGATATGTTATACCGTTGTTAGGGTTAGCAACACTTAAAGAATGGAAATGTCCGACTAGAGATGAACTGGGTAAATCACTTGTTGATACATAAGTATATGCCATGTGCCATTTGAAATTCTACATAGAATGTCAATTCCATACGGAATAGCATGTGTCAAGTACAAAATTGATAGAACGAATGCTGGTCATCGGAAATATTTTTGTGGGCGATATTATCAAACCCTTTCAACTTCCGAGCTGCATGAGATTGGATGTGAATGCGTCGATTTGTTGGGGATGGGGTTCTAATTGTCCAATTGCTGTTTAATTGGCCACAGATCGGAAGTACTGCGGGAGATTGTTTATCAAACCGTTACGGACGAGGCCAATATAATTAATTACACAAATTTGAAATTTTTCCAGAAACGTTGTATTCTAATTCTTCAATGAATGTAACTGATTTGAAAGTGGATCTCCCTATGCCCAGGGAGGTTATATACAGACAGTTAGGAAAGGTAGGACAATAGTTTTTACTTTGTGTGATTCGTTTAAAGATACATACATTCCCATGAAGGTATCATCTATAGGGTAATTATTTCAAATAATGGAAAGAAGGAGCACGTAATCTTACTAGAAAGATACTTTATGCCATGAAATACATACATGGGGCGCCCAAGGGACAAAAATGTAAGGGTGTACCTAGAAGGCAGTCTGTCTCCCCAAGAGATGTATGGAGCACTTTTTATGCGTTGATGTAATGGCTAATGGTTGTAAGAACATTTAAAAGACTTTTGCAGAGGATGATTCAAGAATTTACTTTTGAAGCACTAACTAAAATACAGTGGTTAGTCAAAAGAAAAGCTGTTCTTCAACGTCATCCTTATTCGGACCATATCTGCCAATGTACATAGATCATGTATTTCGGTGTGGGTTTCACTCAAAGTCATTACTCTCTGTTACAGCTTCAAGGGAGTTTAATGGTTGCTGGTGTAATCCATCTGATGATTGGGTTTACGGGATTGGTTGGTGCTGTTTCTAGATTCATTGGACCAATCACTATAGTTCCTGCTCTCTTATTGTTGGTGTTGTATTTACATAAGATTACAGTTAAATTTGCACAAACATATTGGGGCACTGCAGTGGCGTAAGCATTTTACTTTTTAAATTGATAATCTGCATTTCTGAGATCCAAACCCAGCACATACTATTCGTTTTAGCAAAATATATATATTAGTGTCCAACTTCGAGTTATAAAAGTTAAACACAATCGGGGTTAACTCAGTAGTCAGAATATAGTAGAAGAATAATTATTCGGTTTGGATATAGATAGCCCGAAAGGTGTAATAAGTTCGCCAGTTTGTTAACGATGATACCTATGGACCGTGATCATCATAATTAACCCTTATTAAATTTTGTATGCAGAATCACTAATAAGAGTGTTTAGTTCACCCAACATCCTCACAACTTACGGTCTTGTAATATATTTCATACAACAGTACAACAGTTTGTGGATTGATTTTATCCCTATATCTTCGTGCCCACAAGACACCGATACCATTTTGGAGTAAAAAACGTGGTTTTCATATAATCTGGTATCCATTACATCAAGTGTTTTCGGTAAGTTATCTTCTTTCTCTTTCATATATTTAACCGTCAATTAGTAATAAATTACATTATAAGGTTTGCCATTGAGTCAAGTGTCCCTTGGATTCGATCTTAAGATCGTACATGCCAATGAATAGGATTGCCTGCTAAACCTTATGCCTGTTCTCCTAGTGCCCCAGTTTCTTAGTCTTTGGAACAAACAGAGCCTCATCTAAGGATTTGGTCGTGCGTGGCAATGTCGGGCCGTGGATGCTAACCACGCGAACACCGCAGATGAGAGTCCGCCCCCAGAAAATTTTGGAAATTGACTCCCTTAGACTCGATTTCTGAGCACTTAAAAAATAGTTTCGGAGATTTGATACGCTATTAGTTTTGGCATCTTGTTAAACCATGGATTGATTAATGCCCTGTAAAATCGAGATCAAAACACTGCTGCGGCTGACCCGCAGACAGAAATATAACCATAAAACAATCAGAAAGACGATTTTGTAAACCAACGCACCATGATATAGAATTGGCACATGGGGAAAACCTTGTCAGCGATTTTCAAAACGTATGTATGTTGCCGCCCAGTCTTCATGTTAAACGAGGATCCCGAACAATGCAAGAGTGGTAACTTCATGATTCATCGATTGTTTTGAGAATCTTAGCGCAGTATGTCCAAACCTTGACGACGAGCACCGTATACAAATTTTGGTATCGATATGGAATAGTCATAATGTTTGATTTAGCCCATGTTGCTAGAGGTAAGCGGTAGAATATCCGTTGGGCGTTTGCTGTGGGCGGTCTGTCAGTGGGTTACAGGGTTTAAATAGCATAATTCTTTAGTGAAGTTTTGAGATGTGAACGCCACAAGCGTGTGTTATGTTTACCGAAAAATGCTACATTCCATCTCTTAAATAGTACCAAAAGTAAGAGAATAAAGAAGCTGAGGACAATTGTTTCATTAATAGTGGGGCTTAATGTACTACAGAAAGCGCCGAGTCAGTGTCTGAACCGTTCCGTTCACATAATACATGGCGTAATTTATTCCAGCAACTGTGGCATAGTGGCCAAAGGATATTGTGGCCGGAGGAGGGGGGGGGGTTGGAGATGGGATTTAATCTTTACGAGAATCCTAAAATACCATATTGATCGTCCATTTGGCAACATCTTCTATATTTAATAAAAAAAAATATTTTTGATCGCCCCAATCCCTTTCTTTTTTAAGATTTTAATATCAGTAATATTTGGATGGATATTAAGCTCCATTTTGACAAATGCTGGCGTTCTATCAGATGATCCTACCAGTAAAGAATATTATGCTAGAACTGATGCCAGAACAGATATTATTTTTCTGAATCCGTGGTTCTACTTTCCATACCCAGGTATGTTCAAACCAATCGTTACTATCTTGAACTTCTTTTCAACAGTTCACAATTCTACTGTTTATTACTGACCGAAGTTATTTGTTGGTTTTCTCTGGTTTCTCCATCTAGATAAATACAACATAAGTCCAACATTTTAAACTCTTTATATTATAAGTGCGACCAGGTGTTCACAAGAGTAAGTACACCCTGCCCATACAGGACACCCGCCACCACGAGTACCGAACTGAAGCGATAGTTTGGGCCTGTATTTCCAAAGCGGAAAGATATTGGGTAGACGATATCCTCAAGGCCAAGTGACAGTCACCGCCCCACTGGTTTCAGTGCCAAAGCACCATAAAAATATGTTCGCTGTGTAAACTCCTCAAACGTTCTTGACTTTACTTTGGGTCAATCTCCTCCGGTGTGCAATTGTCCAAGGAACCAGCACACCAAGTTTCATGACGGTCTTACTTAAGCCTGAGAAGAACAAGATGAAGATGTGTAGCGCTTGGCCGACTGTTCTTGGTCAAACAACAGACCAGATCTGCAAAACTGCTTGTTAGAGTTCTTCTAGCAAGTCACTTGATCTAACTGTATATCCAGTTGTCTCCGTGGATAAATAGCTAGAAGCATTCAAAAGTAAGAGAACATGCTACTTCAAATTGGTAACCTCGGTGGTCTTTTTGAAGCACCTAATATCGCTTCCGTTTTGGAAGCTCTATAAAATTCTCGGATTTTGATTCAGCGTAGACCAAGCGCCTCAGAGTGAAGCTGGTATATAGATGGAGCGTACGAGACAGGGTATGCTTTCTATTTTCGAAACGCCTGATACAGCGTTCTCGTAACGCGTTTCCTTGGTGATATCTACACACTGTTAAACCAATATTTGTTTATTTTAGCGATATTCTATGAGTAATGGATCTATGTGCCCATACGCTTACCTCTTATTAATGTGTATCAATAAGTAATTTAAAGATAATGTTATTCAGGTCAATTTGGAGAGTCGACGTTTGATGCGGCAGCTTTTGCTGGTGCAATGGTGGCAACAATAATGTCGGTCGTTGATTCTATCTGTGATTATAACGCATGCGCTAGAATGTGTTTTGTTCCTTTTCCACCATCTCATGCTTTAAACAGAGGTATATTTTGGGAAGGATTGATGAGTTTCTTTGCTGGTACAACCGGTGCTGGTCATGCCACTAGTTCCTATGGAGGAAATATAGGTGCTATAGGTATCACAAAGGTAACGATGTTGAAATAATAATTTTGCCACCGGGTCAATTTTTTTTCATGTATTTTGTTATCTAAGACGAGCAAGATATTTTTCCAAAAAATATAAGGAATTTTTATAGGTGGTTTCATTTGAATTGTATTTGTAGGTAATATTAGTTGAAATTTTGCCACCGGGTCAATTTTTTTTCATGTATTTTGTTATCTAAGACGAGCAAGATATTTTTCCAAAGAATATAAGGAATTTTTATAGGTGGTTTCATTTGAATTGTATTTGTAGGTAATATTAGTTGAAATTATTTTTTCCCAAAGAATATAAGGAATTTTTACAGGTGGTTTCATTTGAATTGTATTTGTAGGTAACATTCGTTGAAATTATAATTGTATGACGTGTAATTCCTATGTCGGTCAACTTCATTGACAGTCAATCAAGACTGGCAAATATAATTGAAACAAGAATCCTGCTATAAGTAGTACCGCGTAACCCTGTGTAATCATAATCAAACTATTGTGATACCTTGCAGGATTTAGCTTTTCCAATACGTTTGATCACCCAAACATTAAGAATATCTTATATGCGCGATCGCGATGCACTGTATGTATGTATATATTTCAGATCCGTCCAAATTCTATATTTCTATTTCTATTTCTATCAAGAATGACCATATCTTTTCTCATTTATTGTATTTCTGAATCACTCCATATTCATTACAATTGTTTATTGTGTTCCTTGTTTCAGGTTGCAAGTCGTCGAGTATTCCAAGGTTTAGCAATAATTTACATTCTGTTCGCTATGCTGGGAAAACTGAATGCTGCATTTATTACTGTCCCAAACAGTGTACTCGGAGGTGTCATGGTCTTATATTTTGGTATCTTTTTAGGGATTATTATGTCAAATTTACAATTTGTGGATTTAAATAACACGCGCAATCTGGCTATACTTGGTATAAGTACATTAGTAGGCTTTATGGTACCATATTATGTAGCACAGAATCCTGATAAAATAGATACAGGTAGGTGGTCAACTAATATTTTTTTTTACAAACCTCAATGTTAAAGATACATTATGGGAGATTAGACAAAGAGCTGGCAGTTCTCACTGTAATAGTTAAAAACTATATAATGTAAAGGGACTTTGCTGAAAATTTCAGTCAAATTGATCCACTCTGAACTGATTATCCATTTCATGATTTAATCATGAATGGAAGTTGGGCAGCAAATCGGATTCTAATCCAGTAAATATCGCAGGCTAGCGATGACATCGAGAGTTGATTATGGTCTGGATAAGTTAATCAATGACTAATTAATAACTCAGATAACATTTCAGGCCTAAAGATCGACCTGCAATCGGCAGATTTAGCTCTTGCTAATAGTTTAATAGTTGAATGGTCAACATTTACTTTTTAGGTCTAAGTATGTGAATAGTGTTGTATTTTGCCACCATCCCCTGCCTTTCTAACTGAAATTTGTATCACTAAACATTACTAGGTTTTTCTGCTAAAAGGTCAAATTTATACGGGGGGGGGGGGGGGGCGTGGAATGGGTTTATTAACGTCTACTCACCGTTAAACTGAGTCTTTTCGGGACTAACATAATATTATGATATCGATATAATTATATTTAAACAAATCGTTCACGCATAGGAGTCGTTAATAGTGGTAGGAAACGGAAGAACCCGAGGAAATCCTTATATGATCTAAGGCTGTCAGGCTTAGATTCCTTTGGCTATACGCAGGCACGGGTTTAAGTGGGTGGGGGCGGGGCGGCCATGGCCATGACCATGACACCAAGTAAGCGCCCACCTGAGACGTCTAAATTTATTTAAGGCCAGCTCAATTTTCGAGTAGGTCGCTGAGATGTAAATAAGATTAGGGCACGTGATTGTTGGCGAGATTGTAAGTAAGGATGAGGATTAGGGCTCGGTCCAGGGTTAGGGCTGGAATTAGCACTAGCCCTGTTTACATCTCGTGACCTTTGACCAAACTTGAAGTTGGCCTTATCAATTAGATCTAACCCACCCGAGACAAAGTATAAGCGGACCTAAGGTTCATAAAAAATAACAACAAAATCGTTTTGTTTTATTTGGCAGGAAATCGTTCTGTGGATCGTACATTAACTATGTTAGGCTCAAATGGTATTTTCGTTGCTGGTCTTTTGGCTTGTTTCCTTGACAACACAGTTACAGGTTTGTAATATTATTTTAACAGGGACTTGTTTTATTTGGTAACGTTTCATGAACCCTTGTCCATAACATATAACAGAAACACACCTCGGTGTCAAATTAGTTGATGGCATAGTAATTGGTACTAAAAAAAACGAAGTGAAATTGGGGTTAACGCCAAAGGCGCTAATGAAGTAGGGCAGACGCCAAGGTTTCTTTTACACGATGCCACGGGAGACCATTGCCTACTCCAAGGTATCCCCGCACAATCCTTATCAAACTCAGAAAAGCGGGGTATTGTGTAACCCTCATCTAAGATCATTAGATTCAAATTTTACTTGTCTACAAGATTAACTCAGTCCTTAGGATGGGACGAAAAACCGAGATCACGTGTACACCATGGCATACATGTAAAAGAACCCTTGACAGTTTGAATTTAATTGCTGCCCGGGCTAATTTTTTCTCATGGCGCATGCCCGTCTTCGTTATTCCGGTTGGATCAGAAAAGTGGGACGTTAAACCCAATTTCTTTCCATTCGATTAACTTACACTTAGATCTTACTTTTTGTTTTGTATTTGTAGGCACAATAGAATCGCGTGGATTAGCTGCTCATTTAGAAGGCGAAGATACGATCAAGCAGAAAATAGAATATGAAGAAGGCATGGAAGTTTATGATCTACCTTTCTTACCACAATTCTTAAAAAATTCTATATTCATTAGGTATTGTCCTATTTTTCCAAAATATGAAAAAGAGAGAAATGAGGCAACTGATTGAAAGGAACATGTATGTGAATATATGCATATTTGTGTCGTACATATAATAATTCGTTCTGCGTTTATCCTGTAAAAACCATGATATGGAACATCTCTAAGTTTGCATCATAGCTTCGCTTAAGTCTTTGTGTGTATTACATGCCGTTCACTGAAGTTACTTACTGTTAGACAGCTCTCCCGTAAAAAGGCAAAACCTAGTAACTCACTTTTTTCTTATTTTGAGAAAACAAAGGAAAACGTAATGAATGAATATTAAACCCCAGCTCATCCATGGATTTGACTATTGAGTTACTAGGTTTTGCTGTGGTATACTAGGCAAGTGAAGGAAGTTGCTAGGTTGTGTCATGGGTGTAATTGCTTACAAAATCAAAAGATTGGAATATCTAGTACAACCTAGAGAGCACATACCCTAGTAACTACAAATTTGGTCCTAACTCAATTTTGATAAAAAAGTGAGTTACTAGGTTTTGCCTTTTTACGGGAGCAGCTGCATCAAATTATTTTCAGTATATATGTATCTTTGATAATAAAATATTGATTTGAATAAGAATTGCTTTATATGCCGGGGATCACGTGGCTAAGTGGGTAAGACGCTGGCTCGATAGCCTGGAGGTCAGGTGTTCGATCCCTGCATTGGCCGAGAAAGTTCATCCAGATTTTCCAGCGTGGTTCTCCCTTGTCAGTGATGCAGGACGGAGGGCCTGACAAGGACAGCTGTCTAGTCGTTTGGATGGGACAAAAAAACGAGGTCCCGTGTACATATTGGCGTGCACGTAAAAGATCCCTTGGCAGTTATAATTCGATATAAGAGTAGACCATAGCGCCGCTGCCCGGGCAAAATTTCCCTCATAGCACACTGTATGGCGTATGCCCGTCTTCATTAGCCCAGTTTAGGAGCAGAACAGTAGGGCGTTAAACCCCATTTCATTTCATTTGCTTTATATGCCAACATTTCGTTGGTCCGTAAACTTTAAATTTGTATGGATCTTTGAAACTGTCTTACATACAAACCAAGTTTTAATAAAATCTAGCTCAATGAGGAAAATGGTGCTATTAGTTATATATTATAATTCGCTTACGTGTAGGGTCTTTATCAGTGGGAGGAAACCGGAGAAAACCCACGTGGTTGGACAGGCGACACTACTCTTTTGTCACGTACAACCGGGAAATCCACGCCATTGGACTCGAATGACAGACCTTATTTACAAAGAATTACTTAGTCCCTAGGTACATGCACCTTATTGCATTTCGCCTGAAAAAGTTTGTTTTAGATTGACAAATATCAAACGGTTCAGCATAAGCCTCTTGTTCAATCTTGCCGGCTCTATGTGAATTTTGACAAGAAAACACACAGCCCAAATGTATTTGTTTAATACTTCCAGAATATTTTAAAAAAAAAAACAACACAGGCCCGTCAGTCATATTTACTGGGACACAATAACCCTTTTAATTAAATTTGTGTAGGGAGTTCATTAGGCAAATGTCTTGACCACCATTTCCTGCTCCTAAAGAGATGTGTAAACAATTTGATAGGGACACTCGGAGGTAGAATGTTCAAATTTACTGTAGATGTTCATATTGGGTGAATGACCACTTTCTGCATAGGCTAACTCCAGATAACTAATTTAATTTGTATTCCAGCAAACACAATAAGTTTTAATTGAGTACAGTAATCAAACTTGGTGCCTGTGTCACACTAATCTAAATATTGGTAATATAAATAAATTTCAAACTGACTGCATGATTCTACAAAGTGAACATGGGCAATAACTCTGGAAGATATGGATGAAATCCAGTAGGATGCTTTCTCTCACTAATGTAAACAACAAATTTGAAAAAGGTTGGATGAGAAAAGTCTGTAGAGTGGTCAGTCAGGGGCAACAATATACCACATTTCAATGTGGGCATAATGAAAACAAGTTGGTACACTGAATATATTTTATTGATAGATGAAGATGGTAATTTGAAAGATGTTTTTATTAGAGGAACACATGAATAATATTATAAAAGGTAATTGAACACTTCATCAGTTGAAATGCAATATCATTGAAATAAGGTACTGCTGGTTTAACAATTGATTTCTTTAAATCTCTCCACATTTACATTCTTCAGAAAGATTACTATTTTTAGTACAGTATCAATAGTGATAATCACTCAAAAATAATATTAACAGTCAACAACTCTTGTTATAAATTTCATACTGGTAGATACATGAATTTCAATGGACTCTCCTTGTCTGAATCTTTGAACAATGTTATACATGTATATAAAGCCAATAGAGTATTATGTACTCCTAGTCCTACACCCTAGAACACAATTCATTAAAACAAGCTTAAATATGGTATATTTTTTTTTATAAACCACATGAAGCACAATTAACAATCACGAAGTTGAATTTGTATAAAAAATAAATTAACATCAACCAATAATACAAATGTTTTTCCAATGATTATATGAAAACTCCCAAAAGCCATTATCCAGTCAGAATCATCTTAAGTTATAATACAAAAGGACCATAAAAAGCAAATTTATTAAAAATTTTAATTTAAGACAACAAAACCAAAATATCAACAATAGATAATCTGGTTTTGATTCGATAAGATTTAAAATATTTTACCCAGAATTTATAAGTGGCACTGCAGAGCATGCTGAGATATTTTAAATCCATCACATCTTTGTGAACATGAAACGGAATTGAACCACTTATTGTTCAAGAGATTTAAAGGAGCTAAATCGCTATTATTTGGGACCAAGAAATTGACACATATGGTTCACAACGCATATAATAATGTAATGTGAATGTACATAACCTGATTTACATTCAATCGTTTCATTTTTACTCTAATTTCTAATCAGTTATGTTCGGCAAAATATGCCAGAAGTCTCAATCGAATGACAATCTCTAGGGTCTGGTTATTCCAGTCTACACTAATGGTATTTATTGTGCATGCTCTCCAGATAAGAATATGGCTTCACCATTTGACATGATTTATGGAATATGCCTAGCCTCGTTCTTTTGTTACAAATGTCGTGGAAAGGCATTATGGTACACGATTCGTGTACCAATGGTAAAATGTTTGTTTTGTCTTAAATATTGGACATCAGAAGCCCATCTCTTTCGGTAAGACCATAACATCAATGTTGATTTAAATTGACAAATAATTTGTGTTTTCAATGTCAAAGACTTTGGATGATATTGCGTTAAGAGACTTAGCTACTTAACTTTCACAATCTTGTAGTTTGCAAGGAATTCAAAATCACTGAAATGTTGATCAGCAACATAAAGTAACATCAAGATAAAGTAAGCAAATAGAATGGTATTAATATTACATGTATCATTCTGACAATATGCCAGAACAGCCAAAACAATAAGTGATGAAGTCACTGCAGTTTAAACACACAATGAGTTAAGAATTTAAGTAATTCTTATTTTGAGTAGAAATACATTACAGTCCCCAGAACTTCACTCAAATTAATAAATTCCCCGAGACAGATAAATGATGAATCACATGATCTTTATATACATTTCACTTCCTAAAAACTGAATTATATTTGAAAAGTTATTTCCTTAAGTCAAAAGGACTCATTTGTCATTATTTCACACCTAAAATATTAACTCTGTATTCCTCATCAATAATTCATAGTTCATTATTACTGGTCTTTATTCTTCAACTGGTAGATTAAATCTACCTTTTCTCAAATTGGTCCACAATTAATCTTTCACTTCATACAGCTACTATATACAAATTATTTTTTGTTTTTACAAATTGTACAATTTGGAAAATATCTATTTACAAAGCACTTATTTACATTGCCCTCATCAAGTTCTTCACACACACACATAATATATATCCAAAATTACTCAGTTGAATGTTTTATCTAGTTGAATATTGTCCTGTTATTTGACTAGACCAAGTTTTTTAGCTTCTGTTTCATACACTAATAACCTCCACATCTTAACAACAAATACTTCAGCTTCTTCATCTAGCACCTGAACAAATAAAAAAACATAATAATCACATAAATATCAATTCTATGCATTATCATATAGTCAAACTATATAGCACAAAATACTAGATTTCTATAATTTTATGTCTTTTATGGTCTTTGAGCTTGAGTAAAATTGTTTTGTTTTTTTTGTGTGACCTAACTGGCAGGAAGATGACTCTTTTTACACAAAAACGATTGCTACTTTTACAAATCCACAGTTCATAAAAGTTTTGTCAGAAATTATGTTAACTTTGGACAAGGTTCCCATAATCTTTATCTTACGCAAGAGGTTCCAGTTTGTATCTAAACCAACATACAGGGGCTATAAATCTCATCTACAGAGATTACATTTTGAAAATTTACTTGAAGTTCCCTAGACTTCTCAGTGGTGACCTGTCCTTTTATTTGATCCAGTTTTAACCGACTACAAATATTACTAACCATAGCGACATCATTTTGTATACTAGCTGGTGTACTACGAGCTATAACTTTCTGACAAATAAATTCAGTTAATGTTGCTTCTTCTTCTCCTATATATTCTACAATCTTTTTATTTATCCATGGCTTTATTCGCTTATCCATTAATGCCTAGAAAAAAACATACAGTAAATACAATTCATCTCTGTTGAGTGTATTACATTTATAGTAAACTAAATGAGAACAGACATTTGTAATATCCTTCAGGAGCTTTCAGTGAAATGGGGTTTTAAATCCACTCAATCCCTTGGAAGAGAAAGGGAAACTAAGAAGTTCACCCACAAGGTCAGGCAACCATTCCTACATTTTGTGAAATACAATCGTCAGATTAACTCTTGACTTGCATAGATGATAAGCAAAGTTCACCCACTAGGTTAGACAAGCATTTCTACATTATCTTGGATCTAACTATTAACTTGCATAGATGACAATTCATCATCACTAGTGCATCACCTCTGACAACACAGTCACTCAGCTCCACCAAGTTTAAGAAATAATCATTGAAAAAAAAACCAACCCTGCTTACCTGATCAACGATTGACCAATCTAATGTGAAAGCAAATAATTCCTCTTTAGCTGTTGGTATACTGTCTATTAATATCTTGATTTTATTTCTCTTCTCTTCTGCTGAATTGGGTTTCTTTTCTTCATCATAATCAAGAGGTATTAATTTACGTTTTTTGGATTCAGAACTGTCATCATCTTGATTAAATACATCTCCTACTGTTAATTTCTTTCTTTTAGTGGTTGGTGCTGGAGCTTCTGCTGGACTATTACTGTTTGTACCTGAAAACATTAACATCATCTTATATCTAATGCAACACTATAATAGTAATTAAGCTACATAACTATTGAGAAGTGTCATCAGGTGTTCCGTAAAGAAATTAAATCAGGTTTAATGCTCTACTGTTCTGCTCCGACTGGATTAATGAGGACAGTGTGCTATGAGGGAAATTTTGCCCGGACAGCAGTGCTAGTCTTCTCTTACATCAAACTGCAACTGCCAAGCGATCTTTTACATGGATGCCAATGTGTAAATGGGACCTTGTTTCTTTTTGTCTTACTCACTTAGCCACCGTGGCTCCCCCGTTTAAAAAAAACAACTTTTCCCTGTTCTGCACCAACAGACAAAGGAAAACAAGGCTAGAATATGACATCAGCAAAGTTGAAGTAGACTTTTAATAATAGATTCCCAAGAGGGCATAAATCTAAGGGTACCGGTTCTAAACAACAATACATCTGCAGTTGAATGCCTTGCTACTCTTCAAGAGAGATTTGTTTTAACGCCTGTCGATAAGGCTAGCAACAATATTGCTTTTACCTGTAAAAAATACTATCTTGGGAATATTCTTACTAAAGTTGAACTTTGGACCAACAGGTATGAAAATCTTTCCAAAACTTACCTAATTTAATAGAACTAAAACTTAATTTAGATGACTCAGCCTTTGGATTTGGACCATAGACAGGTTGTTGACTATCTTCTGATACATCCTCATTATTTAAACTAAACATGGTATTATCATCGTCGTCATCATCATCGTCATCTGTTAATGGACTAACTGTATTAGATACCATAGGTGCTGAATCTATAGGTTTTAATGTACTTTGCATCTTATTATTATTATTAACAGGTTTATCTGAGGAATCAGATGAGTCTATTTTTTCTACAGTAACCGGATGTTCAGGTGATATAATAACTTCTTGGATTTGTAATCTAGGTTTTAAATGTTCTTCTCTTTCTCTCTCAATCTAAACAAAATAAAATTAAATAATATGGAACAATGTTGAAACACTTTTGTCCTAAACTACAAGGAAATGTTCTTTATATATTATGATGTATACATTTTTTTTCCTGAATATTACATGGTACCACCATTTAGAAGTCAAATCATTATTAACCTAGTTCAACCAAAGTTATTTCTCTGTCGCGATATTTGCTAAAAAGTTCTGCATATTTACTTTTTAGACTTAAAGCTGCAGATTATCATTTGAGCGATTTTGAATCCCTTACAACTTAAACTAATGTGAAAGTTGAATCTCTAAACAGAATATCAGCCCCAAAATGGTTCAATTCTGTTCAGTATTAACAAAGAACTGAACTGAACTGAAATGGGGTTTAATGTTTTACTGTTCTGCTCCGACTGGCCTAATGAAGACTGACCTAAGCCATACAGTGTGCTATGAGGAAAATTTGCCCGGACAGTGGCACTACAGAATATCAACCCCAAAACTTATATTGAATTCCAACTGCCAAGGAATAATTTACATGCACACCAATGTGAAAATTTGTTAACATCTGACATCCTCTGCAGACAATTGCAACCCACTATCTTCACTAAATCATTTGAAGGGCCTCTTTTTAATCTGGTTAAATTCAGGTCTAATTTGAGTAAGTTTTAGCATGGAATAATCTGTGAAAAACTAGATATTGTCTGAAAAATGAATGTGACAATCTGCGACTGAACTAAATTAGATTTGTGGTTCTATTTATATGGTAAATTCTCAAAGAGAAGATTATATTTACCCTTGCTAATTCAGCTTCAGGATCAGGATGCCCTTCACTCATTAAACGCCTTTTTATTTCCTCAAATTCTTCTTTTTCTCTCTGTCTATCTCTTGCATCAGCTTCTTTCTCTTTCTCCCTCTCTTTCATTCTTCGAGCTAAAGCACTGCCCCTAAAACATAACAAGAATACATGATTACTAATCACTCAATAATCAAACTTAACACTAGGAGGGATGCCACAGTAGCTTGACGAGTATGGTGAGGACACACTAATCAAGAGGTACCAAGTTCTTCAAGCCTGATTTTCACTTGTCATTCGTGCAGAATGGAAGGCTTGGCAAGGAAAAGCATATAAGTCATTGGGATGGGAAGAACTTGAAATTATATCCCCCATAACATACTGCATAAACATCTTTAGACCTGTTAATGCATAACAGTAAGACACAGGGTATGCTTAAACTTGATTTAAATTCTAATTTTACAAAGAATAATATAGGATATATGACAAATTCTTGCTAAACTACAAAGATATGCCATTATGTTCATGGTAAATTTCATTCGATTCCTACAGATATAGGATATCAACTTTTAATGTAAATATTTTTCTACCCATGGAGAAATGAGTTGACTGTTTTTGTATTATGTGAAGGAGAACAGAACTGTATTATTCAATTCCAATTTCAAAATTTACTAACTTGAAAAATTTGGGATCATCCCTGAGATCATCATAATCTTCTAAAAATTCTTTTAATCTCCTTCCCTCTCTTGCTTCTTCCATTTTTCTTTCTTCATCTCTTTCTTTTTCCTTTTCATTTTCTCTCGATTTCTTTCTTTCTCTAGCTTCCCAGTTTGTTAACCTCTGTAAGTGTAAAATGTTTAAATATTCTATGAATTTAATTTTTTGGGAGGAAAACAGAAGACAGATACTTTTTCTCCTTTAAATTACATTCACTTCGTTACATTAATTAAATATTAGGACAGTGGTCTATGAATTTAAGTTCTTCGAAAGAAAACGGAAGACAGATACTTTTTTTCTCCTCAAGTTACATTCAATTCACTTAATTACATTAAATAAGGAAGTGGTTACATGGACAATGTGAATGATGAGAACCCTGAGAGCACAAAGCTGACTCATCCTTCAATTCTAACGTTTAATGTGTATACATTTAGAGTAAAATGTCTCGTCCATTTGTATGACAGTTTCCTTATAAAACTAGGTACTGGTACAATATTCTCCTAGTTTATCCACTTACCTCTTTATATGCTGCTTCTTTTTCACGTAATTTCTTTTCCAATTTACGTCTTTCTTTGGCTTCTTCTTCATCTTCCAGTTCTTGTTCTTTCCTTCTACATACAAAATAAAAGTAAAATATGCATGCATTTCATCTACTTGAAACTTAATATGCAAGGGTAAATTCTCTTGTATTCTTATATGTACTGATGATCAAACCTACTGGTTTTAACAACTATTATAGCAGTGCCATTGATATAATGTCCTTTGAATGGTAATTTTGAATTGACATGAACTCATATATTTGCTGCTGACATAGATGCTAAGGGTTAGAGTGGCAAGTCACATCTCCTGTCTTGTGAAGGAACTCAACAAATTGATGATTAATAACTTTTTGAAAAATTGCTTATTTTCTGCCTTGTTTTTATGATTAATGTAAATAAACATACCTAGATCTGTCTGGTGTGTGTGTTCTTTCTCTTTCACGTTCTACCTCTCTTTCTCTTCTATCGCGTCTGTTGTAATTACGATTCCTAGGTGGTGATCGGTTTCTACCAGGTGATCTTGTACGACTACGTGTTCTTTCTCTTTCTCTAGAACGACGATCATCTCCTCTTCGCTTTTCAACTCTTTCTTCCCTTCTGCTCTTTTCCTTTTCTCGTTCCCTCTCCCGCAATTTTTCTCGTTCCCGGTCTCTACGTCGCCGCATCTCCTCATTCCGTCGTTCAGCCTCACGCTTTTCCTTTTCTTCATCAACCTCTTCGTCCTTAAATGAAAAGATAGCTCGAATGTGTCAATTAAGAAATCTACTTTAACAGCATAACTGGGGAAAAAATATATATGTGCATCTTCAAAGAGTCCATATAAAAGAACACAGTGTGGAGAAAGGGAGAGGAGAAAATAAGCTGTTTTTTTTGTTTGTACAAGAATCTTGTATCAAATGAAGATGCACATTTAAGATTATAATGTTTGTCATTGCTGAACAATGATAGGTAGTAACAGAGATAAATATGTCATATTTTTACAATCTTGTCAAACAAATTCTAATTATAACTTCCAACTATTTGAAGTCTTAAAGACTTGTACAATATGCGATTGTACACTGCAGGGTTTGTTTGAGGGAGAGTAAACGATTTTATGACTTTTCTTTTTTTTACATGAAAAACGCTCAGGAGAAAAAAAAAACAGATTTGGTTTTCAAAACAAATGATAATTCTTGAACAGAACTTGGGTTATTAATAATTTTTAATATCTGACCTATCTTTCTCTGCTATTAATGGAGTTGGAGTTGATACAATAATTGTACCAGTGTGTTCTATAATATATATTCTATGTTCATGTAATGAGTAACCTGTTTACATGTAAAAGGCATGTTTGGGTTACAAGATGTTTCTTTTGTACTTCTCTGCTCGATTTATCCTCAGTTTGCAATTCTATGTCTTCTTTCGGTCTCCTCAGACTTGGACCAAATATTAAATCAATCAAGAACTTGTCCCGTCTATATAGGCTGCTAGTAACATAAAAGTACAAATTTTATGATTCCCCCCACACCAAAACCCATCCAAAACGAAATATCTGTATTATTTACGCTTTTACATGATGCATGTGATCCATGAAATAGTCTTTTAAAATTTTTTTAAGATGTTTGGACAGAAATGAATATGAAATCGATATGGATTTAGATATTTTATCCCCTTTTGCATTTTTCTAAAACTTTTTACGACATCCATGAAATATACTTTATAAAAAAAAACCAACAGATTTTTGTACAGAAATAGAAATGAACTGATTTTAATTTAGATATACTTTTCCCTTCTAGCATTTGAAATTTTACTGATGTATTGGAATTTCAATAATAGAAATTTCCACTAATTCTACTCTAACCCTTTGATGTAGTGTCAAATGATAATTGTGTAATTACAATGAATGTATCATTGTAATGCGCTCTGCTGTAAAAAAAGGATCATTACATAATATTACAATATGCTGAAACTGTTAAAGTAATGTGTACACTCACTCACCTTGGCAAACAAAAGCAGCATACCTCATGGACTATCCGTTTCTTAATATTAATATAGGTTCACTAACCTGCATGCATATTTGTCTGCTTTACCAATGAACTAACTCATATTATATTCCAACATGAAAATAACGTTATATATCTACACGCTATCCTACACGTCCCTACATATTTCTTAATGCCCCCTGTGTACCTCCCTACCGGGTTCTCAAAAATAAACCTAATACTAATGACTATGCAATTATTCCCCCAAAACGGACATTTACAACAAGGCCATTTCTAATACACAGGTAAGAATACTTACATAGGTTATGTATATAAACACCCTACATCATTAGACAAATGTCAACACAGCATATATACAATACATTTTTAAAGACTCACCACCGATATCCTTTAATTTTAATTTAACAGCATTTCACAAATTTCATTTCAGTCGGCTTGATGCATTTGAGCAGAATCTAGTAGTATTTGGGGTAATGAAATATAACCTATTAATTTCACGTCAATACAAACAAAGAAATAAAAGGTCCAAACAGTCTCTCTATCTCTATAATCTCATTGGCAGCGCGGGAAAAATTTATTTTCAATGAGACTGATGGGCTTGGGAGAATCTATACATACAAAGCACAAATACTTTCTGAAATAAATAAAGCCATTTAGTTTTTTTAACTTTTCAGAAATTCAGCTAAGTATTAACTTAGTGAAATGCTTGTGGGTAGTGTATAAAATCTACCCCTGAAAAGATATTATTTACCAAGATATTAAATATTAGAAAGCCTTAATGATACCGTTAAACAAAGAGGGGATGGAAACACTGTTTTAACAAAATAGAATATCATGAAATCTAGCAATTTCAAAAGAAAAAAATTTGTGTTAAATAATTTAAAAGGGTTGACAGTGTTCCATCCACTCTAATGCTAAATGTATCATTAAGATATAGCCAAGAAAAGAAATATTTAGTCACCTTATGTAAATCACGGAATGATCGAATTTCTCGGTTGATAATGAATTTGGTTTCTTCTTCTACTTCCAAACCATCAAGACCCTAAAAACAAACAGGTATTAGTTACTAAAATTATAATTGATTTTGCCCTGTTGAAAGAGAAATTTTTAAAAAAATTCATAGTTGACAAAAGCAATTGTCGAGAAGTTAATGCCTTAACAAAACAACTTCTAAGCATACACATTTCTACTGGTTGGTTCATGTCAGAATATGGAAAAACAGCGCTGCCTGGAAAGATATTCTCTGGTTATACATTCCACATTTAAATGGGACAGGGTTTAAAATCTTGTCAACACCAGGTAATTTGGGTACGAACTATGATATATTTTTTCTTCTATGCCGACTTGTGCAATGCAACAGGAAGAATTTTGCTCAGAAACTGGCGTTTTGTTTGGTGTCTTTTTTAAATTCCAAGTGCCAAGAACTTTTTTACATGCACACTACCAATTTGTACACAGGACATTGGATTCTCATCCCATCTTAATTAACAACTAGTTACATTTCCCCCAAAGATTCTTCTTAGTCCATGCTAGTCATTAGTTCAAAATCATTTCATTAGTATCAGAATTATACTTACAACATCTTTTACATCTTTTCCTTCTTTTATCATCTGTATTTTAGCAGGTTTTTTCTCTTGTTCCTCTGTAAATAATATAAACAAAATTATAACAAGATAAACCTCAACCTTGCAAAGTTTTTTTAAATTGAGTTTCAACACAACTTTTCTTCAGGATATAAAGACACTCTAAACTAATTCCATTTAGAAAAGCGAAATTTTCATTACAGACCTACAGAACGTTTACTATAAAAAAGAAAATTAAAGAGCTTACGAGATGCCATGGCTTTATTCATCTCATCAGCATATTCCATCATAATAGCTTCTAATCCAGCTGTAGCTACTCTATCTTCACGTTTAGTAAATTCATCTAATTCATCAGCACTTGATTCATCATCTCTTATTTCTCCATTTTCTTTATCTCCGTTCTCTTCTTCTTTCTTCTCTTTTTCTTTCTTTTCTTCAGCTGTTGTTTCTGCTGCCTTTTTTTTAGATCGATAGTCATCGAGCAGAGTTTTTGTTTTTGCATCTACTTTAACCTTTAATTGACAAAAGATAATAAATATTTAGATAAATCAAAATTGAGGAATGCTCCTTTTCACCACCACCCACCCCTATTAAAAATTCTCCAAGCTTCTTAAAGTGTGCAAATACCCGATATTAAAGGCTATTCCAGAAATAAAGGTGCCTAAAACTCGAGACATCTACTTACCTGAAAGTGACATTAATACATCACTTTCTTTTTTTTACAGTAATTGGAATAAAAATAAACTTACCACAAGTTTTTTATCAGGTATATACCATTCATTTAACAGTCTTATACATCTCAATGTTGCTTCTGGATCTTCATATTCACAAAATCCAAAAGCTGAAATTAATCGATTTACCTTTTTAACATCAGTCTGATCACTCCATTTCTCATGTATCAGGGGGAGAGAAATGGGGGTTAATGTCCACTAAACAAAAACTAGGTCATTTTGGGACTAACATATGATTCAATTTTTATTTCAGTAATTTGTATGCATCTATAGCAGTGGGAGGAGCCCGGAGGAAACTCACAAGGCTGGACAGATAATAAAAAAAAACCCATGCTACCTTATTATCTAACACGCACGCCTTAGACCAAACTGCCCATCCCCCCCCCCCCCCCCCGTTATTCTAATGTATCACATATCAAATATTCACAACTTATTCAATCAGAAACAAATTGTATAATTCTAATCTCCATTTAATGTCAATTTACACTATGGAGAATTAAATCCTAACCTTGTAATTTGCCAGAAGCTCCTTGTACTCTTTTCCAACTTAAAACATTACCACATCTCTGAAATACAAATATTGATACAGCATGTTAAGGGTGTGATAGATAGACGTTTTTCCTAGTGAATTTAAGTTCAAATTTATATAAATTTAAGCAGTGTTACTGTTGGTAAATAAAAGATGAAATCAAGTATCCGAGTCATCCCAGAATGAATTCATGGATGAGGTTAACTCAATGAATGAAACACCCACACTCAATCACAATTTTTTCTAGAGAGAGAGAGGGGGGGGGGGGGTAAAGTCCACTTGACACAAAATAGGTCATTTCGAAACTAACATATAGTTTAATTTTGTTTCAATAATCCATTTGCGCATAGGGGTCTTTAGCAGTAGGAGGAAACCCGGATGACCCAGAGAAAACCCACAAGGTTGGACAGGCAACCGTAATCCTTGTCACGTACAACCGGGGAATCGAAACCACACCAGTTGACTCAATGGCTAACCATTCGGCCATCCAACCCCCCTGATGTGAATAGAGATACATACCTGTAACATTTGTTTGATCATAACATCAGGAGCTTTATCACTGATATTACCAACAAATACAGTAGTAACTGGTGGTTTGTCATCTTTTTCATTCTGAAAATTAAACATACATAATGCATCCACATCATATACCAAACCTAAAGAATCATAGTCTAGTATACTAAATCTATAAACAACATCTAAATTAGACATTCTTTTAAATAACAGGAGACAACTCCCGGCTCTCTTAGTGTAAGTTGATAAGCTATTCACATTTGATAAAGTTCTTAAATTATTTCCTTATTATCAAATTAAATATCAGATGTCTGAACACCAATAGCAACAACAATAATAATCTGCAACAGCAATCTTATAGAGGACTAAATGTACTAATTTTAGTGATTACTGAACAAAAAAAATGGCGTTTATGCATTAGATGTTGTATTACAATTATGGAAATCAAGTTACCTTTGGGATTTCTTGGGGTACTAATTTCTTTCCTTGTTTCTGTGAATTGACAACTGGTCTTATCATCTGCAAAATACATGTATCAAGATTAAAGATAACTAATTAGCTAAGGACATAACTAATAATAACGTCAAAATTAGCTTAATGTTTTTACAAAATTATGTAAAAAAATTGTGTGGTTCGTTCTAGTAAAAATGGAACAGTTCATTGTAAATTTAGCATGACAATTACAATCTGCTGTAAAAATGTTTCCTTTTTACAAAAAAATAATAGTGTCCTTATTTTGACACATTGTTTTATTTATTCATTTTTTCTTACAGTTGACTTTGATCAAAATATCAAATGTACTTACCTGGGGTGGAGCCATCATTCTCATCCCCATTGGAACCATGCCTGGCAATTAGAACAAAAGATATATTTGTTTGGGCCTACTCAAGGTAAAAAACATAATCAATATAGCTCTAGAGGCCAATACAAGAAACCTTGCTTATTGAAAAATCAACCAAGTATCTAATTTCTATATTTTCTAGTATTACAGCCCATTGCATCAGCTTACTAGTACATTTGGAATGAAGGAACTTGTTGCTGCTGGTACTAAAATTAACTTGCCAAAAGCATAGATCAATCCATGTCCAGTTTAAACAGATCTCAAATATGTGGATTACTAATCTTACTCCTTACATGAAATTATTTATTAAAATCTGTAATTAGATATCAGTACTGAAATCAAACTGGGATACTTACCCATAGGAGTATAATAAGCTCCTGGCATCATCTGTGGCATTCCCATAGGAGGACGAGGTGGAAATGACATTTTCAAAATATCTAAAGTGATAAAAGAAAAAAGAATATTTTTTCAGTACACCACTACAGTACTATTATTAAATAAAGGAGCAACAATTTAGGTCCTATAACTTAACTGTTTTACATGTAGGTCATAATAAAAAAGTGTTCAGTTGGGTTGATCTGGTGTGTTATTTAGATTAATAATGTGCCAAAAGGTACTGGTATAAGCTAACAATTAGGGCTTGAAATGGATGCTGGTTTCATCAAGTATCGATAATCGCTGTCATTCGCTGACCATCTGCTGATCAATATCAGTAAATTATTTTTACTTACAAATGTTTTGAAAACATTCATAATTTGTATGTGAATGACGAATTATATGCGAGTTTATGTATACATCTAGAATTTGTTTTTATTTTATTGATTTGGCAATAAAATAATAGCATTCAATACCAATCCACTTCATTTGAAAGACAAAACCATCACCGCTCGACATATCTTTGTTGCTTATGGCCAGAAAAATAGTTAAGAAATTGTAGTTATTTCCCTTTGATCACATGAAACAGATTTGTAGTTAATCTGAATTCTCATGCACATAAAGTGGCTGAATTCCTGTTTTTGACTCTTGGTCACCATATTATTTAATTTTTCATATAATTTAACTATTCCATAATTAATATGTTGAGTCAGTTCAAAATTAGATAATATAACAAGCCAACAGTGAGGCTGATGTCCCCCGCCGAAATCCCAAAATAAATAGATGACACATTAATTAATCGAACATTTATTTTTCAAAAGTTTCCAGCAATCAAACTACACACTAAGTTTCATCACTCTCTATCAGATAGAATCAAGATTATCTTGTTCAAAAGCATCGACCATTGAAATTGATTAGCTCTGCTTAGCTTTAGCTTGAAATATTAATCATTGAAATCACCCAATGAACATCTACATCAGGTTTAAACATTCTACCTTAATTAAAAGCAGAGTTTTTATGTTCCAACCAATCATATTGCTTATCGCTACTTTCGCACAATCGAACTTAGTCAAGGTAATGATATAATGAATCTATATTCAGAGTTTCATCACTCTCACTTCATTATAACCAAAGTTATGGCGCCCCTAAAGCATCAATTAGAAGGAGAGTTATTGTGTTCCAAAGTCTCGACAATCAAATTGCTTATTGCTCTGCTTACCCTCAGCAGAAAATGTCCATTATCGAACTTAGTCAAGGTATTGATGTAATAAAGCTATACATCAAGTGTCCGGCTCAGTCTCACTTAATTAGAACTAAAGTTATCGTGTCCAAAAGCATCAACCAATCAAATTGCTTATCTCTGCTTACCCTAAGCAGAAAATGCTCATCTTCGAACTCCATCAAGGCATTGACCCAATAAACACCTACACCAAGTTTGAACATTCTAGCTCAATTAGAAGGAGAGTTATTTTGTTGCAAAATCTTGGCCAATCAAATTGCTTATCGCTCTGCTTACCCCGAGCAGAAAATGCTCATTATCGAACTTAGTCAAGGTATTGATGTAATGAAACTATATACCAAGTTTCATCACTCTCATTTAATTAGAACTAAACTTATCACGCCCCAAAGCATCAACCAATCAAATTGCTTATCTCCGCTTACCCTAAGAGGAAAATGCTCATCTTCGAACTCCATCAAGTTATTGACCTAATAAACACCTACACCAAGTTTGAACATTCTAGCTCAATTAGAAAGAGAGTTATATTGTGTCCCAAAAAGTGTGACGGACAGATAGACAGACGGATGAACCCATTTTAATAGTCCCCTGCTGTCTTCGATAGGCGGGGGACAAAAAATGAATATGTACATGTATACTAAAAATTACTATACACTGAACATTTCGGTCAAACCATTTCAATCTGAGGGAGGTTTTGAAAGGAAATAGTGTAAATAGGCTTGAATGTCCAGTACACTTGCTATGATAATAAACTAAGTCTCAATTTTTCATTTTAATGTTTTAAAGTTAAAGTTATTCATCCATTCAATATCTCAGGCATCCAATGCCACAGAGAGTTGATAAGCTTGTCACGTGAATAAATATCTAAATATCAATAGGGGTTTCAGGTCACGCGACTTGTTGAATATAGGATTATAGGAAATATAGGATTAACTGAAAGGACCTGAATTCTTTCTAAAAATATAATGAACATTAAAATAACCATTAATCTTTATATTGTTGACATTTTGAGGAAATCTGATGTTCAGAAAATAGTTTTTGAACACCGTTATTTGAAAATAAATGCAGTGTCCTCTATTCTACGTTCTAGATGACTTTTATTTTACTTTTTTCTTATGTCTTAAGGTTCCGTTATTCTATTTGACTGATGGTACTGGATTTTGGACAGGTATAAAGTTCACCATCACCATTCGATTGCAATCAAGGTCACATGACCAAAATATGGGTAACAAAACATTATTCTTTATATTGTTGAAGTTTTGAGGAAATATGTTACTCAGAAAAAAAAAATGAAAATAAATGGTGTGTATTCTAATTCTACATTCTGGTCGACTTTTATTTTCCTTTTTCTTATGTCATTCTTTTTGACTGATGGTACTGGATTTTGGACAGGCACATTACGAGTGAAGTTCACCATCACCATTTAAGGTCACATGACCAAAATACGAACCACAAATAATAATTATAGTATAAACTTTAAAGCGATAATTTCATATTTTCTAAGAAAGTCAAAACATAATTATTTCTATGTCTTTTGCCCAATAGGTTGTCAAGTCACTATTATACAATCATAGGTATTATTCTCCCACTTGACCCCGGAAATAATAACACAATTACCTCCCTTGTTTTTCTATTCCCCCCATGGAATAGCTATCTTCAAACGTTTGAATTTAAAGTTGAAAATGATATTTTTGCCAATTTCTCAACTGGCAATAGTGAATTATAGGATTAATAGGATTATTTTTTAACAAGGTAGGACTGTTTATAGATACCATCTATTTAAAGGCTTTATTTTAATAAATTTTCAAAATATATAATAACTTAAAAATATGAAATTGCAAAGTCTTTCTTAATGCAACAGGAAAAATTATGTCGACATTTCAGAGATTAAAATTGCTTTAACTTTTTGATTCCATGACCATTTTGGTGTCATTTGGTTTCCTTTTCCACGATACACCCATTGCAATGATAAAAAAAAACCATTCCAACACACCGTACGAAAATTTGTCTAGGAAGGGTCAAATGACAAATTAAACAAAATGAAAAACAATATTTTACCGGTCTACAGCAATGTAACCTAGGCGCACTTTCTAACCTGACAATAACATGGGGACAACTGGAATGGATTTGAGGCGAACAGTGACTAATATGCATTGTGTGCCACCAGTAGGCCTAACAACAGCAGAAGAAAACAGTCGGCGTGTCGCCATTTCTGTTCAAGAACGGGCCAGGGGATCAGGACACAGACGCAACTCCGACATCGTCACGTGAACAAAGACTCCGTGAACAGGCACGAAATTTAATTTCAAAGTATTTCGAATTCTAATAGTGAATTCTTCGAATATGAATACTTACGTTTTCTAAAAATCGACTCGAACGACCAACAATTCGACCATAACAGCCTCAGCGGTTTCCCTTGTCTTCGGTGCAAATGGCGTCTTAGGTGCGTGACGTCATGTAAATACACGTGATTTGCTTGAGAAGGGAGGTAAATCCATTTAGTTGTTGCTACCGACCAGTTCCTTTTTACGACCATCAAAACAACATTATTATGTCTTTTGTAGCGTTTGTTTATTTTTAAGAAAAAAAAAAATTGTTTATGATAGTAACGTCAGCTTTTTAAAAACGTAGTGGTGCTGAAAAGCTCAGTTGCATGTTTGTAAAGGGATGTGGTCACGGGGATCTCACGTGGCAAAGTGGGTAAGACGCTGGCTCGCAAGTCTGGAGCTAGGTCGGGTGTTCGATCCTTGTATTGGCCGAGAAAGTTCATCCCGATTTTCCGGCGTGGTTTCCCCTTGTTTGTGATGCAGGACGGATGGTACGAAAAAACCGATGTCGTGTGTTTACACATTGGCGTGCACGTAAAATATCCCCTTGGCAGTTGGAATTCGATATAAGAGTAGGCCGTAGTGCCACTGCCCGGGCAAAATTTCCCTCATAGAACACTGTATGGCGTATGCCCGTCTTCATTAACCCAGGTTAGGAGCAGAACAGTACAGGACGTCAAACCCCATTTCATTTCGATGTATGTATGGCGTATGTCCGTCTTCATTAGCCCAGTATAGGAGCAGAACAGTAGGACGTTAAACCCCATTTCATTTCATTTCGATGTGGTCAGGGGATCACGTGGCTAAGTGGGTAAGACGCTGGCTCGCTAGCCTGAAAATCAGTTGTTCGATCCCAGCATTGGCCGAGAAAGTTCATCCAGATTTTCCGGCGTGGTTCCCCCTTGTCAGTGATGCATGCAGGACGGAGGGCCTGACAAGGACAGCTGTCTAGTCTTTTGGATGAGATAAAAAACTGAGGTCCCGTGTATACATTGGAATGCACGTATAAGATCCCTTGGCAGTTGGAATTCGATATAAGAGTAGGCGATAGTGCCGCTGCCGGGGCAAAATTTCCCTAAAAGCACACTGTATGGCGTATGCCCGTCTTCAGTAGCCTAGTATAGGAGCAGAACTGTAGGACGTTAAACCCCATTTCATTTCAACATTTTTATTTGCATATATAGTTATTACGTCCATTAAGAACAGTATACAAAAAATACACATACATCAATATACATGTATACAAAAATATATTTTACATGGTAAAATATATTTTTCCATATATTGGAATAACATGATATAATGAAATGAAAATATAATGAGATATACATGTACCATTGGGATGATTGATACAATGAAAATGTAGCAATGAAAGTAGTTTCTCTTCAGAAACAATAATACCAGAATACCAGAAGCACCACCCAAGGAAGACCATCAGCGCCACCAACACCAATAAACAGTGAAATCGCCTTTGTATATAAATCTAATGTATTGTATGTATTTTAATAAAACTAGGAAATATCACGAACTAATTTTTCATCATCCTAGGTCAGTGCTTATGTGGAGAATTAACCTCTCCCCCCAAATTCTTAAACCTAACCCATTTTTTAAAATCCCTAAAAAATATAAACAAACACCATGTGGCCATGCTGTCTACCAAGACACCACGTGCAAAAGCATTATGGTTACGTTGCTGGCTGAGCGGGCGATAAATATTTGGTTTAGGCGGTTATGTTTTTGGGTACCTACATGCGATTCACTCTGATAAGTGGCAGAAAAAAATTAACAAAATATTACTGACAGGCTAACTAACTAGACACAATTTTATGGAACACAGGTACTTTTCACTTCACACATGTTTCCAGGATGATTATCTCTGTGTTTTATTTTAGCAGTATTAACCATATTGGGATATGTACAGGTTTTATACAGATAGAATCTTAACTAATCCTAATAATTGTTGTAAATAAATAGGAGTTTGGGCCTACTATGTAAATTATTTTGGGAGGTCCAAGTATATTCAGACCCCCCCAGAAAAACAATTGGGGGGGTCGGACCCCCCCCCCCCACCACCACCACGTGTGACGCCCATGGTCATGTAGGCCTATAATGATCAAATGTGTAGTAAGAACATGCAGCAGAAAAATAGACTAGGCAGGTACTCCCCTTTCCTTAAAAGCATGATATGTACATACCTTGCTACTGCTTTAGCAAGAAAATTTATAAGACTAAAAGTAATAAGAGTTACCGGTAGCCTAGACAATGTGAAAAACTAGTTGCAGTGCTTTAGAATGTTTCTTTCTGATCCATTTTTCTAACATCAAAAATAGTAATTATGAGTTATGATTTGTCAAGTTTATCATTAAATACTGCACTACATACAAAATAAATAGAACTATTATTTTTTTTTGTAAAATATGGGTTGCCTACTGGTAATAAAGAAGTTTTTTGAAAATTTATAAGTTTAACCAATTTGGTTTCCCTATGCTGTAGGAGACAAACAATCAAATCTTCTCTTTATATGAGTGATTTTAGAATCTGTCCACCAATTTTTCTAACCTAAACTCGACCGACTATCATACATTCACTGTTCTGTTAGGCCTAATGTAGACAAATTCTGGTATATCATCTTATTGTCCTCATATATTTTAAACATTTAATCACCACTAATCCATTCCTATGTATATAGCCATCTTCAAGGAGATTATCAAAGAGCATTTTAATTGGATAGGATAATTAGTGGAAATTCTGAAACCATGCTTAAATTATCATGGTTATTTTTGTCAGTTGTTATTATTAACAAAGTTAAGTAAGTTATTTTTAATAATAGTACTGTAAGTAATGTTTTGTAAAATATATTGTTTTTCATTAAATTAATATTGTTTGGCTATCATGACCAAAATGTTTGGCTGTTATATTACCAAAATGTTTGGCTATTGTGACCAAATTTTTTTACTGTTATGACCAAAGTATGGCTGTTTTGATCAAATGAGATACGGTTCACATAGTTCTTTGAATATTGTTTATTTTATCTTGTTTGTTCATCAAGAATGTGTTTAGGGAAAGAAAAATATTAAAATGTTAAATATAAATAATTACATATCCCATTATTTTCAAGGTGAATGATATGATGAGAAGCAAAAAGTTAATTTTTAAATGTTGTATCCATCAGCAGAAGTAAGCCTAATGGTGTCTTTGAAAATGGTTAAAGGAGCTAAATTGCTAATATTTGGGACCTAGAAATTGACACAAATGGGTCGCAGTGCATATAATAATGCAATATGAATGTATATAAACTGATTTACATTCAATCGTTTCCGTTTTTACTCTAATTTCAAATCAGTTATCTTGGGTGAAATACGCCAGAAGTTTCAATCGAATGGCAATCTCTAGCATCTGGTACATTCCAGTCTACACCGATAGTATTTATTGCGCATGCTCTCCAAATAAGAATATGGCGTCACAGTTTGACATAACTAGTGGAATATGTCTAGACTCGTTCTTCGAGTCCCTTGTTACAAATGGCGCTGAAACACATGCATGGTACACGAGTCATGTACCAATGGTAAAATGTTTATTTTGTCTTAAATATTATATAACAGAAGCTCATCTTTTCCCGGGAAAGATCACAACATCAGTGTTGATTTAAATTGACAATTAATTCGTATTTTCAATGTCAAAAACTTTGGATGATATTGAGTTAGAGGCTTAGCTACTTTAACATTCTATATTTAGCTTGTCAATAATCCTGTACTCAATGGTCCCAGTCTATGATGATAGACCCCAGCGGGCACACAACGTTGTGACAACATTGTTCAAGGGTTGTATCACAACGTCTGAAAAAGGTCAGCTGTAGGTTGTTTTGCAACAAACTCTTACGTTGTGACAACGTTGTACGGACGTCAAAGCAACATTGTCACAACGTTGTGTGGTGGTTGACGAAAAGTTGTGACAACGTTGTTCGGACGCCAAAGCAACATTGTCACAACGTTGTGTGGTGGTTGACGAAAAGTTGTGACAACGTTGTACGGACGTCAAAGCAACATTGTCACAACGTTGTGTGGTGGTTGACGAAAAGTTGTGACAACGCTGTACGGACGTTCAAGCAACATTGTCACAACGTTGTGTGGTGGTTGACGAAAAGTTGTCACGACGTCAGAATTTGTTGTTTTTCAACGTTGTGTGGTGGTTGGCGAAAAGTTGTCACGACGTCAGAATTTGTTGTTTTGAGGTTGTATAAAACCCAGTATAAGCCCCATCCGAACTCCCTACAGTTCTACCCCCACTGGACTAACGAAGACGGGAATAGGCGTCCGGACACGATGGAAGTTAAATTAGGTGTGTGTTCGGGGAAGGGAGGGGGGGTTGCTTAAATGCCCGACAGATTTGGGCCACAGTTTTGACATAGTGAAACGATACGCGAAGTTTCAACACCCTCACTCAATTAGAATCAAAGTTATTGTGTCCCATCACAACCAATCTAATTGCTTCTTTCTGAATACAATCAGTATCAATTAATAGGACAGTACGTAGTTTCAAAACATTCAATTCAAACGATTATATTACAGTCAATATTAATGCTAGAGTCATATAACTTTGCAGTAATGGGTAAAGGTAATAGAATCTGATCATTAAATTTTAAGTAATGGTCATGTAATGAGTAATGCAAGATTTCAAAAGTAATGAGTAATGGAAATGTAATTAATTACATTCCGAAAATCATGTAATGGTCAATTACATTTCAATTACATTTAATGGCGCATTCTTTGAATGGCATTTAGTGATTAGAACATAATCAAATAACGCACTTTTATGGAATAACAATTACTATGGTTTATTTCACTGCAACGTTTCAACAAGATTTCACAAGTCGTTTTCAAGCATATATACACAAATAAATAAAATGAGAAAGATATGAATATATATATATAAACATCAGTGCGAACTATCCAATGGTATGCATGTCTTTAAATCTGATTGATTAAATGCTAAATTAGCACTAATCTTTAAATAGTAATAAAATGTAATTATTTACTTTCAATGTAATGGGTAATGAATGATATTGCTAAAAATGAGAAAGTAATTTTAATGCAATTGGTACTGTAATAATAATAATAATTTATTATTTATAATGCGCCTATTACCAATATAAAACACTCAATGCTCAATGGCGCAGTTAACATTTTGTGGACATCACACATAGAAAATAAAATAAAATTAAATGGATGATAAAAGAACTTAAAATGGCTTATAAAGATTATAATAAAATATGACATGTAATAAACAAATTTAAACTGTACATGTACTTAATTGGTCCCTCTTCTGTCCGGCTCATATTTTAGATGAGCCGAAACTGCTGTTATTATCTCGGCTTCATTGCAGCTCGGCTGACTGATCATTACACTATCTGAAGAATACAAAAAACTGTATATTTACTCTGTCAAATTTTGTAAATTATATAATTCAGTCCAATCAAAAAGGTGGTCCTAAAGCTGTAACAGATAATTCTGCATCCCATGAATTATGGACCAAAGGTGGCTTATTGGGTAAAACGCTGGCTCGCTTGTCTGGAGGTCGCATTTTTTATCCCTACATTTGCCGAGAAAGTTCAGTAGGCCTGACAAGGACAACTGTTAGTCGTTTGGATGGTATGAAAAACCGAGGCCTCGTGTACACATTGACGTGCAAGTAAAAGATCTCTTGGCAGTTGGAATTCGATATAAGAGTAGGCCATAGTGCCGCTGCCCGGGCAAATTTTTCCTTCATTGCACGCGGTATAGCGCATGCCCATCTTCATTAGCCTAGTCTGAGCAGAACAGTAGGACGTTAAACCCCATATGAATTATATTATATATGACCCAATAACACATTCTATATGAGACATCGCTTGTGTTATTACTTTCATATTCTCCATAAATTTGTACGTGTAAGAAAGGCATGGGTGTTAAATTACAAAAAAGATAGGTTGCCAGGCAACGAAACATACGCCCACAGCAGCTAAATCGTCCGGGCAGTCAACAAGAGTTGTCGCATATTTTTACTTTTTTCGGTAATGAAACATTTATAATACACTAAAATCTGATTAAGAGCAACAACTCAGAAAACCATTAGAATTTGTTTGGTTTTTATAAAGTTCTGCCCCATGCTAACGTTTTGTATACAAAACTTTTAATACTGTATCATGGATTTAGCTGTCCAAGTCATAAAGATAGGTTGCCAGGCAACGAAACATACGCCCACAGTAGCTAAATCGTCCAGGCAGTCAACAACAGTTGTCACATATTTTTACTTTTTTCGGTAATGAAACATTTATAATACACTAAAATCTGATAAAGAGCAACAACTCAGAAAACCATTAGAATTTGTTAGGTTTTTATAAAGTTCTGCCCCATGCTAACGTTTTGTATACAAAACTTTTAATACTGTATCATGGATTTAGCTGTTTCAAGTCATAAAAATTCATTGAAAATCAATATACTTGTTCGCCTCAAGATCTTAAACTCTGTGTATCAATCTGAAGTCAATCGGATATTAACTTTGGCCTCTAGAGCGTCCCCAAGATTTTTCAAAGTGATCAAGGGCCATAACTTTGGCAGTAATTATCAGAAATCTTTGAAAATCAATAGGATTCTTCGCCTCGTGACCTCAAACACTGTGTATAAATTTAAAGTCAATGAGATTAACTTTAGCCTTTGGAGCATCCACAAGGTTTTTTGAAGTGATCAAGGGCCATAACTCTGGAAATCAATAGGCTTCTTCGTCTCATGACCTTAAACACTGTGTATAAATTTAAAGTCAATCGGATATTAACTTTAGACTCTAAAGCGTCCACAAGATTTTTCAAAGTGATCAAGGGCCATAACTCTGGCAGTAATTATCGTAAATTGCTGAAAATCAATAGGCTTCTTCGTCTCATGACCTTAAACACTGCGTATAAATTTAAAGTCAATCGGATATTAACTTTGGCCTCTAGAGCGTCCACAAGATTTTTTGAAGTGATCAAGGGCCATAACTCTGGCAGTAATTATCGGAAATTGCTGAAAATCAATAGGCTTCTTCGCCTCATGACCTTAAACATTGTGTATAAATTTAAAGTCAATCGGATATTAACTTTGGCCTCTAGAGCGTCCACAAGATTTTTTGAAGTGATCAAGAGCCATAACTCTGGCAGTAATTATCGGAAATCACTGAAAATCAATAGGCTTCTTCGTCTCATGACCTTAAACACTGTGTATAAATTTAAAATCGTTCGGATATTAACTTTGGCCTCTAGAGCGTCCACAAGATTTTTTGAAGTGATCAAGGGCCATAACTCTGGCAGTAATTATCGGATATCGCTGAAAATCAATAGGCTTCTTCGTCTCATGACCTTAAACACTATGTGTAAATTTAAAGTCGATCGGATATTAGCTTTGGCCTCTAGAGCGTCCACAAGATTTTTCAAAATGATCAAGGGCCATAACTCTGGCAGTAATTATCGTAAATTGCTGGAAATCAATAGGATTCTTCGTCTCATAACCTTAAGCACTGTGTATAAATTTAAAGTCAATAGGATATAATAACTTTGGCCTCTAGAGAGTCCACAAGATTTGTTTGAAGTGATCAAAAGCCATAACTCTGGCAGTAATAATCAGAAATCAGTGAAAATCAATAGGCTTCTTCGTCTCATGACCTTAAACACTGTGTATAAATTTAAAGTCTATCGGATATTAACTTTTGCCTCTAGAGCGTCCACAAGATTTTTTGAAGTGATCAAGGGCCATAACTCTGGAAGTAATTATCGGAAATCGCTGAAAATCGATAGGCTGCTTCGGCTCATGACCTTAAACACTGTGTATAAATTTAAAGTCAATCGGATATTAAGTTTGGCCTCTAGAGCGTCCACAAGATTTTTTGAAGTGATCAAGGACCATAACTCTGGCAGTAATTATCGGAAATCGCTGAAAATCAATAGGCTTCTTCGTCTCATGACCTTAAACACTGTGTATAAATTTAAAGTCAATCGGATATTAACTTTGGCCTCTAGAGCGTCCACAAGATTTTTTGAAGTGATCAAGCAATTGTGGACGCCGGACGAACGGACGGGGGCGAGGACAATATACGACCACATTTCAATGTCGGCGTATAAAAAGATCAACACTCATCGATGAAGTAATAAAAACTCGTGTATGCCCATACCATGTTTGATTATCCGATATTTAAGGATATGTTCGTAAATTGAGTATGATAAAAACAAACCTCGGACAACTTTGTAAATTTCTAAGTCCATTATGGACCGCCTCCCTTTATTTCCCTTTAAATTAAATTGGGCCATTAGGGAATTAGACATCAACCTGTTAAAATAAAAAGACATACTGTTTATGCGTTTGACAATACCACGAATTTTGACTTTCCATTCCTTGACACCTAGAAATGGACATAAATGGGTTGCAACGCATATAATAATGTAATATGTTTGTATATTAACTGATTTACATTCAATCGTTTCTGTTTATACTGTAATGTCTAATCAGTTATGTTCGGCGAAATACGCGAAGAGAGAGAGAGAAATGGGGTTTAACGTCCACTTGACACAAACTTGGTCATTTCGGGACTAACACATGGTTCAATTTTATTTCAATAATTCGCTAGCGCGTAGGGGTCTTTTTAGCAGTGGGAGGAAACCGGAGGACCCGGAGAAAACCCACCAGGTTAGACAGGCGACCAAACTCCTTGTCACGTACAACCGGGGAATCGAAACCCCGCCAGTTGACTCAATGACAGACCGTATGATACAGCGTGCGCGTGCTAACCATTCGGCCATCCAACCCCCCATACGCGTAGAGTCCAAATTGAATGCCAGTCTTTGGCGTCTTCATTCTTCGAGTCTCTCTATTACAAATGAAATTTGAAAGCATTCTTGCACGCGATTCGTGTGGCAATTTCAAAACTTTAACTTTGTGTTAAATATTGGACATTAGAAGCCCATCTTTTCACGGTTACAACATTGATGTTGGGTTTAATTAAACAATGAGTCCCATGGTTGCAATGTCGAAGACTGTGGATGATATTGAGTTAGAGACTTGACTCCTTTAAGACGAAGACGATTGGAAAACGAATGTACGATTATTTTATCAATTTGTTTTCAAAAGAAAGAATACGACTTTAAACTGGTAACCACCAAGGCTCATCAGATGGGTTACCTATAGCTATAACATGAAATAAATGAAACACATCTAGTATATTATTATATTTCAATCACTGTAATATTTACAATCAATGTCAGTTCAATTATGCAGGTGTATGCTCATGGATATTGATGTTGTACATTTAATAATAAAATTACCCTTCACTTGAATTAAATCTAAAACCCACAAGCATGTAATTAAAGAGCTGTGGTGTTAACAGTCGCACTAGCCCGGCATTATATCCACCTGTCCGTAGATCGACAAAGTACAAGATTTAATTTTCAGAGCATATATGTTTTGTTGCGTGTCAACCTATCTTTTTAATTAAGATCGTAGACTTGGTTGCCTAATAATTAAGATGTATACAGCGACTTGGTTAACCGTTTATCGGTTACTACTGGTGAAGCGGTTAAAAAAATTACAAACCGATATTCGTTTTCATATCATATTTGACATTCAAAACCAGGAATGGTAGCCAAAAACGTTTTCATTCACTAAAGACTATATAAATAGTTCATACAGCACAAAGTTCATATAGCATTTGTCATTTGTAATATATCACGGGAAATTAATGTCTTATTAATTCCCGCTCGAAGTTTTGTACACGTTACATTATTATTAACACTCCCTGCAAAGCTTGGGGTAGTATCAACTTATCTAAACAATTCATGAAATTGGTAACCCTATAAATTTAAAGATAATAGATAATGGGAAAGTCCATTATACAATACTATAAATATTGAAATGGCCCCTTCCAATTCCAGACATAGATTGAAATAGCTCTTTCCAAATCCAGACATAGCAAATGACCAAAAACTAAATGATTAAAATGCAATACAATTATAAAATAAAAACACTAAAGTTTCAGAACTAAAATAAATCATTTAAGAGATAATAAAACATATTTAAAATACTCAATTTACTTTGCAAGGAGGGTTCAATAATGAAATGACAATAGAAGTTCGGCTACGTACGTGGAAATGGCACCAGTAGAAAATAATCTACAATTACCGAAACAATTAATTCTTTTATATCATAATTATTTCTAAATGGACACAAAATATTAATTAATCGTAACATACCTAATTCTCAACTGTTACGCCTTTTAGCAACTTATAAAACTCGATAGTTTATCACAGCTCTAAAAAAGCAGCCATACAGGTTTGGCTGGGATTCCTTTTTGGCGGAAAGATGTTTAAATTTGATTGGGCCAACTGTCAACCTTGGATGTGTTTTAAAATAAAATATGTATAAGATAATTAATCTTGACATTCATTGGGGTTTTTTTATATACCGGTACATTAAATATAGATATTTTGCAATTAAGTTATGAACGTAATTAAGTTTTAAAGGTGTAATAAACGTTTAATAAATGTTTTTTAAAAAAAAATTTTTTTCAAATGGCGTGTATAGGTAATTGTTACCTATTCATTGCGGGTTCTTTATAAACGGTTCATAAACGTTTAAAAAAATCATATTTACGGTACTACGTTTTAATGGAAAATTTTGTAAGAAAACATCAATTATGAACGTTATCTAAACATATTATATTAAACATTTTTATCAATATTTATCGAAAACTTCTGAAAAACTTACACTTAAAACATTTAAAAAAACGTTTAATAAATATTTTTTTTTTTACATAACCTTTTAGAAACAAGAAAAATAACAAAAACAAAAACAAAAAACGTTTTTGAAATATTTTGTGCTTGCTGGGATTCACTTAGAACTGTAATTAATTAAATAATGGCCAGGTTTCACACTTATATATACTGAGCGCCATGGAAAACGCATCACTTAGTTTTTCGTATAACAAAATGATCCTGTAAACATATCTTATTTATTTTGCTTCTTATTGTGAACAATATTCAAATGGGAACACATCAATAACAACACATTTGTACACTTATGGATGTTTAATCTGTAATCAACGGTACAAAGTCAGAGGGGTCAAAACCAAAAGTACGACACAGATGTCAGTAGCGCGTGTGTCCTCCACGGGCTTTTACGCACGCTGTGCAGCGACGTCGCATGGAATTAACCAATGTTTGAAAGAAGGCCTGGGGCAAATTGTTCCATTCTTGGACAAGAGCAGCTTCTAAAGCAGCAATGGTGTGCATCTGTGGTCTCCGATACAGACGGCGTCCAATCTCATCCCAGACATGTTCTATTGGTGCCATGTCCGGAGACATGGCTGGCCAGTTCAAGACATTGATGTTGTTAGCAGCCAGGAAGTCCATACTAAAACGGGCGGTATGCGAACGTGCATTATCCTGTTGGAAGTGCTGAAGTTGTGGGTGCGCTCGAAACATCGGAACAACAATTGGTTGCAAGACATCATCACGGTAGGCTACAGCATTAACGCGACCCCTGCAAATGTGTAGGGCGGTCCGGTGATGAAATGTGAAGCCTCCCCACATCATTACACTTCCCCCACCCCATCGATTCGTCTGCAAGACGTTCCTCAAGACGTCTCCACACACGTTGACGGCCATCAGCGTGATAAAGATGAAAGCGACTCCCATCACTGAAGAGCACACTTTGCCAGTCTACTCTTCTCCGTGTCTGGTGTGTCCTTGAGCCCATATCAAACGCCGCTGACGGTGATGATCCCTGAGGACAGCTCCAACATAAGGTCGTCGTCGAGTCCTACTTCTCTTAGACGACGTCTCACGGTGTTGGCACTTACTGGTCCTTGTCTTTCGACGACTGCCGCACATGTTTGAGTCGCTGGGCAGAATCTGTCACGCAGATGAGTGACCCGGATGTAGCGGTCTTGAGCCTGGGTTGTAACGCGTTGTGGACCAGGACGTTGACGGTCAGGCGTTGATCCAGTAACTCGAATACGTTCCACCAACCTTACAGTAGTGGACTGATGACAATTGAGGTGTCTGGCAATAATAGCACGCGTAGACATGCCAGCCCTGGACATTCCCATGGCTTCATTCCGTTGATTTTCAGTAAGTCTCAGCATCTCTAGCTCGATTCCTTCACACGTCCAACAACAAATTACGACAAATTGACGTTTCACAGTTCATGTACAACACATTAAGTTGAAAACATGCTTTTAAAGGGCTCACACACAATGCTGCACGTGAATATTGGGTTTTTCATGTGCATCTCATGCAATTTTTTTTTGTGCACACGGGCCGAATTTTTTTGCGTTTGGGAGCATTGTGTGAAACAATAGTTCATAGTATTGCATAATATTATACATACAAAACCAACTAGTAATAAAATATTTGGGAAAAAAAGTGATGCGTTTTCCATGGCGCTCAGTAATATAACGGTATCTACTTAAAATGATCATTTAAATACTTAAAAGAGATTGAATTGATTTCATTATTCTTTTATTATTATTTCTTTTTTTTATACCAGAATAGTATTATTAAATTTACATTAGCACTATTAGATGTCGATCTACGGCTGTTTTTATTAATAATTTGTTTAGTGAAGCCGAATGATAAAAATTGCGTTAAGTCTACGTCGATCGAGATTTTGCCGTGCAGGGTAACAAAACTCCGTCAAATCAAATAGCCCAGTGACGTGTAGAATAGATCAAATGGCTTGCTATGTGTCGCAAATTATTCGTTTAACGGCTATGTATATGAGTAATATGAAAAAACTAATGATGAGAGATTTCATTTAGATTAGATCTACTTGCGCAACACATCAACGCAAATGTCTAGCCTAGACTAGTGCAGATCACGTCGGTTCTAAATTCTACGTCGCTTGGCCTAGACTCGTGTATTCTGAGCGGACTGACACAATCATGCAGCTGGTCCAGCTAGTTTTAATAGTTAAAGCAAGAATTTCATATTTTCTAAGAAAGTCAAAACATAATTATTTCTATATCTTTTGCTCAATAGGCTGTCAACTCAATATTATAGGATCATAGGTATCATTATGACACTTATAAAATCATTCACACCGGAAATAATAACACAACTACCACCTTTGTTGTTCTACTACCCCCCCCCCCCAATGGAAAAACTATCTGCAAACATTTGAATTTGAAGTTGAAAATGATATTTTGGCCAATTTCTCAACTGGCAATAGTGAATTATAGAAATAATAGGATTATTCTGTAACAAGGTAGGACTGTTTATAGATACCATCTATTTTAAAGCTTTACTTTAATACATTTTAAAAATATAACTTAAAAATATGAAATTCACTCGGCACAGCTGCAGTCTGAGTGTGTTTTGAAATGAACGTCGCCACTTACATCGCGGTCGTCAACAAAGTCCATGCCTACATTGCCGGTAATCATATTCAACTTAATAATAATAGTCTCTGTTACTACATGATGTATGTATAGGTACGCGTGTTTTACATACATGTAAATATAGTTGGTGTTTTTGTTGTTTTATAGCCATTGATAATGCTGTTGCGTAGGTAGCCTAATGTTTTGTTTGTATTTGTATGCTGTCTCTAATAGCCTAATGGGGTGTTAAGATACAATATAATTTTATCTGATCTTATATTAGCCTTAGAAGAAGCAATTGACGATTTTTATATCCCTTCCACATACCCGGTTGAGAGTTAAAATAATAGAACTTACCTTCGGCACGAACCAAAAAACCAATATGGCGTCCCAGAAGCATCTTTCGCGGCAACATTTAGAGTCACGTTATCAGTTTCCGCGGGAAAAAAAACCGCTAGTGTTACCAGATAATTTACTGAAGAATTAACCGGAATATTTGTCAGTTTCTAGTTGTTTTACAATAAGCCTTAAATAAAATGTATTATAGTTTGTATTGTGTTATTAAATCTCGATCTACATGTACGTCGTTAACCAATACAACTGTACCCAAGATCATACGTCAATTTCTATAGATAAGCGCATTGCAATTCCTGTTTTATGCACTGAATTTGTGTAGCAAACGCTGCACACTACACAATATGCATTAATCACCATTTTCTGTGCTTTGTGTTATTATTTCAATTGAAAAACACCGGATGTAAAAACAGCGACATTTAGGTGCGGGAGAGGCATCTCGTTTACAGTTCATAATACATTTTTATAATACTTGACGGACGCAAACGCCTTTTCTTGCTTTCCCAACCCGTGTGCTCAGCAACATGAAAGCAAGCCAGTATTGCCTATTTAGTACACCAATAACTTTAATGCATTAAAGGAAATTATGATTTCCGAAAAATTATAAAACAAATAAATGACCGATGTCGCACACCGCCGAGTGGGACCCTACGAAATGTTTCAATCCGCGATCAATGCAGTACAAATTCGCCGTGTTCAATGACAAGAAAGTGAAAATGTTTTATTATACTTAAAAATCATCGAATTTGGGGCTCTTTATTTGACTGACAAGAAAGCAAAATATTTTCTTCCAAATAACATTCTGAAAGTTCCGCTTTCACTTTCTCTCGGGATTTTGAATGTGACTTTTTACCTGAATTGCTGCCGGGAACAGGGAATGTCAGGCAATGTCATGACCTTGACTCAGGTTACAACCCCAAAATTGACCTTGCGGGTGCGGGTCACGACTTTGACCTTGACATTTATTCGCGATATCTGGATGGTACATGAAGTTTTGGGACTTTTTCGATCCCAAGGTCAAGGGTCAGGTCAAAGGTCAAGGCCCCATTCGAAAGGTCAATGAGTTGCCTATCCATGGTCATGACCTTTGATTTGCCGCGCAGACCAGGGGCCCCACCATGTGCCCGGGAGCATCGAACTCAGTAGATATTTTGGTGACCTTGACCCTTTCAGATGACCTTGACCTACCGGGGTCATGTGGACCAAGATGACATTTTGGAAGGTCAAGGTCCAGTGGTCCTGACTTTATTAGATGGGCCCCTAGGGTTCAAAAACCAAAATACTTCCGGGGCCCCTAGCGGGTCAAGGTCACGACTTTTGGTTGGCGATTTTAAAAAATGAAGAACAAATATTGGGTCAGTCTATCGGGTCACCAAACCCCGGGGCGATCGGAAGACATTTTTGGGGCAAATTTCCCTAGAAAGTGAAATAGCTGAGCATTACAGCGGTGTGGTCTAAGGGCAGATAACTCGCCCATCCCAAATCGGATCCGACGACCTTGAGGTCGTGGCTATTTAAACTAAATTGACCCCTGGGAGTATCGTGGTGACCTTGGTTTGACAATCAGAGGTCAAGGTTCGAACTGCTATATATGACGTTTCGATAACGTTATGACAATGTTGTGACAACGTTTTAACAACGTCGTGACAACAACCTGTATATGACGTTTTGATAACGTTGTGACAACGTTGTGAGAACAACCTGTATAATAATGACGTTTTGGTAACGTTTTGAAGACGTTGTGACAACGTTGTGACAAAGTTGTAAAACCGCTGTGACAACAACCTGTATATGACGTTTTGATAACGTTGTGACAACAACCTGTATATGACGTTTGAATAACGTTTTGATGACGTTGTGACAACGTTGTGACAACAACCTGTATATGACGTTTTGATAACGTTTTGAAGACGTTGTTACAACGTTGTGACAACGTTGTAACAACGTTGTAACAACGCCGTGACGAGAACCTGTATATGACGTTTTGATAACGTTGTGACATCGTTGTGACAACAACCTGTATATGACGTTAGAATAACGTCTTGATGACGTTGTGACAATGTTGTGACAACGTTGTGACAACAACCTGTATATGACGTTTTGATAACGTTTTGATGACGTTGTGACAACGTTGTGTCAACAACCTGTATATGACGTAAATACAACGTCGAATATTGGTCGAAAACACGTTGTACAACGTCACGACCAATATTGACGTTGTCACAATGTTGTAACAACGTTGCGTGCCCGCTGGGACAGGGGGTCAAAGTCTAGTGTTGGCTATCCTACATTTAAAGGTGGGCCTAAATTAGTTCGGTTTATTTAAAATGGTTATATCTTGATTATGTAAGTACATAATTCACATACTATATTTAGATATTAGTTTGTTTGGATAACTTCAAAATCAGATTAACTTCTTAGTTGAAAAAAGATTGATTTATATCCAATATTATTGTCTATTTAATCCTTTAATCTATTGTGACTCAGTGACTTTGGTGCTGCCTCACTAACCAGGGAGTCCCCCAAGATATTTGAGTCTGGCCCTGGTTTCACAATGCATTCTCAGACTTAAGTTAAGAATTTACTACTCAAAATTGTTCGCTGTACTTTTTAACTAAAATATAGCCTTTAAAAAACTTTTGTTTTAATGTATGAAATACATGTACATCAAGAAGAAACTATGTGCAAATTTTTGTGTTTCTGGATCACAGATATTGCTCATAAACGGTGACCGAAAGTTGAGTAAATTCTTAATTTACACCTGAAAATGCTTTGTGAAACGGGGGGGTTGGATGGCTGAATGGTTAGCGTGCGTGTGCTGTATCATAAAGTCTGTCATTGAGTCGACTGGCATGGTTTCGAATCCCCGGTTGTACGTGACAAGGAGTAGGGTCGCCTGTCCAACCTCGTGGGTTTTCTCCGGGTCCTCCTGTTTCCTCCCACTGCTAAAGACCCCTACGCGCAAGCGAATTATTGAAATAAAATTTAAAAAAAACATGTTAGTCCCAAAATGACCTAGTTTGTGTCGAGTGGACGTTAAACTCCATTTCTCTCTCTCTCTCGCTTTGTGAAACCGATACCTGGTTTTCCCTTACTAATGATGCAGGACTAGTGCCGGGCCAGGAAAAGCATCTAGTCTTTCAGATGGGACTTCTTCTTTTTGCTGTGTATGTATGTAAAAGAACCAAAGAAAGTTGAAATTCATTAGCCCAGTTTGGTCAGAAAAGTAGGATGTCTGGTCTTTCAGATGTGACTAACAAAATGAGATCCACCTTTTTATAAGCCCACATTTTCATGTGGACATATAATGTCGTTGCTCCTGTTCAACCGCACGTTCGTTCATCCATAATTTGTTTGTGGACAGTCTACAGGTCACAATTTTTATCCGATTTTGACGAAACTTGAAATATAGGTTTATCTCCAAAAGATCTTGATTCCTTTCGATATTGGCATGTATCGGATCGAAACTTCATGGATTATGGCCCCTGAATGTACGAAAAATTATGTTTTTAGCTTGTGGACATTCTCGAGGTCACAATTTTTATCCGATTTAGATGAAACTTGAAATATATGTTTATAACCCAAAGATCTTGGTCCCCTTTGATATTCACGCTTATTGACCCACATCGGATTGTAACTTCCTTGATTATGGCCCTTGATTGTACGAAAAATTGTGTTTTTAGCTTGTGGTCAACCTAGAGGTCACAGTTTTTATCCAATTTAAAATCTGACCAAAACTGGATGACAAAATGGTTGCTAGTGTAAAAGTATGTAATACCAATTTTGTGGACCCTTTAGCGGTCACAACTTATCCAATCTTGATGAAACTTAAAATATATATTTATATTTATATTTAAAAGACCTTGCTTCCTGTCGATATTCGTGCATTAGGGCCCTTATTGTACCAAAAGTTGATTTATTTTTTTTTAGCTTGTTCTCTATCCATCTCTTGCGAAATATGAGAGTATCTTGCATGGCAACCACTCGTTTCTTGGTGCTGTGCATGTAAAAAGATCCTTGACAGTTGAAATAATAATAAAAACTTTATTTAAAGATACATTATGTAAGATTCAGATAAAGAACTAGCCATTCTTGCTATAATAGTTCGAAAGTAGATGATGTAAAATGAATAATTTGAAAATTTCATTGCTCTATTGCAAGCGAAGATATTAGCCTTTGAAGGTTTGACAGACGTGTGCAATAATTTCAACCACCGTACTGGTACTGGTTGATCGAAGCTAAGTCTCGGTCCTCCATATTTGATTAAATCAAAGTATCGCTGAACCATTCTAATCTATTTAATATCAGAGAAATCTGATGCCATCGAGAGTTGATTAAGGCCTGGATCAGATAATTAATGTCTAATTAATACTTTAGAAAACATTTCAGCCCTAAAGAAAGACCTGCAATAGGCAGATTTAGTTCTTGCATAATGCATGTTTAATGAGGCAACTTATTTAGTTTGCATAAAAAACTAATCTTTCATAATCTACAAAGACATATATACGTGTATTATCAGGATAATGGTTATAGTATACTCAGTACAGTCTTCATTAGAAAAGTTGGAGCAGCAAAGTAGGACATTAATTTAAACCAAATTTCATTTCATTAAAGTACATTCAAGTAAACAACCTATTTTTAGTGTTTAAGGTTGATTTAAGTTAGAGTATTCAACAATTTCATTTCATTAAAGTAGATTCAGGTAAACAACCTATTTTTAGTGTTTAAGGTTGATTTAGATAAGAGTATTCAACGATGATTAATGTTTAAGGCTTAGCTGTGATTGAACAAGTGTGACCAGCAATTTATTTGTACATGTAGTCCAGGTTCATAGAAATAAGGTATGGATGTAGTCAGGGGCATGTTCAGGAATTTGAGCAGCAGGGGTTCCAAGATGGAAACAAAGTCAAGTTTGGCGTAAGGTCTGGGGGATTACTAGAGAATTTGATAAAATCAGAAGCCATAGAGGCAAGATTTCTGCACCTGTATAGGATTAGAGTGGAGAGGTCAAAATGGTGGCAATAGTTTGTTTGACGTTATTTTGATGAATGTAGGAAGACAAAATTATGATCTGCGTCTAGTAGCATTGGTCTATTCTACCGGTACATGTAGATGTATTTTATAACATAATGATTTTTTTTTTTCAGCTATTAGATTTAGGATTTTGTATACTAATACCTGAAAGCTGCAAGCCTTATTGGATCTACAATTACCATGAATTTGAAACCACTGGGCAATACCAGGAGGTTATTCCAAAACCTCTGGCAAATAAAGACAGCAAATGACATTGGATGGAATTGTCAAGTTACTAGATTTTATTCATTTAGCCATAGAATATCAGGTAAGCTCATTCACAATAATGAATGGTATAAGGACTAGAAATAATGATTTTAGTTGTGTACCTGACAAAATGTCCTCATCAATGAAGTACATGTAGTACCTGACATTTTGAACTTTTGTTCTGGACATAAACTAGCAGGTTTTTGGTCACCAGATGAACTGCTGTAGCAATATAGTTAGGTGATTTATGCTATATGAATAATAACGTTTAGTATGGGTGTATTTGAAATGCAATTAATCTGTTTTCAATAGTAGGGGAATAACAGGGCTTGAGGTCCTAGAATCAAGGCTGATTTGTTTGTTGTTTGAGGGTGCTAAGTAATGGAAAATCACCAGATGTTCTTTCAATTTCAAGGACAATGTCAATATTTGGGGTAATTCTTGATGTTATTAGGTATATTGGCCAGAAATCAGGGAATTATATAAGAGCAAGATTTCAGCTCTGCAGATCAGACACTGTTGAGAGAGAGAGAGAAATGGGGTTTAACGTCCACTCGACACAAACTAGGTCATTTCGGGACTAACATATGGTTTAATTTTATTTACATAATTCGCTTGCGCGTAGGGGTCTTTAGCAGTGGGAGGAAACCGGAGGACCCGGAGAAAACCCCTGAGGTTGGACAGGCGACTCTACTCCTTGCCACGTACAACCGGGGATTCGAAACCACGGCAGTCGACTCAATGACAGACTTTATGATACAGCGCGCGCACGCTAACCATTCAGCCATCCAACCCCCCCAGACACTGTTTAGGTTCTTTAGACACTGGTATGGTTCTTACACATCAATGGAGACCGCTTGATGCTCAGAAGACCTTGATGTAGTGGTTACCAGAATCTGGCCACGCGAGATTATCGTGAGTAATTAAAGTTGCAGACCATATATGATAGATTTATGTTATTTTGTGTTATTAAATATTACTTTAAAATGTATAAGTGCTGTATAGTTATAATTGTTTACTTGCGGCGTCTGCATGTGTGTTGTGTATGTTATTACAAAGTGTAATTGATATTATGTCACTGTAATTTTCCATTGATATTATGTCACAATGATCTAATTGTTATCGCGTTAAATATTTGACCTGTGTGCAGGACACGTGATAGTTGATTAAAAGCTAAAATATGTGTTTATGAAATTATGGACTGATGTCCGAAGTGAATGAAGTGCACTCATTTGCTTTGGATATGTAGTTCTAGATAAAATGAAATGTCATGCGAATATACTGGCCATTGTTGTTTAGCATTCTTGATAATGTTTATGTAACACTGCAATGGTAATGTTTCATCAACACAGAAGTTAAATTTGATAATTAGTGAGTTCTATGGTCAAGATGTCAAAGCTACTTTTTGGTTGATGTTCTTGGAAGTCGGGAAAACTTGTGATTAACAAAATTCCTTGCTTTGAAATAATGGAAAAGCTGCATTGTTGAAACTTGAAACTGTAGTAGCTGAAATCAGACCAATAGAAGTCCAAGACGAGAGAATGGTTTACCAATTTATGAAACTGAGAATTTCTGAGATAGAATTTAAAGTGAAAACTGAACTTTATGAATATGAAGTGCAGAGTTATAATGTTTAGGAATTATGACACTTGAAGAGAACCAATGAATATCTACATTAGTTATGTTTTTCTGTGTTTAGTTAAAGAGAATTATTATAGAACTTTGGAAGTACTGTGATGAACTTTTATTTAGCTGTCGCATGCAATTTTGATTTTGTTTGTTTTGTGTTTTTTTCTTTCTAAGTTTTATTCTTTAGCTAGGTTCGTTATTTGTGTATTTTATTTGCACTTTATTCTTTTAACATACATTATGCAAGAGCTAAATCTGATTATTGCAAGTCTTTATTTAGGCTTCAGATGTCATAGAAATTATAAATTAGATCTTTATTTACACAACAAGCACAAAATCATCTCTGTAGACCCACGGATGGCTTGGATTCGGCTTGGACTTAAACAGGATTTCGTTGATTGATTAAATTTCTAAATGGCGTCGTAAGAGAGATTAACCGTTACGTTGACATCATACTCCCGGAAATAATTTTAGATCGAGGCTAAATGATAGATTGTACGAAGCGAGGCCGCTGTTGAGCGAGGCCGCATGTCAGTCAATTTGATTGAAAGTTCGATATACATGTATACTATGGAAGGGTATCGCTGCCAATATTAAATGCTCTGCGACAATGTCGTTTCCATTGATTATATGTAAAAAGTACAATGTACAAAGTCCTAATACCGATATTGATAAAGTCAAAATACATCTAAGGCCATAGTCATAGTTAAATGTAAAACGTCAAATGTTAAGTGTTAAATAACAAATGTTTTGTGGGAAAATGCTTTTTTTTGACGTGTCTACATTTTACATTTCTCTCATTACATTTTACATTTGCTCTCTGCCACATCCCATTTGTCCTTCACGCATTCTACATAACATGTTTCGCACAGCATCAACTTGCATATGCAAATGTAGGATATCACGTGACTTATTAACATATACGGAAACCTGACACACTATAAGCCAGAACAAGGATATTCACGACACTATAACAGGAAATCAGCCTAATACACAATAAAAATTTACTCACATTCATTTCTGTTTGTAAATATGTAAATAGTTTTCTGGTACAATCGTATTTTCATAATTTAAATCCAATAAATATCACACTATTAAAGGGGTATTCAAGTAAAAATACTGGTCTAAATACGAAATTCCAGATAACATGTTAAGTATAACTGATTGCTCTTTTCAAATATTCAAATAATTTTCTGGCACATTCATATTTGCTTAACTTTACAAAATAAGATTCAAGTTGAAGTGAAGGAAGGGGGGGGGGGGCTAAACTATAATAAAGATACAGGGCTTAATCAAGATTTCTCTATGTCCATACAAAAAGATGTATAGTCATTCCTCTCTTTAAATATATTATTTATTTGTTGGGCACAATGCTTATATATTGTTGTTTTTTTTAATGGATCAAAGTAGGCTACTCAACTCTGTTTATAGAGAGACCGGAAAGAGTGGGGGTGTTTAAAATATAAAAATACGGGTATTAAAACGAAATTCCAGTTATTGTGTTATAAATTACTGGAAAGTATGTTTCTTTGACTGCTTGAATCTATCAATTATTTCCTGGCACGGTCGTCTAGATAGTTTCTTATGGTGTGCCAGCTTGATTTCTTTTGTCGTGCGGTAAATATCCTTATAGTGTGCTTGTGTCGGGTTTCCATATATGTTAATAAGTCACGTGATATCCCACATTTACATATGCAAGTTGATGCTGTGTGAAAGTTGCTATGTAGAAAGCGTGAAGGACAAATGGGATGTGGCAGAGCGCAAATGTAAAATGTAATGAGAGAAATGTAAAATGTAGAAACGTCAAAAAAAGCATTTTCCCACAAAACATTTGTCATTTAACACTTACCATTTGACGTTTTACATTTAACTCTTACCTTAGAAGTATTTTGACTTTATCAATATCAGTATTAGGACTTTGTACATTGTACCTTTTACATATAATCAATGGAAACGACATTGTAGCAGAGCATTTAATATTGGCAGCGATACCCTTCCATAGTATACGGCCTTGATATTATGTTTAGTTGTGGTTAAAATGAGAGTTTGGATGTTGGTATTATAGGCTACGCTCTTTTGTCACTTGCGTTTACAGAAAAATTATAGAAATTGATAAACATCGCAACTAACATCACCCCAGTTGAATTGCAGCTCCATTGGATCACTGTTCGGGAGTTACGCAGGCCTACCAGTTACAGTACAAGAGTACACGCAGGCTAACAAGAAGTAGATTCCTTATTGATTTGGTCCATTCCTTTCAAACTTTCGCTTCTTATCTATATATTAAAAGTCTTATTTTTAATTTGTAGTAAGAATAAATGTGATACGAATTGAATTGCAACCCCGTCTTAAACCACAGCCATTGAAAACTTTACTTGATAATCAAGATTATGTAGGTGGAGTTAACGCCTGTCAATCAAACGATCGTCCATTCTAGCAGACGGTGAAGAGAGAGTTGACTCCCATTTCTAGTCAAAAATTACAATAGTGATAACTTTGTTCAGAATAAAGTAATTTGACTGAAATTTTCAATATATTCTTCTTTCATCATCTACTTTTGAACTGTTATAGCAAGAATGGCCAACTCTCTATTAAAATATCCCATAATGTATCTTTTAAGCGGAGTAGGAATTGTTGATCATATGTAATCTTTATTTTTGATCGTATAGTAATCATATATATTTGCATGAATAATTATAAAGTCATGTAAATGTTGGTTTAGCAAATGGGAAGTTTTCAAAGGGTCTCCTACCTAATAATTAGTATAAATCTTAAATAGGGGAGGAATGTAACAATATTAAGTTAGGGGATTTATGCTATATGAATAATAACATTTGGTATGTTTTTTTTTGAAATGCAATTAATTTGTTTTTAATAGTTTGGGAATAAAAGGACATGAGGTCCTAGAGTCAAGGCTGATTTATTTATTGCTTTAATCACCAGATGTTCTTTCAAGGACAATGTCCATATTTGGGGTAATTCGTGATGTTATTAGGTGTATTGGCCATTTGAATAAATGATAGCAGAAATCGGGGGGATTATATAAGAGCAAGATTTGAGCTCTGCAGATCAGACACTGTTAAGATTCTTTAGACACTGGTATGGTTCTTACACATCAATGGAGACCGCTTGATGCTCAGAAGACCTTGATGTAGTGGTTACCAAAGTCTGGCCATGCTGGTTAGACTGTACAGGAGTGAGGAGGAGAAAATGACTTTATGTATACCATTGTTTAAACCTTTGTAACATGTCCATGCTGGTTAGACTGTACAGGAGTGGGGTGGAGAGAATGAATTTATGTATACCATTGTTTAAACCTTTGTAACCTGCTTTGACATTAAATGTAGAAAAGAAACTGTTGTATTGTTGTTCCTGATAAACATCAATTTGGCTGCTGTAAAAAAAATACCTACACAATGTTAAGTCAGCTCCAAGTAAATAAGTCGAAGTGAAGTCCAAGAGTGGATAATTACAATAATATCCACGTCAGAATCAAACCTAGATGATCGCAGGCTAACGATAGATGTTTAGCAGAGAATGTGTCACACGTCAGATGTTGGTTTTTGCTTTCCCTATTCGACCGATGGATAGTCCTACACTGTGCTTGATAAAGACTGTATTTATGCCTTACAGTGTCTGTGACTGGTGCCTTATTTCTGTGCTTAAATGTTATTGTGTGTAATATTTTAATGTTTTCTTATACTTTTTTTTAACTTATCATCCTATACAGGTATACAGTCAATATTTCATAGAAGTTTGATATTACCAACTGAAACAAGAAAAGAATGTACCAACCATTTTAATGGAAAATACAGACACTTTCAAAATTCTTGTTTTCGACAGGTAAACTAAATATTTGAATTACCAAGGTATAGAAAAATACATGATCAAGTTAGGGTTGCTGAACGCCCACATACCAAACTAGTTTATTTTGGGACTAACATAGAGAATCGCTCCTAGATCCAGGGAGTAACCCAAGAAAACCAAAGAACTTGAATCACCAACAATTCAGCTGCAACATTACAGGATCAAATTTATATCATCTTACTAACATTCATTTTGACTACAGGCTTAAGATCCCCAGTGCAAAGCTTTAAATAAATGCATGAACCCCAATCTGATACTGGGAATAAATTGTGAAATATAGGAAATAGCTCAAGCAACTTTGCCATTCTAGATTAATCCTCCCCTCGAAGCCAAGATCTAATATAATAAGAGAGATAAGTTTTTTTTGTAGCTCCATACATCACAGACTGAAGTAAAACAACCCGTGAAAGCTACTCTTCAGCAAGAAGGAAAAATTGTAGCCATTGATTGGAGCAATGGTGGATCTTCTAAGTATGATTTAAATGATATAACATTCTAACAGCCTGTCATTCATTCACCCAATGGTGGATCTTCTAAGTATGATTTAAATGATATAACATTCTAACAGTCTGTTATTCATTCACCCTTTGGTGGATCTTCTAAGTATGATTTAATAACATTCTAACAGCCTGTCATTCATTCACCCAATGGTGGATCTTCTAAGTATGATTTAAATGATATAACATTCTAACAGTCTGTTATTCATTCACCCATTGGTGGATCTTCTAAGTATGATTTAATAACATTCTAACAGCCTGTCATTCATTCACCCAATGGTGGATCTTCTAAGTATGATTTAAATAATATAACATTCTAACAGTCTGCCATTCATTCATCCAATGGTGGATCTTCTAAGTATGATTTAAATGATATAACATTCTAACAGTCTGTCATTCATTCACCCATTGGTGGATCTTCTACGTATGATTTAAATGATATAACATTCTAACAGCCTGTTATTCATTCTAATGAGTATGAAAGATAAATTCATGGTGCCTCAGTTAGTAGTGTGAGCTCATGATCAGTAATCCCATGTTGAGAAAAAGTTCCTCAAGATTTTTTAGCCCTTGTTGCCTTGTCAGTGGTGCATGAAAGAAGGCTTGGAAAGGAAAGTGTCTAGTTATTTGGATGGGATGAAAAACTGGATTTGAAGAATAGTTAAAATTTCCCTTATAGCACTCTGCATGGCATATACCCGTATTTGTTAGCACAGATGATGCAGAAAAATAACCATTAATTGTAACTTGTATTCAAACACAGGTAAAATAAGATTTGTTGCTGGAAATAAGAAATCCCAACTTAGAAATTATGATCTGGAATCTTATTCTATTTCAAATATAAAAATACTGCCACGATGAGTGAAATATCACCTCATAGTTCATTATTAGCATCTTTATTCTTTTCAATCGTTCAGGTTTCACAGCATTTGGCTACGTCATAATTGTCAATGTGGACGTTGTATACAGGAAGGAAGTGGACAGAGAATTTTTGACATTTCTGAGATCTCACATGAACTTAAAGTACAAAGTATAGAAGTTAAAGGTATATTATCAATTTAATTTCTAGATAATTCACACGATTATGAAAAGCCATCCAAATATATTTTCAAGAAAATGTTCTACTGATCAAAAGTTCCAAATGGAAGATTTGATGATGTTTGCATCCCTATAATGAGTTTCAAGACTCCAAACAATTAATATTGTCAGTGTTCTTTATAGAAAGTCTAATGTTTCCCGAGTGGTCACCTCAGAATTTTTGGAAAACGAGTTCAAATTATAGTAGGACGTCAAAACTAAACATTACTGACATCTGATTTAGTATCTGATTATTGAGGATTGATTACCACTATCATATTTCTAGAATATTTACTCTTTATTTTCTTAATTTGACAGACACTGTTGTACATTTCAAGTGGAGTGATGCCAGTAATCATGAAGGAGAAATATCTCTTGACTATTTACAGACCAACTGTTATTCACAATCCTCTATAAAAAACAGATATTCAGCTGTTCAGATAAATAAACTAGCTAAGGTAACAAGTTTTAATTAACAACATTTTTATATGCCTACATTTATAAAAGATGGGAGCCATGTTGGCTCATTAAGCTGAACAAAGTTTCTCAGGATTTGCCAGTGCGCGTGGTATAGGAAGGAGTGCCTGGAATTAGAGTCGGTGAAAATGCTGCTTTCTGGGCACAATGTCCCCATGGCACACTGTATGCCTGTTGTCATTAGCCTGGCTAGTGCAGAAAATAAATAAATGGCCCACATTCAGGCCTGGAAATAACGGTTTTACATGTACCGGACATGTATTAATAATATCAATAAAAAAGACAAATCAGTGCTGGACAAAACCTGAATCTGTGCCTGACATTGTCAGTGACAGGTGCCTTATTTCCAGGCTTGCCCACATTTTCATGTGGATGTATATTGTCGTCGCCACTGTGCGTCTGTCCGTCCACAATTTGTTTGTGGACACTCTACAGGTTACAATTTTTATGCGATTTTGACAAAACTTAAAATACATGTCTATCTCCCAAAGATCTCGGTTCCTTTCGATATTGGCATGTACCGGACCCTAACTTCATGGATTATTTCCCCTGATTGTACGAAAAATCATGTTTTTAGCTTGTGGCCACTCTAGAGGTCACAATTTTGATCCAATTTTGAGGAAACTTGAAATGCATGTTTATAACCCAAAGATTTTCGTTCCTTTTGATATTCGCGCATATAATTTGCTGAATTATGGCCCCTGATTGTACAAAAAATCACGTTTTTAGCTTGTGGTCCCTCTAGAGGTCACAATTTTTATCTGATTTAAAAAACGTTTTAGTATATCACCATTACATCATAATCATGGTTGAGTTTGAATTTCGTGTTAATCGAACCAAAACTGCCGGTCAAAATGGACGCCCCTTGTATGCAAATAGTGTAAAATATGGTATATCAAGGTTGTGGACAAGGCAAAATTCAATATGGCACTCTTCAAGAATTTTCGGAGAGCGATATCTCGTAATTAGTGGTGGGAGGATAAATAATTTCTTTTTAAATTCCTCAAACAAATGTATTTTTCATGTGGTGGCAGACATTTCTTTCAAAATGGCTGCCAAATTTGGCAATATAATGCCATTTAAAGGGTGTAAAAAGATAATTATTTAGGTACATATTATATCTTAAAAACCTATCCTTTCTTTTTGGAAAAATGCAATTATTTTGACTTGACGTGTCCAGAATATAGAATGGCTGCTAACAGCCACCATAATGAAGATCTACTCAGAAAAAATGTCAACATTGAGTTTTTTTGTTATTAACCATCAAAACCTTCAAAATAAAGATTATTCCAGGGATGGGAATTATATAACAAACCAAATCGCCCTACGTGGATACAGAGGGGATCTGTCCCTGCTATTTTACTGGCAATTTTTTTTCCTTTTTTGGGTGGGGGTGTCTCTCAGATATTATCCAAAAATTTTGTATAAACTTGCAATATTGCTATTGTTTAGTTAGCTTTCGGCTTTAAGGGTTCTCATAATTCTACACGTCCCACGATTATAAATAAGACTTGAGGCATGCCCGAACACTTGGAAAATTAAAATGTAACTATTATTTTTAAGAATGTTTCTCACATCGCTTCGCTCATCTGGTTATTGTTTAGAAACAACAGATGAGCAATTTTTGACTTTTTTGTACAACTGAGTGTCAATTATATAAACTGTCATAAGGTACATTGAGCATATAATTATTATAATAATATATAAAAACGTAATAAAAGTATTTGCTTTACCCAGCTTCATATAGCTAGAAGAAATTTATTTTGTTCGTTCTGCACGACTATCTTTCGTTTCTTGCCTGTTTTTTTTTATTATTTCTCGGAAAAATCACTTTAAAAAAGTCCCCAAATATGTTTTCCTGGATAATTATGGATAATTGAAATTTTAACAAAGCCGCATAAATACCGACACTGGTAAGGTATATGAAGCATATCCTTTAATATATAAAAACGTGAAAAGATGGGGTAAAAATGGTTGGGGTGCCCAAGTTTAGATTTGTGGTTGATTCCACAAAGTAGTTAGATTTTAAAACGTTAAATACTGTGTAATTCAACATGGCGCCCTGGGGGGTTTAATATGATGTAGGTACGAATCAATACCAAAAGGTTTATTTATATGAGAGTCAAGGTTTGGACTATGCCATGGAAATCGGAAGTGGGAGGCGACGAGTATGTGTCGCTTTTGTGGACCGAGGTGAGATTGTCCCATGCATTAACTGGAGGGGTAGGCCTGTTCACCTTCGGTTATGTATCAATGTTGAATGAGCGACTTCTTATCAACCTGATTGGCTCTGGACCGGTTTGATTCTACGTATCTCTCTAGCTGAGAGAATAAAGATTTTTTAGCCGAGAGAATATCTTCCGTCAAAAAATAGTGGTTGATTCCGAGGCAAAAGGGGGAATCCCGACCGATTAATTTGATCAACAAAATTAGCCATAACGAGATCGATCATAAGCAGAAAGTGAGATAATATAAGAGATAAGAGTGGCTATGAAGACCTAGTTATCCCGAGTGTCAGTGACTAGTTTTGTTCGTATTGAACTCTTCAGACTGATTGGACTCACGTACTACTACTAACTGGTGCTCTAACGTCTGCTTCCACAGAAGTGATATCGCAGACAATGGACTCAGGTGGCAGGCGTTTTTATTTATACTATTAGGAAACCCCGGTGGTTATTAATTGGCGAGGTTACCGGGGTTGGCCTCTTGCCAGGGTTTGCTAATTTTATTTTTGTTTTACAATGCTCTACCCCTGAGTGTTCAAACTTTGGATTTATATTTAGCCTTTTAACCCTCTCACGGGTGTTACCTCAACACCCTTGTCTATATACTATCCCTTTATTGTTATGACAAGTAACAATGTTACAAACCAACGCAAGGCATTCTAGTTCACAAAATTATGGACACTAGCACTTTAATCTAAACGATCAGTTGTCAAACCTCTGTACAACCCTCGTAAGTGAGCTACTGACCCCAGTAACAAATTCGCAAACCCCACCAAGAGGCAAACCCTGGTAAACCCCGCCAATTAGTAACCATGGAAACCCCACTGGGGTTTCGTAATAGTATAAATAAAAATGCCCACCATGTGAGTCCAATCAGTCTAAAGAGTTCAATACGAACGAAACTAGTCACTGACACTCGGGATAACTAGGTCTTCATAGCCACTCTTATCTCTTATAATATTTTAGTTCGTTTCTTACATATTTTTTATTGAAACTATTGTATGCACATATGAAACTGAAGCAAAGAATGTAACAAACTCTTTTAAGAGCGTTGAATACAATAAAATGAACATTTTAAAGCCAGCGCTGTAAGATATGATATGGCATGTTTTGTTTTTTGGGGTGATAAAACACATATCAATTACTAAGAAAATAACATTTTTCTTTTACACCTATTCAGAAAATGGAGAAAAACTAAATTTAGAGTGATCCTGTATTAGTAGTTTTTTTTTCAATTCGAACTTGATTTGTCAACACAAATAACTTCTGTGAATCTCACCAATTGATAAGCACCTTGTTGTCAGGAGATTAATGTTGTTGATTGGTAATCAAGTTTAGTTTGTTGATCATCAAGTATGCCGCCGCACGGTCATAATATATTGAATAATTTTAATCAGATTGGTGTACAATTGGCTAAAGTATTTATAATATATATGGGCTTCAAGTACATACGATTTTGACATGACCATTTTATCTGCTCTTTGACCATGATGTTTTAGATAATAAATTAGACGAATAAAACGCAAAATGATGCTTGTGAACACAACTAACGAGTTTAAGACAAACCAGATGTGGAGTGAAATTAACAACAGCAATATGAATTTTTGCCCAAAACAACGGAGTACCACCATGAGAAATGGAACTTATAAGCATCAGGAATAGTTTGGTGAATGTTCATTGATGCTTCGACTATGGTCACACAGCTTTTGGCAATGTCCCCCGAACAATTGCCTTGAATCATCGGGGTTTCCTCCCAATAATCGGGAAACCAGGGTACCATCCCAATATTCATGTTGGGAGATCTCAGTCTCTTGCGTGTTGGCATATTGGTGGCACTTATGCCTAGGTCCCACTGGGCTTTTTTGCCTCTGCGATGTACTACCAAAAAGTCATGGAATTTCGAGCACTTTATTTTGCCGGCTAGAAGGCAAAAAGATTTTTCCCCTAAAATATTATTTAATTTTTTTTTCACTTTACCCGACAGCACAAAAAATCTGATTTTTAAAAACATATGCAAGTTAAATATGGTTAATGGCACTTTTATCTGGTGTATCTTTCCTTTTGATTTTTCTTATAAAATAAGGCTATATAACAATTAAGTGCGTTTTTTGCTGCATAGTAATACTAATAATAACAATATGTAGTTCAGCTATATTTTTTGTTTAAAAAATGTATGTTTTATCTCCTATAGATAATGAAATATCTATTCATATGGAATTTCTGGCTTCACAGTTGTCGCAACTTTATCTATATACAGCTTTGTTAGTCCCTATAGAGGTCACAATTTTTATCCGATTTAAAAAAAAACAAAAAACATGTGACTATATCACAGTTATACACTACTAATGATGGTTGAGTTCGATTTTCGTGAAAATTGGACAAAAACTGACGGACATAATGGCCATAATAGCTGCCCCTTGTACACAAAAGGTGTAAAAATATGGTATATCAAGGTTGTGGACCCTCAAGAGGCCACAGTTTTTATCCGATTTGGTTGAAAATTTAAATATATGTTTTCACCATAAAGATCTTGGTTCCTGTGATAATCACACATATCCGAACGTAACTTCCTGGATTATGGCTCCTGATTGGTCGAAAAATCGCATTTTTAGCTTGTGGATTTTCTAGAGGTCATAATTTTTTTTCAGATTTTAAAAACCGTTTAGCTATATCACTATTCCACCATAATGAAGGTTGAATTGGAATTTCGTGAAAATTAAAATGAAACTGCCCGACAAAATGGCCGCTCTTTGTACGCAAATTGTGTGTAAGTATGTAATACAATGGCTATATGGACCCTCTAGAGGTTACAATTTTTATCCAATTTTGATGAAACTTAAAACATATCTTTATATTCCAATATTCTCAGTCCCTTTTGATATTTGCACATTTCAGACTATAACTTTCTGGATTATGGCCCCTGATCCTGATTGTACAAAAAATCGTTTTTGTTTTTAGCTTGTTCTCTTGCAAAATGTGGCCGTATCCTGCCTGGCAGCCGCTGGTATTTAATGTAGACATATATTGTCGTTACCTGGTTTACAGGGATTTTTGTTAGAGTCATAAGGAAAAACCTTATTGAAATTCAGTATTTACTCTTTACTTATACATTCAAACTTCTGAAAGCTTCTGATATAGGACGAAGTTCTTGTATGAATTTTATAAAAGTCACAGAGCATAATTTTTTATTGCCAAGATTTTCATGTCGACGTATATTGTCATTGCCCCTGTCTGTGCCGGCGTCCGTCCGTTCACATTCTGTTTGTGGACACTCTACAGGTTACAGTTTTTATCAGATTTTGACGAAACTTGAAATGTAGGTTTATATCCCAAAGATCTTGGTTCCTTTCGATATTGCCATGTATCGGACTGTATGGCCCCTGATTGTACAAAAACTTATGCTTTTAGCTTTTCAACTCTCTAGATGTCACAATTTTTATCCGATTTTGATGAATCTTAAAATATATGTTTGTATCTCAAAGATCTTGGTTCCTTTTGATATTGACGCATGTCGGACCGTAACATACTGGATTATGGACCCTTATTGTACGAAAATCACGTTTTTAGCTTGTTCTCTGTACTCTGTCCATCTCTTGCAAAATGTGGGCATATTTTGCATGACAACCACTTGTTCAATGTGGTTTAAGTATCTTTTTGGAATTTCTATTTGTTTATTTGTTTAGGAAATACCAGTTGTCAACTATATTGATGTGATACAAAAGAAAAAAGAATTGTATAGGTAAGGTATCAATCTTAACAATTTGTGCAGCATTATATTATCTAAGTATGATAGAGATATTAAATTTAAATTGTTTTTAAAGTATGGCTTCATTCATATTTATAACAAAGTGAAAATAAAGTCAACTAGAACTGCGACGCAGTAATGACGGGTTTCACCGGTGCCCCGTTACCCTTGAACACATGTCACTTCCTGTACTGATGAAACTATTAAACAGGTTTCCATGTAAGCATTTCACACATCAAATAAAATGTATGCAGAATCAACCAAATCCGGCAATATCAATTCATTGGATACATTTGTTACATGTAAGTGATCCTGACAAAATTACATTACTTCCGGTGATAATGAAAATTCTAAATTAGTTTTATGAAATCATAAATGGCATAAGGCATCACATGGTGAAAATTTTTATGTAAATCGAATAATAATTGCCACTTTTATAGAACAAAAACCTTGAAAAGTGACCTGTAGAAAATCGTCCATTTCTCTGCAACCGTACAAGCTAGAAACCATTTTTTGGTATCTGTATGATCATGTGGGTTCAATCTATTTGTTGATTGAAATCAAATATCATAATTTTAAAAACAATACAAATCGGACTCATTTGAATAAAATATCTGTTTTGAAGGCTAAAAATACAGTTTTTGCCAAAATGATGTTACTTCCGGTGACAGAAAAAGTGTTAAATTACTTGTATGAAATCGTAAATGGCATTAGGTATTACACACTGGAAATTTTATGAAAACCGAATAATAATTGACACTTTTATGGACCCAAAACCTTGAAAAGTTACCTGTTGAAAATCGTCTATTTCTCCGCAACCGAACAAGTTAGAAACCATTTTGTGATATCTATATGATCGTATGGTTTCATTCTATTAGTTGATTGGAATCAAATATCAAAATTTTAAACAAATAACAAATATGACTCGTTTGAATAAATTACTGGTTTGAAGGCTATAAATACATTTTTTGCCCAAATTATGTCATGTTGCCATTTTTGGTCAAATCAGATGACTCTTTAACCCTAAGTAAAATACCACATAAAAATATTCATTAATAACAAAGTTTTTTGTAAAAATTTAAATTTTCAAAATTTGGCGCCTAATATCTCCTAAGATTCGTCGAAAATAAAAAATCCAAAGAACTGTAGCCATGTGCCTTGTCTCTGGCTATGTCAAAATGTATCAAATATTACAATCCGACAATTATTGATAACATTACGGCAAAATATCGAAAAACGACAACTTCGGAGATTTCGGACATTTCGCATTGTCGCAGAACGGTGGAAATAGCTTTAAAATTTAAATCAAACCCACTTTCCCAGTAAAACCGAAGACATCGAATCGATCCGACAAGTAGTTTCTGAGATATGCTCAAATGGAAAAATAATAATAATAATAATAAGAATACTTAGACTTGCTTGCAAGACTGAAGGCTTTCACCGCGCCAAGGCGTCACACGATCGCCAGATCCATGACAAAAGACTATCCCCACCTCTCACCCCCTAAACAAACACACACTCCCCCACCCCCCAAATAAAAACACACATTTGCATAACTCAGATATTGACATGTTCTTTGCATGCGCATTACGATAGAATGGAATCGAAAAATAAAGTTGATCTACGCGAAATGTTAAAAGAACAGTTTCGCGAAATGGACGAAAAGCAATGTCGCAATAGATATTAATATCAAAGTAAAATGAAATGGGGTTTAACACCATTCTGCTCGGAATGGACCATGAGGAATGTTTCGAACGTACAGCAGCGCTAGCCTACTCTTATATACAATTCCAACTGCCAAGGGATCTTTTACAGTCACACCAATGTGTATGCGGGACTTCGGAATCGCGTTCATGTCAGCTACTGAAATATGTAACTGGTTCAAAAATTAAATATCGCCAATTTTCTGGTTTCGTGCATGTTAAAGATTTGACGTCACTAACATGTAAAAGTTTACTATTAATTACAGACAGAGTCCAGGATCAAACAACTGAAGCAGTCAAGAGCCAGGATGTTCGCGACTACTTTGTTTTTTTATATTTACTGATACTATCATATTTCATTATTTGTTAGCGTAGGACATTGTCATTTATATATATATTAAACATGTATTGTATGTCTTATCATAGAAGTCTATAGTGTTATGTTCTTTCGTAATCATTTGTTTAAATACCTTAATTGTTCGTACCTTTCTAACCAGGGTAATTATATAACTGTTAAAGGAGCTAAGTCGCTAATATTACTGTAATTTCTAATCAGTTAGGTCCGGCGAAGTACGCCAGTATTCTCAATCGAATTTCAATCTCTAGCGTCTGGTTATTCCAGTCTACGCCGATGATAGTATTTATTGGGCATGCTCTTGAGATAAGAATATAGCGTCACCGTTTGACATGACTTGTGGAATATGCCTAGCCTCGTTTTTCAAGTCCATGATTACAATTAGCGCTGAAACGCATTATGGTACACGAATCGTGTACCAATTGTAAAATGTTTATTTTGTCTTAAATATTGGATATCATAAGGCCACCTTTTCCCGGTAAGATCACAATATCAATGTTGATTAAAACCGACAAATAATTCGTGTTTTCAATATCGAAGATTTTGGATGATATTGAGTTAGAGACTTAGCTACTTTAAATTAAACAACGGATAACTCCTACCTCTTAAAATGATTTATATAATTAGTAAATAATTATTATTATCTAATGATTGTTGTTTTGTGACATATATAGTGTAACCAATATATACATTGTACTTTTATAATCAATATGATACTGTGTATTAGTCGTGTTTATGTTCTTATGATTTGAATTTCTTCATGCAATATTTGTAAATCGCCACTAGGAATAAATGTCTCTTATATAGATACATTATGCTGGCTGGAATTTGCAGGGTAGGTTAGCCTTTGGGATTGATTGTAAATCGCCAGTAGGATACATTATGCTGGCTGGAATTTGCACGGTAGGCTATAGCCTTTGGGACTGCGCTGTATCATACGGTCTGTCATTGAGTCAACTGGCTGGGTTTCGATTCCCCGGTTGAACGTGACAAGGAGTATGTTGCCTGTCCAACCTCGTGGGTTATCTCCGGTTTCCTCCAACTGCTAAAGACCCCTACGAGCAACGAATTATTGAAATAAAAAAAAGTAAACCATATGTTAGTCCCGAAATGATCTCTAAACATGCTCGTACAGCGGCGCTAGTCTTCTTTTATATAGAATTCCAACCGCCAAGGGATCTTTTACGGTCACACCAATGTGTACACGGGACTTCGGAATCGCGTTCATGTCAGCTACTCAAAAATGTAACTGGTTCAAAAATTGATTGAATATTCAATGGTTTCGTGCACGTTAAAGATTTGACGTCACTAATAAGAATTTAATATTAATTACAGAGTCCATGCTCAAACAACGTCATGCCTTTCATCATAGGTGCAATATTCGATACTACCGTATGATACTATTTTCTTATAAACAGCGCGAGCCGTCGATTTCTGTCCAGATGATTACCGGTATAAGATAATTTTGACAAAGAAGCAACAATATTAATTCGAAGACTAATTATTACACACAGCAATCAACTATTTCTGTTACAGGGTCACTAAACCCATATTTTGGATAGAAGAAAACACTCATAGTTGAAATAATTTCAGTTCAAATATCATCACTGATAAAAGCACGCTTGAATAGACTCTATACGTACAGATTGTATCCCCCCTTATGTTTCGCTTAACAATGAAAGGTGCCGTGTTCAATTTTTGATCCCTTTGTTCTGCTACTCCTGAAACTTGGGACTGTTGTACAATGTTTTTATATATAACACTACTGATAGGCCTCTCTGTAGAAGAAGTTCCAAAAAAGAATTATTTGACTTTTCGAGAAATAGGCCTCTAAAATTGCTCCAAATCGTAAAAATACGACGTTTTCAATTTTAGATCTCTTTTTTCGGCTACCCCTGACATTTCAAAAAAGAATACAGTGGTTTCACACAACAGAGTACATTGGTCTCTCGATTGAGAAAGTTTTTAAAAAATCGTTGGGGGACTTTCCGAGAAACATGCGTCCAAAGTTGCTCGAAATCGTAAAAAACGTTACTTTTCAAAGTCACATAACTTTTTAAATTTTTGATAGAAACATGCCGCTTTAGTACCATCCGATAGACAATTCAATTGGCTATTAAACAATATAAAACTTTAACTAATCGACAAAAACACAATTTATACATCGCATTTTCCGCACAGGCACCCATTTTTCACAATTTTGTCAAAGTTTGGATACCTTTCTTGACTACTTCCGGTGATTAGGGGATTTTCATTTATAGTTCATGGACTGGTATGGTCCTTCGACTTCATATTCCTGAAGTTTCAGAAAAATCGGTGGAGCCGTTTTAAAAAAAATAAGAACTCTACGATTTGACCAAAATGCGAAAAAAAGTGAAAAATCAAAATCAACATTTCAGAACAAAACTTATATTGTTAAAATCAGAATTGATGTCAGCTATCCAAAAATATAACTGAAATTTAAAAATTCCCAAAAATAAAATTTTTTAGAAAATTTTGAAAATTTTCCATTTTCACCCAAAAAATTAGAGTGACAAAGTTTCTAAATTCCACAGTTTTGAATTGCTATCTGCTCAGAAATGTCTCCAGCTATCCAAAAATGTAAATATATGAAGAATCCATTGAGAATTAAGAGAATAATGGCCGATTTTCAATTTTCGTGCACGTTAAAGATTTGACGCATTTCCGCTATGCGCACAAATTTCGTTTTACATTTAAGCACTAACTACCACCCACTTTCCCGAGAGAAAATCAAACTTCAGACCACTATCTCTTATAGTTGCTGAGAAATAGGCAAAACGGAAAAAAAAAAAAATAATAATATTAATCTTAGTAATAACAATAGTCTTTCACCGAAGGTGAACGCCTAATAATCATAACAAAAACAATAGTGTTTCACACTGGCTACGCAGTGTGAAACCCTAATAAATACATTATTGTTAAAAACACAAAGTAGATAGCTGAGCTATGCAAGCACGAAATATTGTAGCAATATTAAAGTCTACATGCTCTTTTGGCTTGGTTCCTAATGGATTTTTTTTTGACAAAGTTCTGTATCAGAATATGAATATATTTATATAGATGGTTACATTTGGTAAATGAGTATGGTATATGTTTAATGAAAGATGTTCCAGCAGAAGATAAAGCTCATTTAGCACTCGCTGATTTGATAGGTCCTGTTCAGGAAACTAACTATGGAAAGGCAAGTATATAAACCTACATAGATTTAGATTTCTTTTGTTTATTCATTTAATGTTTAAATTAACAATAGATTTCTATATGCCTGCATTCAAATTGTCTTTTTAAAAAACGTTCTTTGGCTAGACTAAAGGTTATGTTGGACTTGGGGGGGGGGGGGGTATTAACCCAGGCATTGAAAGCTTTAAGGCTGTTACAGTTTGTCAGATTTAAACAAACAAGAGTTTGTCAGATTTAAACCAAAAATTTACTGAACCATTCAAAATACAGATCTGTTGCCCCGTGAATACTTAACTTTGCACACTTTATAAGCTGAAGTTTACATGGAGTTAAAAATTCTGGATTATAAGATAGACAGTCTCAATATATTTTTATAGAAACTGGTATAGGTTACTGTCACATATGTAAAATTTCATGTCTGTATGATAATAGTTTGCTTCCTTTTACAATTATAAAAATGTAAATCTTTAATTGATGAAATGAGATAAATGGATTTTATGTTTAATTATATTTTTATTGACGTTCGATGTGAAATCTGCTCCTAATCCAGTAAATATAGCCTACAGTTCTGTTGGTTTATCCCTTCATATGGATTTAGTTTACATGGAATCTCCTCCAGGACTTCAACTGTTACATTGTCTAAGGTAATAACCATTAATAATCAACGATTAATTTTGTTGGGTAAGTATATATTGCCAAATCAGTTTCAATCCTTGACTTGTATCGGGGATCACGTGGCTAAGTGGGTACGGTGCTGGCTCGCTAGCCTGGAGGTCGGGTGTTCGATCCCTGCATTGGCCGAGAAAGTTCATCTCGATTTTCCGGCGTGATTTCCCCTTGTCAGTGATGCAGAATGGTGGCTCAGTGAGTAAGAAGTTGTGTTCGATCCCTGATTTGACCGAGAAAGTTCATTGGGATTTTCCACTGTTGTTCCCCCTTGTCAGTGGTGTACACCATGGCTTGCACGTAAAAGATCCCATGATATTTGGAATTCTATATAAGTAATTTCCCTCTTAGCACATTGTATGACATATGCCCATCTTCATTAGCCCAGTTGAAACAGAACTGTAGGATGTTAAACAACATTTCATTTCTTAAGTGATTGGCAGAGAAATTGATCAGTTGTAGACTTTAATTCTGTAAGTCAATTTGAATGCCATATTTACTATGTAAATTGAGAAAATGATAAAAATTGTCCTATTCATTTAAATAAATTTCTGGCTAGTCTGAGGTAAATATAATACACAAAAAACAACCATCTGACAAATGTTGAAGTGATAGGCCATTTCTCAACTCTTGTTTTCTATATATCTAACAAAATTTCTATTTTTATTATATTAAACAGATTTGATGACTGTGTTGAAGGTGGAGAGAGCACATATTTAGATCTCTTTCATATTGTAGAGGAGTTCAGAAAATCTCATCCAAAATATTTTCAAATTTTATCAACAATACCAGCGACATTTTACAAATGTCATTATGATAGGTATGCAAACCCTAATATTATACTATGCCAAATCAGTACATTGTGGTTATATTGTGATAGGTATGCTAACCCTAATATTATACTATACCCACTTCTGCAACCTATGCATTTTAACGTACCTTTGTATTATTGAAATAAAGATAATCTGTGGTTAGTGTTAAACCTCCCCTCTTTCTCTTTGAAGTTATCTCCACTTTTTAAAAAGTTTTTTCTGATTATGTTGCAAAATATTCAATATGTACCATATGTTAGTGTTAGTGGTTAGTGTCAAAGAAATGTTAAACCCTCCCCTCTTTCTCGCGAATTTTAAGTTATCTCCACTTTTTAAAAAAGTCTTCTCTGGTTATGTTGCAAAATATTGAATATATACCATATATTTTATAGAGAAAATCCATTCCATCTTGTTTATCAGAAGCCACATATTGTACTAAATCATCATAAACAGGTCAGTGTAACTTCATGGATTTAAATGTTATTCATTTTAAAATGTTATTAAAAGATAATGCACACCAAAATGCTGACACCGAAATATATTATAATAATACTAATTTTACACAGGCCCTTAGGTTAATACTGTAATATATAGTGAAGCAGTAAGTTTTATTTTAATCCTTTCAAATGCCTGTGTCTATTTACCATTAAAATATTAACATGAATTGTATCAATTGTTCATTAAAGATATGTTATGTAAGATTTAGATAAAGGGTTGATCGTTCTTGCTATAATAGTTAAAAAATGTTAATTCAAAATTAATATACTGAAAATTTCATTCAAATTAGTTTTTTCTGAGCCAAGTTGTCACTGGTTAAAGTATTGACAAGATGTGTTTAGCAACTTACTTGTTAATCATTAAATGGAGAGTGCATTTCCTTTAATCAGTTTAAATCTCTGCCATCTGATGGCTAGAGAGTTGATTATAGGCTTGTCATGTGAATAAATGTCTAAATAATAATTACTGCCAAGTTCCAGACTAACTCTTGTAAATCTATCCTTAAATCAATCTATTTGAAAGAGATTTAATATTTTCATTTTTTTGTTTAAACAATAATATTATTGTTCTGTCTGAGATCAGAAAGAAATTTTGATTTTATGTTTGTATTGTTTAAAGGTTGCAGGATTTAATTTTATTTTATGTTTGTATTGTTTTAAGGTTGTCGGATTAAATTGGGCTCCACCATTTGAAGGACCATTATTAGTAGAAGAGGTATTTGATTATCTCAGAATTTAATTGAAAAGATGGTAGGAGAGTGCAAGATGGTTAAATATAATTCTATCTTTATTGATTAGTCTGTCAGTAAGATATAGATTCCATGTTTATGTCATCAGATTATATAATATTAAAGATAAGCAGATAAACAATAGAAATTAGCATATTATTGTATTTGCCATGATCAGCTAGATGATTAGTGTAAACATAATATCATAAAATTATCCTTATATTAATTGTCCCCCGCCTTTCGAAGAAAGCAGGGGACTATTAAAATGGGTTCGTCCGTCTGTCTGTCTGTTGAATGTTCAAACTTGGTGTAGGTGTTTATTAGGTCAATGCCTTGATGGAGTTCGAAGATGAGCATTTTCTTCTTAGGGTAAGCAGAGATAAGCAATTTGATTGGTTGATGCTTTGGGACATGATAACTTTAGTTCTAATTAAGCGAGGGTGACGAAACTTTGTGTATAATTTCATTACTGTGGTATTGGGGTGTATAGGCCACAAGATGGCCTGGATTGTTTATGACAATCAGAAGAGCTAATTAAAAACAGCCATCTTCCATTTCACTCCATCCCAGAATTCCATCTAGGATCAAAGCCTTTTATTAATCAAGGGGAGTAACTCTATTAACACAAAGAACTCAAGAAGGCTTCAGACCACTATTCCTTAATAATATGAATAAGTTGGTTTAGTAAAGGAGTATATGACATCCCCCGGTCTCAAACAAAAACTCCAGTAAGGAATTAAAATTTAGAAATGACACGTTAACTTATACCATGAAGCAAAATTATAGCATACACACACTATCATACTTCACTACAAGTAAATAAATTGCTTAAAAACATGAAAGTTGAACATTTAAAATTTAAAATATCAAGTTGTCAGTGGAATTTTACAATTTACATGTCTCTTAAAATTCTTAAATTGTTGAGTACTGCTCAAACCTTTATGCAGAGGTATCTTATAAACAAACATGCGTTAATTATTCCTAAATTCAAATACAATATCAACTATAGTTTTGAACATCACAATGAATGTGAATTAGGATTGAAAATACATACATTACAAATACAAGGTATACTAACAACAAGAGAATTGTATTAATAACAATTTTGTATAAACATGCAATGAGAACATTATTAAATCACATTTTAATATTTACTCAATTTTCCTGTAATCCTAAGATTATTATTACTAAGTAATTTCTCAGTTATGTCAATTAAATCTGGAGATTGGTCTATATTGACCCATTCACATTCATGAGGTTTATCGTCATTAAAATTTAATAACAATTGTAGATTTCCACACTTAATTCTACCTTTCTTGATATGAAAAACATTATCATTATTATTGACATCCACTAGGTAATTTAATTGTTCTTCCATCTGTGTATGACATAATTTAGATATTGAAGCTAAATTCTTATTATCATTAAGATAACTCACACATTGAGATATAGTGTAAGGTGTAGTAACTCTATTAAATACAACATTTTGATCAGCAAAGGTTGGCAAAACTAAACCATTTTCATCAGTGTATTGAAAAGTCAAATCATTAGCTACATGAACATTATCATTTACAGTTTTACCAAGATGTTTTCGTAATTGATCAATATGAGTTAGACGTTTATTTGGCTCATTAGAACGAACAAAGCGTGGTTTAAGTCTATTTATAGAATAAACATCTTGTAATATCTTTCCGTCCAAAGTGGAAAGTATATAATGCGTTCTGTCCAAGATTTGGTGAACCACTAAGAGACCACACCATTCAGCCTTCATCTTCCTTGAGTTACAAGTAAGAGATGAAGAAGATGGTTTTAATACATAGACAAATTGTCCAAGTCCATAAATAGGGTTTTTACTTATACTATGAGAAATGCTTATATTTTGATGTTCTTGTTGTCTACGTTGAAGATCAAGCATAGAAGATGATATAGCATTGAATTTTTGCTTTAAATGACTTAAATACTCCTCATAGGATTTACTAACTCCATCGAAATTCCAAGCTAAGGAAGTAAGATTCTTTGGTGGCTTACCAAAGGCAAGTTCGTATGGACTAAAATTTCCTAATTGTGGGGAGACAAAGAAATTGTATGCATATGTGCAAGTTGACAAATATCGAACACAGTCGGTACCATATTGGTTCAAATTGAACTTGAGTAAGTCTGATATTGACTTAATATGTCTTTCCACCATGAGACTACCATGATTAGATACACTGATAAGTTTGTGATCAATCTGTAATGCAGAACAAAGAATAGAGACAAGTTTTCCTGTAAGCGATGAAGCGGCATCAGTTATTAATACTGATGGCGGACCAAATATACATACAATCTTCTGTATAATAGCTTCGCAAATAGTCTCAGCATCTAATGTTTTGAGGGGAATACAGATAAGAAAACGGGTTATTTCATCAGACTACCATAATATGTTTAAATCCTGTTGGTGATGCAGGCATAGATTTGAAATCTAAACATATTTTATCAAAAGTACAATACTCTGTTGGTATACGTGGATGATACATCCGAACATTGTCTGTTTTCCCTTTAAATTGTTGACATTTATGACAACTAGTGATATATGATGAGGTGGTAGAAAACATACTAGGGAAATAAAATAACTTTCGCATTGTGAGATATGTCCTTACAATACCTTGATGACTAGATAATAAACTATCATGATATATAGCAATAATATTATGACATAATGATTCTGGAATTGCAAGCTGAAGAGAAAATGTATTATCATTATGTATGAGAAGACGAAACAAAATATGATCACATATAATATATTCTTCACTTTTGTGTTTGACTGATTTTGCTGCTTTACGGTTTGAAGCCAGAATACCATGACTGAGAAAATCATATACAGGTTTGAAGAATGGAGAAGTTTCTTGTTCTAACCGTAGTTGATTTTTATCTACAGGTAAATTATAATCACGAATTATCTTTTTCTTGATAACTTTTAATAGTTTATCTAGCTGAGCTTGTTTAGGAAAATGTGTGCGAATAACATTATCCGCATTATGAACTACAGGTGTAGGTGGGAAACATAGTTCAATTGGTATCTCGATTTCTTCAGGAGATTCAGGTTGAAAAGCATTATCCACAATCCTTGGGTCTTGTGTGGTAGATGATGCTTTAATAGAACTATCATTTGATATCCTGATATGAGATCGTTTGGGAGATTGGGAAATTGTCGGGATTTTCTGAACATCAGAAGGCTGATTATTAACTGTATCAACCGAATTATGTGATACTGTCTGATGTTGGGCAGAAGGGAAAACTGCAGGTACAGAAATGTTATGTGTCTTAGCCCATTGACGAGTTATAGGTCTATCAGTTACTGGATTGAGAATAGCGAATGCTGTAGGGACAATACTGTCTATCTCCGAATCACTTTCGAGTGGGCTTCGGGAGAGAAAATCAGCTAGGACTAATTCTGTGCCCTTTTTGTAACCAATCTTAAAGGCATAATGACTAAGTTTGACTAACAGTTTCTGTAATCTGTTGGTACAAGGTGGACGTTTGGAGTTACAGAGGTGGACAATGGCAGCATGATCAACATACGCATCAAATTCAACTCCTCTAAGTAGATATTGGAAATTAGAGATATTGATCAGAAGACCAAATAATTCTAATTCTGTGACTGAATAGCGCTCGCATGCCTTAGGAAGTCGTTTTGAATAATAACCAAGAATTCTCTCTTCACCATCAATAATTTGGGTAAGATATGATCCTGTAGCTGTTCTTGAGGTGTCACTATAAAAGGGTAATCCTACCACTATCATTAGGCATGTACAGAACAGGTGGTTGTACAAGTAGTGACTTAACCTTAATAAATGCTTCTTCTTGTGCTGCAGACCATTTAAATGATGATTTCTTGCTGGAAATTTTATGCAAGGGTTGTAGAACAGACTGTAAGTATGGGAGAAAATTGGAAACATAGTTAACAGCACCTATGAATTTTCTTACATCTTTACTTGACGTAGGTCTTGGGATATTTTGGATTGAGCGGCTTCTATCAGACAAAGGCTGCAGTGTGACTAAACCTTGTTTATTAATCGCAATCTTATGACCCATATAGACCACTTCATGACAAAAAAATGAGCATTTTCTTGGTGTAACTTTGAGTCCATTTTGAATTAAGGCACTGAAAATTAACTGTAAATGCTTCTTGTGAGCTTCGTTGTCTTTACTGAATAAGATAATATCGTCATGATGGGCTATACAAAATGAATAACTACCAGGAACTTTTGATGATATTTCATCAATTTTAGATTGAAAAACTGCTGGTGAGACACTCAAGCCTTGTGTAAACCGTTTAAAGTAAAAGTGTTTGCCTCCAGAATATGATGAAATACCCGTATATTGTTGGGCTCTAGGTGATAATGGAAGTGAAAAGAATGCTGACTTCAGATCTAAGCAACTTATAACATTAGGTTTAGCATGACCAATCCTCTTTAAGGTGTCAGATAATAGGGGAAATGGATGGTTAAGACGTTTGATTTTAGAATTAAGATACCTGAAATCAACAACAACACGTTTTTCTTTAGTACCTTTCTTAGGTAGAATGAGAACTGGTGATGTATACGACTGGTGACCAACAGCTAAAATTCCTAGTTTGACAAGCTTTTCTAATTCCTGATCCACAATCTTTTTCTCAACTTCTGTTTTTGGATAAGGGCGAATGTAGAAAGGGCGATTGTCGTTTACTTCTATATCAACTTGTATGTCAGGGCATTTTCCAATTTCACCATGAAGACTGAAAGCTTCCCGATTTTGACACAACATATCATAGAATTTGTCTTTTTGAGAAAGATCAAGCACACTTTTGGACAAATCAATTTGTGACTTGAAAACAGACTTACATTACTTGATGATGTAACATTATTTTGATCATACTCAGAAGTGAAGTTAATATTATCATAACTTACAATATCTTGAAGGGATATAAATGAAATTGGTCGAGTAGGTCTGATATGCAAAGTTTTAGCACTTGTGTTATGAATTGGTATAATGGCTTTATTTCTTTCCAGCTTAACCAAAATTGTTGAAGGACACATATCAGAAATATGACTGCCACAATACATGACAACTTCACGATTCCTAAACAAAGGAGGAACTTTACCATGAACAGTGATGTAACGACAATGTTTAGGTCTGACATATACACTATGAGCGGTTATAAATGGAATGGTTGTAGCTTTACAATGAAATACATTATCACGAAAACTAAAGACTTCCATTCAAATCAGCTAAAGTTTCTTGACCAATGATAATATCAATTCCGATTAAATCGGCAGCAATAAAAGCTTGAATGGTAAACTTTACATTTTGAATAAGCACATCAAACTTAATAGAATATTTACACAATAGTAGATTGCCATTACCAAGTCGAAAGCAAATGGATTTGACAACAAATGAACAGGCAACCCACTTAAATAGGGTGAAGATTGAATAAGTAAAGACGAAATGATCGACCTTGATGCACCACTATCAATTAATAATAAAGCTGAATGACCATCTGAAAATTCTCCTTTGCAATAATTTCGTTTTGAAAGTTGAATAGAAACAGAACTAGAATGATTCTGTTTACCTGCAGTAGAATGAATAGGTTTGGTTTGATTAGATTTAGGGAATTCATTCCGAGCAGTAGAATAAATTCCCTCTATTGAAAATCCTGTTGTTGTCTTTTAGCAGAAAGGTGTTTCTGACGCAGAAAACATGATCTCCATGTATGATTTGGTTTTAAGCAGTAGTCACAAAATATAGGTCTATTGACATATTTAGAATGCTTATTTGTGTACGAGGAATATCGCTGTTGACTAGGTGAACAAGAATAATCACGTCTTGATCGAACTCCAGGGTTGTTGGTATGCGATTTGGGACTAGGTGAATATTGGCGTCGTCTGGGTGAAAGTGATTGCTCACGAGCATAAGACGAATGACTATAATTTGGATGTTTGGCTCGGTGTCTGACATGATCATCTGATGCTACATACAACTTAAGTTCATCTAATTCTTTTCGTAATGAAGAAAGATCATCTGTGTCAGACGTATAGAAGGATACCTCCTTACTAGGATTTACGGTTCTGTCAGGGTTATTTATATCAAAGAAACACTGAACTTTAGTTATGATGTCATTCAAAGTAGTTGTGTCATTTGTTGACATGGCAACGACTTGTTGACAGTTTGTAGGGAGGATTGATACAAATTTTATGTTTGAGTTGGGTGCGACCTACTCCAAGTTGAGTAGCTAATTTCTCCAAACATTCTACATTTTCCGCAGGAGTGATAGAAGTGTCGTAAGTGAATGGGGAATAGGCTTGGTGCAAACCAAATAAAGACTTATTTTCTGAAAATCTGTTAATAAATTGTGTGCGTAAATCTTCACGACTTCGAAATATTTTCTCCTCTATCCACAATCTCGCGGTTCCTTTTAAAGACTGTTTGAAAAGATTTATCATCTTATTGATAGCAAGAACTGTCTGAGGATTCATCTCCTCATCAGAGTACTCAAGGTAATCTTCGAAAGATAAAAAATGGGCCGTGGCCAGATCCCTATTTAATACGGACCCATCAAATCTATCAAATGACAGAGGTCTCTTGCGTTCAACAACCTCATTCCGATGGTTAGCCATAATTGTATACAAATAATCAAAATAGTTAAAAAATGTTTACAATTTTGTCTAAACATTGAATATGATTGACCCTGATTAATTCGTTCACTATTGACTATATGAGCAACTATTATTATCAAAATAATTGTAAGACAAATCAGGATGATTACATGTTTAAACAATAAAGAAAGAAATACATCTTGTAAACATGGAAAACATCAATTAGCAAAACAAATTATCTAAATATTTAAGATCATGAAACAATAATAACAGATTCACACAACCATTCAGCATAATTCACACAAATATGGTATCAGAAAAAGTTTATATTATAAATTGACTGGAATATTGCCAAATTAATTTAAAAGTTGTAAAATTGAATTTACTTATAGGCCAAAATTAAAATTTCTAAAGCCTTCTTTCACAATTCTGTTTTAAGAAAAAAATATTGTCTCTTTTAGGGATAAAAGTCACTGAAAGGCTTCAGTGAAAGTTCACAAGACAGCAAATTTGAGTTGAAATAATGTCACTTGTAGGCTACAACAACACAGTCACAAGACAGCAAACTTGATTCCAAGATTGTCACTGTACAACACTGTAGTCTATACTACATTAATTATGTCACTATGAATGAATTGGATCTAGGCTAGTTATAGTTCTAGGCTAGGCATCCACACTTTAACATGGGAAAATTGGCACACTCATGTCAAAACAGATTTTCCATTAGGCCTTTATAACACAGTGTAGGCCTACATGTCTATGGATTTATTCATTTGGATCATTTGAAATGTCTCTGGATCTGTACATAAGCAATTTAGACTAGGCTTAGATTTTAATTTCACACAAAGTAATAATAGAGTTTATAATCAGGCCTCACTATAGTATTTCAAGTCTGGTGAATTTGTAGTCCTCAGAAAATAAAGGTTCCCAAATATCTGCTGAACGACTAATTTCACACAAATGGAGTTTAATCAGGCCTCACTAGGTCTACTTCTGATGAAATTTTACTCCTCAGAATAAAGTAGATTCCCAAATATCTGTTGAATAATGGGAGAATATGCTCCACAAACTAGAGTCCAAATCTCAAAACATGTGCTCCTCGCATCACAAGTCAATTCTTGGTAACAATTCAAAAATATCACTTGTTAACTAGTTCTTCAGATTCTACATACTAGAAATGGGAGTTTGGCATCTCCACCATGTGGTATTGGGGTGTATAGGCCACAAGATGGCCTGGATTGTTTATGACAATCAGAAGAGCTAATTAAAAACAGCTGTCTTCCATATCACTCCATCCCAGAATTCCATCTAGGATCAAAGCCTTTTATTAATCAAGGGAAGTAACTCTATTAACACAAAGAACTCAAGAAGGCTTCAGACCACTATTCCTTAATAATATGAATAAGTTGGTTTAGTAAAGGAGTATATGACATTACATCAATACCCTGACTAAGTTTGATAATGAGCATTTTCTGCTCAGGGTAAGCAGAGCGATAAACAATTTGATTGGCCGAGACTTTGGAACACAATAACTCTCCTTCTAATTGAGCTAAAATGTTCAAACATGGTGTAGGTGTTTATTAGGTCAATGCCTTGATGGGATGTGAAGATGAGCATTTTCTGCTTAGGGTAAGCAGAGGTAAGCAATTTGATTGGTTGATGCTTTGGGACACGATAACTTTAGTTCCAATTAAGTGAGAGTGATGAAACTTGGTGTATAGTTTCATTACATCAATACCTTGACTAAGTTCGATATTGAACATTTTCTGCTCAGGGTAAGCAGAGCAATAAGCAATTTGTTTGGCCGAGACTTTGGAACACAATAACTCTCCTTCTAATTGAGCTAGAATGTCCACACTTGGTGTAGGTGTTTATGAGGTCAATGCCTTGATAGAGTGCGAAAATGAGCATTTTCTGCTTATGGTAAGTAGAGATAAGCATTTTGATTGGTTGATGCTTTGGGACACGATAACTTTAGTTCTAATTAAGTGAGAGAGATGAAACTTGGTGTATAGTTTCATTACATCAATACCTTGACTAATTTAGATGATGAGAATTGTCTGCTTAGGCTAAGGAGCAATAAGCATTTTGATTGGTCAAGACTTTGGAACATAACAACTCTGCTTCTAATTGAGGTAGAATGTTTAAACTTGATGTAGATGTTCGTCGTGACTTAGTTTAATGATTAATATATCGAGCCAAAGCTAAGCAGAGATAAGCAATTTCCTTGGTCGATGCTTTGGGAAAAGATAACTTTGATTCTATCTGATAGAGAGTGATGAAACTTAGTGTATAGTTGATAATCAGTTTGATTGCTCGATACTTTTGAAAAAAATAGATGTGCGATTAATTAATATGTGTCATCTATTTATTTGGGGATTTCAGCCTCACTGTTGGCTTGTTTTATCATTATCCTACAGGATGATGTATTAATGTATTACGAAGCCTATGAAGAATTAGGCAAAGCAATCATGAACACTGATAAAATGGTAAGTGAAAAAATGTTGTAGGATGAGAGACAAACTAAGCAATACCTACAACCGGCAGACTATCTTTCATTCAATTTCAAAATTATTCATGCCAGACTTGCTAAACAAATGTATGTCAAAATTGCTCGCCAATCTGAATTCATCCTTAGAAACTACATTTTTTTAAATTTTTCAGTTGACATATGGAATGAAAGTTGGTGATCTGATGGTATTCAATAATCATAGAATATTACATGGTAGAAATGAGTTCAGGTTGAATGGTGGAATTAGACATTTACAGGTGATATAATCTGTGTTATTGAACTTTTAAAAAATAATTATCATGGTACTGTCTTACATATAGCCACAATATTACTGTTTTCCTAAAATCAAAAATAATTATAATTGTATTATATTTAGTTACATTAAAACACTAATGAATTACATTGGTAATGTGATAGCCCCAAATCCTAGCTGCATGGCTGGCAAGAAAATATGTGATCTGTAATTCACGAGTCTTTAAGGATATGAAAATACTTTTTTAGAATAGGCTAAAGGATATAACATGAAAGGTACAAATTTAGATTTGATAAAGTACACTAAATTTTTGTTTATATTTTAGCCTATTTCAACATGTCTTTTCATAATATTGTAACTTGCAACTTCCGACTCATTTGGCTGTCATGGGTCACACACATATATGTGTTGCACTGAACTCTGGCCATCATAAAAGAATTTAATGTTAGTCTCAAAATGACCTATCTATAGCCATATATACACATACACATATTCATATGCACATATTATAAAGTCATACTATAACATTATTATATGTATATGTATGTATATTTTAGTAAATCGGTATATTGGATCTATTTTAGGGATGTTATATTGGTATAGATGACTTCAAATGTAAAGTTCAAGTTTTATCAAATCAAGTTGGTGATGGACAGCCGCCAAAACATGTGGGAAATCAAAGCTGGCTATGATTACTATTGGACATTAAGGGGACACTGTTGGAAATCTCCTCCACAAAGGCTGAAATATGGTGTGCCGCAAGGTTCAGACCTGGGACCACTTTTGTTCACAGTATACACACCTCTTTTAGGAGACACCATGTAAGAAAACACAAAATTGACTACCAGCACTGTTCAACTAGTCTCTTATGGTCAGCGCTCTTTTAGTTATCAAGCACCTGTTTTATGAAATAATCTACTATTTAGTTTAAGATGTTGTACATCTCTATATTCTTTTAAAAAACAACTTAAACACATTTATTTAATAAGGCTTTTAACTGACTCTGTATACAATCCTTAACATGTCCATAATCTTGATGTTTATTTATGATTACATTGTCACTTTGTAAAGTGCCCTTGAACATGTTATATGAAAGGGTGCACTATAAATATGCTGTAATAACGATAATAATATATTTTATTATATAAAACCTATACGCTTACATATAAGTATGAATAAAGCTATTAATGTTGATTTTGAGTACAGCGGTTTCTGTATTATAAACACAATAAGAATGAATCTATCACTGGTGATATTGAGTAAAGGATTTCTGTATAAAGATACAAACTGTGTGATAAGATGATATACTTGGACTAAGTATATATTGAAACTAATTTTGTCTATTAAACGTTTGCTTCAGATCCCTTGCAAGGAAACTACCCAAGCGATAAAATCAGTTTTAAACAGCTTTATTTGTCATATGACTTGATTCACTGTCCATTTACCCATTTACCATAAATAGCGAAGTCTAAGTAAATTCTTAGATTATTTGATTTTAAAAACCGTTCAAATATATCACCATTACACCATACTGTAGGCCAAAATGGAAATTTCTTGGATTCTGATTCAGATTTAAAAGATAATTAGTAAATTTCATTTCAACTCGAGTCTGACAATAATGGTTGCCATGACAATTCTGTCACAGTCAGTGAATAAAAATACAACTTATTGAACTCCCTACGTATAACTGATATACGCTTTAAAAATATACAAGACGCGGCCTCGGCCTCTAATGATTTAAGCGGTATCAAAAAATGGACAATAACAGTCCTCTAAATTCTAAACAGTCGATTTTTATCTCCTAAATGACGGTTGCGTTCGAATTTCGTAAAAAAAAAGGACCGAGACTGCCCGACAAAATGGCCACTCCCCGTACGCAAATACGTAAAAGTATGTAATACACAAGGTTATGGACCCTCTAGAGGTCACAATTTCTATCCGATTTAGATCATACTTATTTGTTTATGTCCCAAAGATCGCGGTTCCTTTCGATATTGTGGCCCCTGGTTTTAAGCCTTTTCCCTGTCCATCTCTTGCAAAATGTGGGCATATCTTGCATGGCGTTGCTTGTTGGTCCCGTGGGAGTCCCATAGTCCTAAGTGTTTCTCTTGCAATCCAATGTGTTTCTAGTTACATTGAATGTCTCTACTGTTACTTGAAATAACTAACCGATAAATACATCTCTAATTAACTTTGAATAGATCTATAATTGTTGATTTTTAGTAATGCAGTTTCTGTCTAAACATATAGATATAACTATGAATATATCTATAATTGTTGATTTTGATATTAATAAATCTATACTTGGTGATATTGCATGATAGAAATAAATTGTGTTGTAATCTAATCAACCGAGGATTTTGTTTTTAGAGATCTTTTTCAAACCAGTTTGAATTGCTTAAATACACAAGCATAACTGTATCATATTAATATTGGTATTGGTGAATGTTCATGGACAGAAGAATAAAAAAGTTAAACGAATGGTTACCGTGGTATGTACATAGTTATAAATGTCAAAACTTTAGAGCAAGACCAGGACCGTAACTAGCTGAGAGCAACGGGGGGGGGGGGGGGGGGTGTTCTCAGGGGTGCTGCAAAATTGACGGACAATGTATATCTATTTTTTTATGGTCGAAAATTTTTTCACGTGGGGGGGGGGGGGGCGGGCGGCGAAATTTTTTGCAGGGGGGCTTTGCCTCCCCCACCCCCTGAGCCCCCCTCACCCAGTTACGGGCCTGAGCAAGACATTGTCAGATGTTGCTCTATCTGTCAAGGAGAGGGTATTGGACATTTGAAAAGATAGATTCGGGCAATGTGATAAGAATTGACATTGGAATCAGTGGGAAAACTTAAGTTCTCTACCTCAAACTGTGTATAAAATTATTAGATAGAGCCTTCAAACAAGACTAGTCTTACCGGATATAAATATCAACATTGTCATCGAAGATCACTGACAATCAGAACGTGTTGAACAACTCACACAAATTTCAAAAAGTGCTAGCAGAATTTTGTACCAAAGGGGACAAACTCGAACAATTATTATCAAAAATAAGGTTCTTTCTTCAAGAAGATAGACAATCAATATAAATCTCAGAAAGATGGATTAATAATTGCAGTGTATAAAGTTCTAACAAGATTTCATAATTATCGAAAAATGTTGGAAATCAACAGACAACCAGTTGCCATTTCAGAAAGTTATATGGATTATTGTAGCCTCTATTGTACTTGCAAGAAAGATGAACAGCAAACGGGGTATACACAATCGGATATCTGAACATTGTCAAATCGCATTCAAATAACAAATTGTGAAATTTGGGTTTTAAAAACTCCACGATATTGTTCATTGTGGCATAAAAAATAACCTTATCAAATCTTTAAAATTTCCAATCCAAATTTCGAAGGCATTTGCCGGAGTTGTCTTTCATTTTAGTTTCTGCACAGAGTTCAAAATAAATTGTTACAACTTCCTCTGTGGGATTTTTTAATAATGATGGCCAAGTTATTTTATTAAGCCATTAAAAATGTAATTATACTGATAAGTAAAATTTATATCGGAAAGGATTCATTACGAACAATACATTAAATGGTCTTATACATTATCGAGATCTTAAACATGCATTATGCAAGAGCTAATTCTGCTTATTACAAGTCTTTCTTTAGGCCTGAAATGTTATCTAAATTATCAATTAGACATTAATTAACATATCCAGACCATAATAAACTCTCGATGTCAAGGCTAGCCTTCGATGTTAGCTGGATTAGATTCCTATATGCCGCTAACGGCCGTTGATAATTAAATCCGAAAAAGTGGATAATCGAGACTATGCTGTTTATATTAATGATTTTAGTAATGATGACCGAGACTATACAAAAATTTCACCCGCTTCTTTCTCGGCTCATAGTGGATCAATTTGACTGAAATTTTCAGCAAATTACCTTTACACTATCTAGTTTTTAACTATTATAGCAAGAAATGCCATCTCTTTATCTTATCTCCCATAATGTATCTTTAAATTACAATTCGACATTACCAATCATGTTTGTGATATAGTGGGTATATACTAGAGCGGGTAAGGACATGTCTTGTACTCAAAGTAAATATTTTGTCACCGTCTGGTATTGGATTAAATGGGGAATTCCCCGCCATCTGGTACTATCAACACAAATAGCTTCATTCTCATAATACTTATGAGAATCTAGATAAATTGTTTTAAGAGTCAGTATATCACTTTATGAGAATTTAATAACGAATTTTAAAGATGCATTATCCAGTCGTGTAAAAATGAAATGGGGTTTAACGTCCTATACCGCGGTTCCCATCCAGTGGGGGTTTGCTGATATGCCCAGGACCAACTCCAAGATTGTATGCTCCAAAGAGTCAAGTATTGAGAACTGTGAGAAATGAAGACATTTTAAAATGAAACGGTGAAATAAACTTTTAATGAGATTATGTATACAGAGCAGCATGTAGATGGCTCCTGAAATAGATGCCCCCCCCCCCACCAGCCCCTCTCTAAATGGCAACGGTATTGTCCAAATCCATAAGAGAATAAATGTCTTTACATTTATATCATAATATTCAGAATAAACGTAAATTTGCTTGATTATACCAGAAAATCCCAGCACTGGCACAATTAGTTTGAATATCACTGGAAATAGGCTTTGCAAGAAATTTTTTTGAGATTAAAGAAAATTGAAAACGTCTTTGGGTCTAACCCCATGGACCTCAGATTTTGCACACAATCAAATATGGACATCCATGATTTAACTGCTCAGTCAAATTACGTAAAATCGAAAAGGATTTTTTTTTTTTTTTACAGATAAGCTACGATCGCGGAAGTAAGCACGTCGCTTTATCACAGTGACACCAACCCGAAGTATCATAAATTATTCGGTAGTCTATGTATTTTACCACATCGTACAACAATTGCATTCAGCAGAAGAAAAGATGGCGTTAGGACCGAAATTTCTGGCAAAAATGGATGAATACAACTTCAAACGTTTTTTTAATGAGGCTGATGTTAATAGAGATGGTTGCTTAACGATAGATGAATTTGCCAATGTTGTCACATCTCCCGCCAGAATGAAATTAAAGACATCGCGAATGGAAATTGCGGTAAGATATAAACTGGAAATGAAAATGGGGTTTAACGTCCGAGTTTGTTCGATCCCTGCGTGGTTCCTTCTTGTCAGTGGTGCAGGACCGAGGGCCTGGCAAGGGATAACGTATTTCGGATTGTACGAAAAACCGAGGTAAAAATTCCCTCTTAGCACACTGTATGGCGTATGCCCGTCTTTATTAGCCCAGTCGGAGCAGAACAGTAGGACGTTTAGCCCCATTTCATTTATTCCCTGTGGTGTCATTCCGTTCTACTACACAAGTCGAATGGAATGGAATGGGACAACTGGGGATACTGAGAATGACTGCATGACATATGCCAGTCTTCATTGGCCCAGTCAGATCGGAAAAGTAGGACGTTAAACCCCATGTCATTTTATTTTCCATGATTTCAGGAAGTTTTCATAGATATAGACACAGACAATGACTGGAAAATTACCTTGGATGAATTTATGTTTGGCGTCGACAAATTACGAAAGTAAGTGTATTATTTTATTTGCTTATAACTAACGCCTTGACGTGTTTATTCAAGCGATAATTTTGTCTTAAAGATGCATTATGTAAGAGCTAAATCAGCCTAATGCTGATTTTCGTTTGTCCTCTATCTTTATATATACCATTAATTATACATCTATTCACATACCAAACCCATAATCAACTCTCTAGTTCATCGGATGGCTTTGATTTTTCAGCGTATTTAAACACGAATGCCTGTCAATAATTCAATTAAAATTTGGATAATCGAGACTTTGTTTCTTATCGTAACAACGGTAGAAATGACAATCGAGGCTACATCGTTCTTCAAGCGGCTATAACTACTCTCAGAATGAAGTAATTTGACTGAATTTTTCAACATATTCCCCTTTCATTATCTATTCTTTAGCTGTCAGGTCTTTATCTATATCTTACATAATGCACCTTTAATCTTCTGTATAGACCCTAATATACTATTCAAAAAAAGTAGGGGATATTTGATTTTGGGGGCATAATACTAAAATATGCAAATGACTACGAAAAAAGTCACTATAGAACCTAACAGAAGAAACATTTCCAGTTACATGTGACGCCCAAACGCACCAATAGCTACCGCATGGAATGCAGGTGATGCTTGGGATCATCATGGGGGTCCAACCCAAGATTTGCACGACTCTGACTTTGAATGTTACAGTCATTGTGGCATTGAATTCCAGGGTGGAAACATCAGTTTAATTGTTTTAGTGACCAGAAAACAAATTTTGATATGCGTCGGCTTACCCAAAATGAAAGGTTACGTGCCCTTGGCATGCTACAGATCGGCACAACACAGGCGGCTGTGGCGCGGACGATGAATGTTTCTCAGTCTGTCATAAGCAGGCTATGGTCCAGATACCGTGATACACAATCTGTACAGGACAGACCACGCTCAGGTCGACTAAGGGCAACAACTCAAGCCCAGGATCGATTTATCCGTACCTTGGCCTTGAGAAATCGTGTCATCACAGCAAATCAGATCAGCGCTCGTCTTCAAACAGACACTGGTGTGAGAGTGAGTGGCCAGACGATTCGGAATCGACTGCATAGGGGTCACCTTCGCGCCCGACGTCCTCGCGTGATCCCTTGTTTGAGAGATCATCACATTCAGGCAAGACGTCGTTGGTGTAGGGATCGTCAACACTGGGATAATCGACGCTGGAGCAATGTGATGTTTTCAGATGTGTCAAGGTTCACTGTTGAGTTTTTGGACAGACGTAGGAGGGTGTGGCGTCGTCGAAACGAGCGCTTCCAAGACGTTAACGTCATCAGACATGATCGATTTGGGGGTGGTTCTGTTATGGTGTGGGGAGGCATCACTGTTGCTGGAAGAACGACTTTACATGTTGTTGCAGGGCGTGTTACAGGCCAGTACTACCGGAACAACATCTTGGCAGTCCATGTTGTGCCGTTCGCACGACGTCATGGCCGCCGTTTCATCTTCCAGGATGACAACGCAAGATGTCACAGGGCCAGGATCGTTACAGGTTACCTCCAACAACAGAACATCACCACATTACCTTGGCCAGCACTGAGTCCCGACCTCTCCCCCATCGAGCATGTCTGGGACATGCTTGGACAGAGGTTACGTCAACGTCAACAACGTCCTGCCAATGTCCAAGAACTTGCTGCTGCGTTGCAACAGGAATGGGACAATCTGGACCAAAATGACCTTAGACGTCTCATTAGGAGTATGCCACGTCGGATCAATGCTTGTT